TGGTTTTATGTTGAAGAAATTTTAGTTCAAAGTCCCACAGTTTTCAATTCACCAACCCAATATGAACAGACTCTAGTCCTCAAATCTTCTTTTTTCTATTTAAAAGCTATTCTTGAAAGAGTAAAATCTGCAAAGATTAAAGAGCCAGCATTTTAGTGAATATTTCACTTACTAGCTTCATTTTATGCAATCATTTACTCACTCTTCATCAACTTTTTTTTCCTATGTGCACTTGGAAAGGTCAAAAAAAGGGGTTGTCCCACTTTGCGAGCCCGATTTTGCTCAGAAAGATGAAAAAGAATTCGAAATTTCAACGCCATTCATTTTTATTGTTTTTTAAACATTGAATAATTTCATTTTTGAGGCATTTAAGTGTTCTCTTTATTTTGGGATGGCCTACAACTACAGCGTTTATTTTGGGATGGCCTACAATTACAGCGCCGCACTCCAGAGGGCCTAGATTGGCCAAAATTTCGTCAATCGTTTTGATTTTTCTGGAGGTAACTCTTCAGTATGTCTCCTAAAACAGTGCGCATTATCTAATCGATTCAACCGTTCAACTTTTTTAAATGACCTTCCAAAGTTGAGAGCTCAGTGTCGCTCCGCACGCTACTCAAAATTTTGAAAGTTTCATTTTTTTGATAAAAAGTCTTCAAGCTTTTCATGATTTTTAATAAATTATATTTATTTATCAAATTTAAAAGTGATAGACTATGAAAAAATCAGATTTTCTTGTTTATAAGGCTAAAAAAAGAAGAATCAAAGGCTTCTCTGTGCCTCATAAATCGTTCAAAAGAAAACAGAGTAGTTTTGGTGACATTTCTCGAGAATTTTTGCTCTTAAACAGCGTAAAGCATGTGAAATTTTGTTTATTAATATAAAAAGATCAAATCTAAACGAGATTTTGACAAGATTGCTCTCAAAAAATCCCATAAATGAGTAGCGTGCCGAGCGACACTCTCAACTTCGAGCTCTCAACTTTGGAAGGTCATTTAAAAAAGTTGAACGGTTGAATCGATTAGATAATGCGCACTGTTTCAGGAGACATACGGAAGAGTTTACTCCAGAAAAATCAAAACGATTGACCAAATTTTGGTCAATCTAGGCCCTCTGAAGTGCGGCGCACCACCCAGAAGTAATCGCACGGCATCTAGCATACGGCATCTAGCATACGGCATCTAGCGTACGGCATCTAGCGTACGGCATCTAGCGTACGGCATATAGCGTACGGCATATAGCGTACGGCATATAGCGTACGGCATCTAGCGTACGGCATCTAGCGTACGGCATATAGCGTACGGCATATAGCGTGCGGCTCTTTTTGAGAATCCGTGTCTTTTGAGGCTTAAAAATACCCGAGTTTTGAGCTTTTGTAATATTTTCAAGGCTTGTAATTTCAAGAGTCTCATTCTTGCTTTAGAATTCAGCTTTAGAGATTCAGCTAAGCCCAGGGCAGCTCCAGCCTTTGTCCGGGTCAGTCTAGAGCCAGCAAGATTCAGGTTCAGCCCAGCTTCCAGTCCAGGTTTAGCCCAGCTTCCAGTCCAGGTTCAGCCCAGCTTCCAGTCCAGGTTCAGCCCAGCTTCCGGTCCAGGTTCAGCCCAGCTTCCAGTCCAGGTTCAGCCCAGCTTCCAGTCCAGGTTCAGCCCAGCTTCCGGTCCAGGTTCAGCCCAGCTTCCAGTCCAGGTTCAGCCCAGCTTCCAGTCCAGGTTCAGCCCAGCTTCCGGTCCAGGTTCAGCCCAGCTTCCAGTCCAGGTTCAGCCCAGCTTCCGGTCCAGGTTCAGCCCAGCTTCCAGTCCAGGTTCAGCCCAGCTTCCAGTCCAGGTTCAGCCCAGCTTTCAGTCCAGCTACTAAAAATCCATTCTTTCCAAATTGATTAGAGCAACAAATTTTCCATCTTTTCCTCAATTTCTCTCATCGAAAAACCCATCCACATTCCCACAATCATCTCTGGTTTCAAGGTTTCTGCCGCTTCCATCTTTTTCGATAACAAATTCTCCTCAGTCCAGCTCTATCGAAATATGAGACTCGCAAAACGGGCTGCTGAAATTCTTTCTTTTTTTTTACGCTAATTTACCCCAATGGCTTTAGAGGACTAAATGTGGTGTGTGAAAAAGAATTGGAGTATTTGGCTTAGTGGAGAGATTAGCTATAGGCAACCTAGCCACCAGCCATAAAGCTGGCAACGTAAGTATCAGCTTTATGGCTGGTACTAGGGTTGATCCTACAGCAGTCGATCTTGGAGAAGAAGATCTCTGGGATTTCGATCATGTCAACAGATCTAGCCTTTTTGAAACGAGGCTGGGATCAAATCTCTGTCGCTGAGTGCGCGACCATTTGCGCCAACTTTCAGAAACGTCTCGAGACGTTTCTGGTGACCATTTTGAGTCTGTTATGATTCTTTTTGTCATTTTTTCTTTTTCTATATCTGAATCTTATTTTTTGATGGTTTAAAGTTATAAGTTTTGTTATTTACGTAATATTCAAGACCGCCAGAAAATAACAAACTTCAGCCACCTGTTCGACGTCTGACTTGATGCTAGACTTGTTTTTCGGGTTTGCCCTGGTTTTCTTACGCTAAAAAATTCATAACTTTATCATATTTCAAAGAAAAAGACTGAACACATTGTTTAGCTTCTGATCTAGCTTAGCTGACAAGGAGTTGGCTTTGCTTGATCTGGTCTGGACCAGCTATTAGCTTAACTTGCCTAGCTTAACTTGAAGATTTAGCCTAGCTTGAGCTGGCCCTTGCAGGACTTGCCCTGACTTACCCTGACTTACCCTGACTTGGCCTACCCTAGCTTAGCCTAGCCTAACTTGACCTAACTCTGACAAGATTTAGTCTGACTTGGCATAGGCTTTGACTTCACCCAGCTTGCCTAATTGTATCCTTGCCTGCTTGCCTCAACATAAAGCTATAAAGTTTTTTTTCTAAAAATTAGTCCTCTGCTCTCTTTCTTCATTCCATTTAGTTGTATTTGTGTGTTTCAACTGCATCACTCTTTCTTTTTTGTCTTTCTTTCATTCACTTCCACATCCTAATTGATTACCCCCAAAAGACACCAAAGGGATTCGGATCTAATGAGTTTCGGCCTCAGAGACTCACGAAAAGACCTGTGTTGTCAAATTTTCCCGTTCAACTCACTAATTTTATTCCTGAATATTTGTTTTTCTTAGAATGGATATTTAAAGTTGCAAGAGTTGCAAGAGTTTAAAAGATCAGGCTACAAAAGGTTGGCTACTAAGCTGGCTTTGCTCACAAAAAATAGGCTAGTCAGGAACCAGCCCTGACTTGACTCTAGCTTAGGTTGACTACCCCTAACAGTTAGTCAACCTAAGCTAGAGTTAGTCAACCCAAGCTAGAGTCAACCTAATCCTACCCCTAACAAAGCTTGGTCTGGTTTTGGCTTAGCTCAGACTGACCCTGACTTTCCCCTGGCAAAGCTTGACCTATCATAGCCTCTCACCTATCATAGCTTGCCCTAGCGGGCAGCCTAGCCTAGCCCTGGTAGAACTTGATGGTTTCATTGAGGACGTGGTTGCATATCCGTTTAGCCTGATCCTATCAGTATTTGATCTATCCCAGCTTAGCCAGACCTGGTCCTGGCTTGGTCTTTTACCATAACTGTCTTGGCCCTGATAGAGTCCTGATAGAGAAAAATGATTGTACTTTTAGCAAAAATTATTACAAAAAAATGAGTGCAAAAACCACGCCTTATATACGGGCTTTATATACGCCTTTATATACGCCTTTATATACGCCTTATATGCGCCTTATATACGCCTTATATACGTCTGATATCCGCCTTATATGCATTTTATATACGCCATATATCCGCCTTGTATACGCCTTTATATACGCCTTATATACGCCTTATATCCGTCTTATATCCGCCTTATATACGCTTTATATACCCCTTTATATCCGCCTTATATCCGCCTTATATACGCCTTATATACGCCTTAAATCCGCCTTATATCCGCCTTATATACGCCTTATATACCCCTTTATATCCGCCTTATATACGCCTTATATACGCCTTATATCCGTCTTATATCCGCCTTGTATACGCCTTTATATACGCCTTATATACGCCTTATATCCGTCTTATATCCGCCTTATATACGCCTTATATACGCCTTATATACGCCTTACCAGCGGAAAACGCTCATTAACGTTCGCGTTTTCCACTGGAGAGGTCCACGTTTTCCTCGGCAATCTAAGCCCGCTCCTTTTTGCCAATGGCTGCGCACAGACGGACAGCCGGGCAGACGGACAGACGGACAGACGTCTCTTCTGCTTTATATATAGTAGATAGACACCTTATATACGCCTTAAATCCGCCTGATATACGCCTTATATACGCCTTAGATCCGCCTTATATAGGCCTTATATACTCCCTATATACGCCTTATAAATACCTCCTTTTAAAGAACTTCAGCTGTTTAACTGATTTGGTCGCAAATTCCCTTCAAATGCAAAGATGTAATTTGCTCGACGTGCAAAGAGGATTACTCGTAGCTACTCAACCAAAAAACGTCGATTAATCGAGTAAAAATTACCCGAGTAATTATTTAATTATTCAGTTAATTATTTAAATTACTCAGAGAACTCAGGGAAAGGAAAACACTCTAAACTTGTTTCAACGTAGCTGTAAACATGATTCATGACAAGAAAAAGTTGCTCACAATTCATAAAGCAATCCGTGTCAGCTTCTGTAATCACCAAATGTCGTAGATTTTTTTTAAATGTAAAACTTTTACTTCTAAACTTTTCTATTTACTTGTTTCAGTTTATTTTTTCGAGTTTTTCATGTTTTTTATTGTTTTTTATTGGATTTTATTGGATTTTATTGGATTTTATTGGATTTTTATTGTTTTTATTGGATTTTTATTGTTTTTTATTGTTTTTTATTGTTCTCTATTGGATTTTTATACTCTTAGGCTCATCACCTTGAACTCTCCCCGCTCACAAAAATGATTCTCCGAAAGAAAACGTCAAGATGAGTCGCGACGATCGAGCCAGAGCTTTAAGAGAGTTCGGGAAATCCTTCAAAAAGGTTTTTTTTTATTTCAGAAAATGTATCGATGCCAACAACGAAGCCAATTATTTGTTTTTCTTTTTCTCAATTAGGTGACACGCTCAAAATCGGCAGCACCGCGGAGAAGAAAACGACGGAAAGATCGAGAGAAAAGGAAGAAAAGGACACGATCCGAGCCATTGCTTTTCCCATCGGATAGACAAAGATTGAGAGATGAAGGAGCTGGGGGAAGGCAAAGGAGTTTGTCGCTAAGGTTTGGTTTGAAGAAAATGGATACGGTAATAGTAGTGAGCCTTAAGCTTTGCCTACTCGAAATCTCGAAAAGCGCATGTTAGAACCTATCGATGTGGGGTCGGAAAATGTAGCTGACGATGAGGGAATGTAGCTGACGATGAGATCTAGTGGGGGATTAAAGTGTTGAGCTTCTGTGAAAAATTGGAAACAGTAAAATAGTCACCACTACTATTAGGGAAAAGACGGTAGTCGAGGATTAGCTGGAAGGCTGGATAAGAGTTTCCCTATAGGATTGGCTATAGGGCCCTATAGGATTAGGTATAGGGCCCTATAGGATTAGCTAAAGGCCCTATAGGATTAGCTATAGTGCCCTATAGGATTAGCTATAGGGCTGGATAAGAGTTTCCCTATAGGATTAGCTATAGGGCCCTATAGGATTGGCTATAGGGCCCTATAGGATTAGCTATAGGGCTGGATAAGAGTTTCCCTATAGGATTAGCTATAGGGCCCTATAGGATTAGCTATAGGGCCTATAGGATTAGCTATAGGGCCCTAAAGAATTAGCTATAGGGTTGGATAAGAGTTTCCCTATAGGATTAGCTGTAGGGCTGGATAAGCGTTTCCCTATAGAATTAGCTATAGTGCCCTATAGTATTAGCTATAGGGCCCTATAGGATTAGCTATAGGACTCGAGATGTCCCAGTTTGAGCACTTTCTTCAAAAAGAAACCCATTTTAGTATCTCAAGGTATGCGCTGTTTATTAATCCTTCAATGAACCATTTTTGTGATATTTGAATGTACAGAGTTTTCATGTACAGTACAAATGTTCATTTTCATTCAAATGTTCATAAAATGTTCATTTTCATACAAATGTTCATACAAATGTTCATAAAAATGTTCATTTTCATTCAAATTTTCATTTTCAAGTTTATTAAACCATTCATTGTCATAAAATAAAGCTTTACAAAGTGAAATGATCATTTAAGAAGCTCAATCGATGGCTTGTCGATGACTTGTTTAGGAGATTAGCTTCAGAATCATTTCACATCTTTTAAAACCATCATACCATCATTTCCATTCTGCAGAGATGAGGAACGTCCAAAGAAACATCACGGAGAAAAAGGGGATCGAGTGAGACACAAAAATGGTCATGCAACAGAGCCAAAAGCTGAGAAGATATCACTCGTGAAAGTTTTTGCGCAAAGGAGAGAGCAAAGAATGTTGGCCGTTTATGGAATCAATGGGATACAGGTTTTATATTTGTGAAAAAGGGTAAAGAATTGAATTCTTGAATTCTTGTAAGAATTTTTGTAAAATTTCTATGTAAAATGTAAAATAAAGAACTTTGTGAAGTAAAATTCTGTAAAATTTTAAAACTTTGTAATTATCCAGCTCAAGTGAACCCGAAAAGTTGTGTGTAAAATGGTTAAAAAGGTTAAAAACTCTCGAAAAGACTGTACTGTAGGGATATTAAAGCTTTAGAAGTCTACAGTAGCTACAGTGTTTACAGTAGCTACAGTAGAGTGTCTACAGTAGCTAGAATAGAGTGTCTACAGTAGCTACAGTAGAATGTCTGCAATAGCTACAGTAGAGTGTCTACAATAGCTACATTAGAGTGTCTACAATAGCTACATTAGAGTGTCTACAATAGCTACAGTAGCTACAGTAGAGTGTCTACAGCGTGTCTACAGTAGCTACAGTAGATTGTCTACAGACTGTCTACAATACCTACAGTAGAGTGTCTACAATAGCTACAGTAGCTACAGTAGAGTGTCTACAGCGTGTCTACAGTAGCTACAGTAGATTGTCTACAGACTGTCTACAGTAGCTACAATAGAGTGTCTACAGTAGCTACAATAGAGTGGCTACAGTAGAGTGTCTACAGTAGCTAGAATAGAGTGTCTACAGTAGCTACAATAGAGTGTCTACAATAGCTACAGTAGCTACAGTAGAGTGTCTACAGAGTGTCTACAGTAGCTACAGTAGATTGTCTACAGAGTGTCTACAGTAGCTAGAATAGAGTGTCTACAGTAGCTACAGTAGAATGGTTGCAATAGCTACAGTAGAGTGTCTACAATAGCTACATTAGAGTGTCTGCAATAGCTACAGTAGCTACAGTAGAGTGTCTACAGAGTGTCTACAGTAGCTACAGTAGATTGTCTACAGAGTGTCTACAGTAGCTACAGTAGAGTGTCTACAGTAGCTACAGTAGAGTGTCTACAGTAGCTACAATAGAGTGTCTACAGTAGCTACAGTAGATTGTCTACAGAATGTCTACAATACCTACAGTAGAGTGTCTACAATAGCTACAGTAGAATGTCTACAGTAGTCTAGAGTACTAAAAGAAACAGTGTATATTTCTGTCGAGTTTTTTTTTCTTTCAAAACTACTATAATCTTACAGCTTTTATCCAATCTATTCAATTTTTTTGAATTGTTGGTAAAACCTTAAAGAATCAAACAAAAAGTAGACAAAAAGTAGCCAAAAAGTAGACGAAAAGTCGATAAATTGATTCAAAATAGAGAAAAGATTATAATAATCTTTGAAAGTTTATTATAATCTTGAAATCTTTGAAAGCTTTAGTGCTTTACCGTTAACGACAGGTCGTAGCGATTATCGGCGGAAGCCAATTTTTTGCCCAACTTGTAGCTCATTTTTAAGCACTTTAAACTTATCAGATCAGGAGGTTTTAATAAGATTTAGATAGCTTAAAACGTGAACTTTCAGAAAATATTTATTTGATCAAAAGTTATTAACAAAAATCGATCTAAAATTGGGCTGGAAGATGGTCAAAAACTCGGCCTCCCCTCCTAAAGCACTTTACATTTTTTAGCAAATATTTTTGAGGAAATAACTGGCATTATTGCAAAATTGAATTCTAAGCTATTGGATGGATCTAATGACAAACAATAATAAGCAATAGATAACAATTATCACTTACAAATCCTTTCCAGACCTCGATTCTCGATGTCGAAGGGCAAGCAGCTGCGAATGCGTTTTATCGATCGATTGACGCGATGCCAAACATGAATGTGGCTCGGATGAAGACCACTGTGCCGCTAGTCTCTGAATTGGTTAGTTTGAAGAAAGAATTGCATTGTAAAAGATGCAAAAAAAGACAAGGAAAGAATTGCAAAAGTAAACTCGGCTCTTTTCCGTTTTCTCGGACGATTTTCCCGGATTTTTAGAGAATTTAAGAGGTTTTTGGGTGTTTTGCAAATGTTCTTTTTTGTAATTTATTTTATTTAAAATCTTATTTACTATTATTATTAACTTTTTCAACATTTCAAGCTTTCGAATGATAGAAAAAGAAGCTGAAAGAAGCTGAAAGAAGCTGAAAGAAGTTGAAAGAAGCTGAAAGAAGTTGAAAGAAGCTGAAAGAAGTTGAAAGAAGCTGAAAGAAGCTGAAAGAAGCTAACGGGATCAACGAATCCTAGAGAAATCAAAGCCAAAGAGATCGGCTAGTTGTTTCTTCATTTTGATTGTTTTTTTTTTGATAAATCTGAAGAGTCTAAACAATTCTGAAGAGTCCAAGCTTTGTATCATTCGAAAGCTTAAATTTTCCTCTTTAAAACTATACGAAAAGGGAACAATATAACAACAATTCCTCTGTTATAGTTCTCAAAAAGCAAGCAAAGTTATAGTTATTAAAAAAACGTCTTAAACCCTTGAAAAATTCGGGAAAATGAACATAAAGCCATAAAATCGTAGAGTTTCTCTTGCATAGAATGATCTGCATAGAAAAATTTGCATAGAATGATCTTCTAACTTCTAAAGAATGATCAGAATAGTCTCTCAAAGCCTCTTTTTTCTTCTCAAATCACTTTTTGAATGAATCACGTTTCTTTCATGATCAAATAGATCAAATGAATCAAATCAAATGGATCAAATGTTTCCAATAAAAACCAATACAAGCTAGCGTCTTTCTAATCACAAGAGCTCTTCGACTTCTACAAGCTTTGTCACAAGAGCTCTTCGACTTCTACAAGAGCTCTTCGACTTCTACAAGAGCTCTTCGACTTCTACAAGAGCTCTTCGACTTCTACAAGAGCTCTTCGACTTCTACAAGAACTCTTCGACTTCTACAAGAGCTCTTCGACTTCTGCAAGAGCTCTTCGACTTCTACAAGAGCTCTTCGACTTCTACAAGAGCTCTTCGACTTCTACAAGAGCTCTTCGACTTCTACAAGAGCTCTTCGACTTCTACAAGAGCTCTTCGACTTCTACAAGAGCTCTTCGACTTCTGCAAGAGCTCTTCGACTTCTGCAAGAGCTCTTCGACTTCTACAAGAGCTCTTCGACTTCTACAAGAGCTCTTCGACTTCTACAAGAGCTCTTCGACGGCTTTTATCTTCACAAGTTATTTAGCTTGTCTCTTATATCGTATCTGCTCAATTGTGTTACATAAAGTAAAGCTTTTTGTGAATAATTTGGATAAAATGGATAATTTTGAAAGCTACCCATGATCTTTCCTTCAAATTTTATCAAATTTGACGCGTTTAATTAATTTTAATCGTATTCTACTTAAATTTTAATCTCATTTGATAAGAAATCAAACTGTGAATTGAATTTCAAAATTATGAATTGAAAATTTGAAGAAATCTAAAGGAAACGGTTATAGTAGCTTTTCAAAATTCTACTTTCAAAATTATCTACTTTATCTAAATTATTCAGCTTTACTCTATGTAACGATTGAGCAGATACGATATAAGAGTCAAGCTAAATAACTTATGAAGATAAAAGCTTGTAGAAGTCGAAGAGTCTTGTAGTCTTGTAGAAGTCGAAGAGCTCTTTTGACAAAGCTTGTAGAAGTTGAAGAGCTCTTTTGACAAAACTTGTAGAAGTTGAAGAGCTCTTTTGACAAAACTTGTAGAAGTTGAAGAGCTCTTTTGACAAAACTTGTAGAAGTTGAAGAGCTCTTTTGACAAAGCTTGTAGAAGTTGAAGAGCTCTTGTGACAAAGCTTGTCTAAGTCGAAGAGCTCTTGTGACAAAGCTTGTCTAAGTCGAAGAGCTCTTGTGACAAAGCTTGTCTAAGTCGAAGAGCTCTTGTGACAAAGCTTGTCTAAGTCGAAGAGCTCTTGTGACAAAGCTTGTCTAAGTCGAAGAGCTCTTGTGACAAAGCTTGTCTAAGTCGAAGAGCTCTTTTGACAAAGCTTGTAGAAGTCGAAGAGCTCTTTTGACAAAGCTCTTCGACTTTGACGAGCTTTGTCAAAAGAGCTCTTCGACTAGAGAAATATCATAAAAGATTTTAAAATTGAGTGTTTAAATTTCAGGTGCTAAAGGTAAGCAAAAAAAAAAATGACACGATGAACCACTTCTCTATTCTCCGTAAGCACGTTACGCAACGTTTTGAGGAAAAGGGGGAAAGTGTAAAGGTGTAGGCTTTAGAATCATTGCCGTCAATAACAAAATTGAAAACAATACCTTTAAGATAGAAGCTATTGCAGCTCTTCAGAGCTGCAATAGAAGATTTAAAGTTCGATAGTTGACTGAGAACTGTAGTACTGTAGCGTAGCGCCTAATGTAGCGAGTAAATTGAGATACTTTGTATACAGGACCTTAATTTGAAAATGTTTCCTGTTTCCTGAAAAAATTCGAAAAACTTTACACTTTCTCCTCGCCACTCAACTAGACGGGTCACTAGTTGTTCGCTCTCTCTGTTGCTTTTAAACTTGCTGCGAGAAATCGATGGGAAATTTTTGGCCTCAAGTCTTGAGTACTTGGAAAAAAGGATCTACACGGTGCTATGGGGACTTTTAAGTTTGAAAGTTGTTTAGCGCTTGCTGAAAGCGCTTTCGAAATCGGTTTATAAAAGAAATCATGAATCTTTCCCTGAATCGTGGTCTTTAAAAAGTATCGTGGTCTTTTAAAAGTTTCATGGTCTTTTAAAAGTATCGTGGTCTTTTAAAAGTTGAAAAGTTTAAAAGATTCTTTCAAGAAAGCTTATGACAAACTCAATTTGGATAAATTGAGTTTGTCAAATCCGATCTGATCTCGATCCGATCTTTGCTCCAATCTCTATGCCAGAGTGAGCGCTTTCCACACAAGTTTCTAGACAAAAATCAACGCTAAAGGCAATAATTTTTTGAAAAAAAGTGACTTAAACTTGTTAAAGTAGATGTGTTTGATATGTTTCTTTCTTTTTTAACATTAGATTTTTATAAACCCGAATTTTAAACCGAGTTTTAAACCTTTCCCAAAAGTTCCCAATCGATCAATCAGCAAGTTTATTTGCTTTGCAATTTCGTCAACTTTTCGGCTTTATTGACTGCATAGAGCTTCTTCTAACCCTAATGTTTTTTACTAAAAATGTTTTCATTTTTTGTTCTTGTCTGTTGTTCGGGTTTTTGATTGAGTAGCTTTAAAAGTCTATGAGTTTAAAGGTTTTAAAGCTTTAAAAGTCTATGAGTTATGAGGCTTTCTAGCAGCCTTTCTAGCAGGCTTTCTAGCAGCCTTTCTAGCAGGCTTTCTAGCAGGCTTTCTAGTAGGCTTTCTAGTAGGCTTTCTAGCAGCCTTTCTAGCAGGCTTTCTAGCAGGCTTTCTAGCAGGCTTTCTAGCAGGCTTTCTAGCAGGCTTTCTAGCAGGCTTTCTAGCAGCCTTTCTAGCAGCCTTTCTAGCAGCCTTTCTAGCAGGCTTTCAGGCTTAAATAACTTCTTTTTGTACAAAGCAAAAGAAGAATCCCTACATCCGGAAAAAGGATTTAAATGACGGCAAGTTATTCTTTGTGCGACCGCGTAATCGCTCGCCGTTTAGTCTACCGTTTGGGTGTAGAAAGCGGCCCGGTAGAATTCTAAGAAATATTTATTTTTTTATCATTTCCCTATGGGCCCTGGTTTCCGAGAAAAACGTGTTCAAAGTTTCAGCAATTTTGGGAAAACTTCCTATAAGACGGCGGCCAGCCCGAAGGGAGTTTCAGCAGCGGTGGCATAGGGGATAGTGTGCAAGATTCCAAAAACAACGGCATTAGTTGCTCTCGGGTTCGATCCCGCTTACCCCCAAATTTTTTTCTTTTTATTTCACAAGTATAAAAAACGTTTTTGTAAGAGTATTAAGATGTTTTTAAAGTATAAAAAGTTAAGGTTTGTCAAAAAATGCGAAACTTTGGACGTTTTTGTCGAGAAACCAAGGCACATGGGGAAAAAATAGGTGTTTTTTAGAGATTGGAGCTAGATCCGGCTTCAAAAATCGGAGATTAGTTGAAACAGCTCTCTAGTTAAATTTTGCGTTCTTTTTGGTACAAATTCTGCATCCTGGTAAACAATTGTGTTCCCAAACAGCAGTTAAACTGAGAGAATGACTGACTAAACTAAACAGGCTGACCTGAAGATCTGACTTTGAGTTTTCTCTCTTCCTTTTCCCAAGGTCTCTACGTCTAATCAGCCATATCATTGTATAGAAAACATTTCAGGCTTTCAAATGATACCAAATAGAGCTTGATTGGATAATTCAGTCCAAGAAAATCAGGCGGCCAGGTACACAAATTGGATCAGCCTCGACTACTCAGAGTTAGTGTTGATTTTTCTGGACTGAATTATCCAACCAAGCTCTATTTGGTATGATTTGAAAGGCTGAAATCTCCTTTACAAAATGGTATAAAAAGTTAGCAATAATGTGCTCTCTATGCAAAGTTATAGGCTTTCAAAGTCTGACTACTCATTCAAAAAATTCGAACAACTGAAAAGAGGATTTTTTTAAAAGCATGATTGCTTGATAGATGTTTGAAATGTTTTCTTTTCATTAACACGGCTGAATATCTTTTTTTTTTCGGCAGCTACAGTAGTTTTTATGGTAATGGCTAACCCTGGCTTCTTTTTTTTTTCTTTAGTGCATCGCGCTTTGTTTATAACCGATAGAGGAAGGGCCTGTAAAAGAAAAAAATCATAGAAATTGACAGAAATTGACAGAAATTGACAGAAATTCATAGGAATTCATAGGAATTCACAGAAATTCATAGAAATTCATAGAAATTCATAGAAATTCACAGGAATTCACAGAAATTCATAGAAATTCATAGAAATTCACAGAAATTCATAGAAATTCACCAAAATTGTTTATCTAAACACTTTTAAATCTTATCTAACTTTCTATATCGAACTTTTACAGGTCCTATAAAAGATAAAGGCTTTTTAAAAACGAGCTTTAATTTATTTTAGACAATGCAAACGAAGAGAGCCCAAGCCGGTCTTGCCAGCGCTGCAAAGACCACTTTTGGCAATGAGGAATTGGTGAGTTATGGGGAAATATTATAGTAAAACAAAGCTTTGACTTTGTGGCAGTAAAGCTCATTGGTAGCTCATTGGTAAAACTTTTGGACACGGATAAAGTGGTCGAAAGTTCGAATCCTGAATCCGATCATGCTTTATACAGAATGCGCCAGAATTATGGAAATTTTATCGATTTATTGAGCCTAACTCAGTTCTCGATGCCTTAAATCAAATATTTCTTTTTTGGTAGTAGATTCAGAGTCACTGACTCTGTATTAGACAATTAGACAAAGGAAAAACATTAGACAAAGATAATTGCTTTCTAAAAGTACTGTTTAGGAAACAGTACTAAAAGTACTGTTTAGGAAACAGTACTAAAAGTACTGTTTAGGAAACAGTACTAAAAGTACTGTTTCCTAAACAGTAACTGTTTCCTGAAAATTATTTAAAGCGCGCGCGTCGGGATTTCACGGCCGAAAGACTGAATAGTTCTAAAATCACGTTCTAACAATGAAAAATCAACTGAATAAGCTGGCCAAATGACATGAGCTTAGTTACTTCTTGACTGACATAATAGTAAGCTACCGTAGTCAATTCATTGGATTCTAGACCTGTAAGGCAAGGCTAGAAGCCAGCTCTAAGCCTGGTGGATTCAATTCAATTTCAACTCAATAATCTGGCCACAAGACCCCAGTCTAGACTGAATACCGTAAACCAGCCAATCTAGACTGAATATCAAATCTAAGCTGAATACCCTAATCTAGACTGAATACCGTAATCCAATTAATCTAGACTGAACGCTATACTAATCTGAATACCGTAATCTAGACTGAATACCGTAATCCAGCTAGTCTAGATTGCTGAATCAGAATGCAGAATCCAATGAATTGACTAATTTGCTGGCCAGGCAAAAACCAGAGAGGCCAAGAACTGGGTCAGAACACTAGACCAAGAACTGGGCTAGAACACTAGGCCAAGAACTGGACCAGAACACTAGACCAAGAACTGGGCTAGAACACTAGGCCAAGAACTGGACCAGAACACTAGACCAAGAACTGGGCTAGAACACTAGGCCAAGAACTGGACCAGAACACTAGACCAAGAACTGGCATCTGACCAAGCTCTGGTCTTGTTTTACGATTTTGGCTTAGAAAAATCTTTAATCTTCTTCATCACCTCCATTAACTACCACGTTTTCCAGAAAGCTTTGGTCTATCGAAAAACTCTGCAAGCCGTCATCTACCCAATCTCGTGCACGACACCGCACAACTTTCAGACGACGAATTTCCAGACGCCTACCTGGTGCTACGAGTGCGAGGGTTTACTGTGGGGACTCGCGCGACAAGGTTCCCATAAAATTAATCCTCCTTTTTACCGTAAACTTTTACCGTAGACTTTTACCGTAATCTTTTACACAAATATTTACAAGATTAAGATTTTACAAAGGATTTTCTTCATAGAAATCTATAGAAAGAATAGAGAAATAGAATAGAAATAGAAATAAAACAAGTTTAAGGCTTTAAAACTGATTTTAAAAGGTTTAAAAATTAGTTTAAAAGGTTTAAAACTTAGTTTAAAAGGTTTAAAACTTAGTTTAAGGCTTTAAAACTTAGTTTAAGGCTTTAAAACTTAGTTTAAGGCTTTAAAACTTAGTTTAAGGCTTTAAAACTTAGTTTAAGGCTTTAAAACTTAGTTTAAGGCTTTAAAACTTAGTTTAAAAGGTTTAAAACTTACTTTAAAGCTTTAAAAACTAGTTTAAAACTTTAAACCCTAGTTTAAAGCTTTCATAACTCTTTTCACAAGCCGTCATTCACTGATAGTCACAATAAAACGATTTCTAGACCTGGAAATTAACCCCCAAACGTTTATTGGCTTACAAAGTACTTTTGATGACTATAACTTTTCATAGAGTTAGCTAATTTGCATGGTTTTTTAGTCATTCGACGCGGGAGAACATTTCCTATCGATTGACATCAAAACCATACAAATTAAAGAAGTCTATAAAAAGTTATAGCCAAAACTACACCTATAAACGTTTGGGGACTTGTTAAGGACTAATATCCAGGTCCCAATAACACATAACGTAGACAAAAAGTACTTACAGCACCAAAAAACTAACTATAAGCTTACTGTAGGCTTATTATAAGCTTACTATAGGCTTATTATAAGCCCGTAAGCTCATCATAAGCCTACACTAAGCTTAGATAGTAAAACTGTAATCAAATTTAGTCGCAGAAGTTAGTTTAAGAAATAACCAGTGATTTCCAGCTGGTAAGTGTGAAGACAAATGGAGAGAAGTGATCACAAATGGGTAAAAAGAATAATCTCTGATACATTCCGAGCCGCTCGCTTGACGTAGATCCGTCCTCTTTTTTTTTTACAAATTCTCTCTTAAGATTCTCTCCTTTTTCTCCGTGTTGCTAGAGATGTTTTTTCGTATTTTTGGAAAGGGCTCTTGTGAGAAAAATGGCTGATTTGTGAGAGTTCTTGGTTGAGTTTTGAAATTAGTCAAATATTAGCAAAATAAAATTATTGACGACTTCTGCCCATTTTACAGGCAATTTGCGGATTCCTCTTTCGTAGTAGGATTTTGGTTTGTGTGTGAGACAAGTGTGAGACTCAAAAATGGAGGACTGGAGATGGAGACTGGAGATCCCAGTTTGAGCACTTTCTTCAAAAGAAACCCATTTTGGTGTCAATAGAAAAGTTGTAGAGAATCAAAAATTAGGCTTATAGCCAAATTTCCAAAAAGATACACTTAGTAGTTTCGCTTAAAATGCAAGTTTTGTGAAAAGTTGGCACAATTTGGCGTAAATTTGGCATTTCTTGAAAACCAAAATGAAAAATGAAAAATGGTCAAAATACGGCTGGGAAAATGCCCGTACAGTAAGGCAGACAGAAAGACAGACAGAAAGACAGACAGAAAGACAGACAGAAAGACAGACAGAAAGACAGACAGATACCGTAACCCCCCTCCCCCTCCTTTTCCGTCATTTCATTTGTGAAAATTCGTAAATTTGACATTTCTTGAAAACCAGTTTTTGAATCGTTCTGAAAATTTGGATATAAGCTTGATTTTTGATTCTCTACAACTTTTCTATTGACACCAAAATGGGTTTCTTTTGAAGAAAGTGCTCAAACTGTCACATATGAGAATAGCCCGCAGCTTTCAATTCACCAACCCAATAGATTGAAAACCAAAATTCAATCAAGAACTTGGACAAAAAAGAAGCTGAAATCCCCTCAAAAAAAAATGTTCGTTTTCTTCTAATCCCTGAAAAAAAACTGCCAGCCAAATGTTTCTTTTTTGCAAATTTTTTTGAATGTTGTAACCTAGATGGCATGTCAGAATTTTTTTATTGAAATTTTGCTGTCCGTCCAACAAATATTTGGAGAGAAAGAGTCCAAGAGGCGTACTTTGAGCTGAGCGCCGTAAACGAACGATTGCTGGAGCACTGAAATCTTCTTAAAGATCTTTAAGAAGATCTTGTTAAAGATCTTCCTAAAGATTCTTAGATTCCTGGATTCCTGGATTCCTGGATTCCTGGATTCCTAGATTCTAAGATTCTTAGATTCTTAGATTCCTAGATCTCTAGATTCTTAGATTCTTAGATTCTTAGATTCTTAGTTTCTTAGATTCTTAGATTCCTAGATTCCTAGATTCCTAGATTCTTAGATTCCTAGATCTCTAGATTCCTAGATTCCTAGATTCTTAGATTCCTGGATTCCTGGATTCCTGGATTCCTGGATTCCTGGATTCCTAGATTCCTAGATTCCTAGATTCTAAGATTCTTAGATTCTTAGATTCCTAGATCTCTAGATTCTTAGATTCTTAGATTCTTAGATTCTTAGTTTCTTAGATTCTTAGATTCCTAGATTCCTAGATTCCTAGATTCTTAGATTCCTAGATCTCTAGATTCCTAGATTCCTAGATTCCTAGATTCCTAGATTCTTAGATTCCTAGATCTCTAGATTCTTAGATTCTTAGATTCTTAGATTCTTAGTTTCTTAGATTCTTAGATTCCTAGATTCCTAGATTCCTAGATTCTTAGATTCCTAGATCTCTAGATTCCTAGATTCTTAGATTCCTAGATCTCTAGATTCCTAGATTCCTAGATTCCTAGATTCCTAGATTCTTAGATTCCTAGATCTCTAGATTCCTAGATTCCTAGATTCCTAGATTCTTAGATTCCTAGATCTCTAGATTCCTAGATCTCTAGATTCTTAGATTCTTAGATTCTTAGATTCTTAGATTCTTAGATTCTTAGATTCCTAGATTCTTAGATTCCTAGATCTCTAGATTCCTAGATCTCTAGATTCCTAGATTCCTAGATTCCTAGATTCCTAGATTCTTAGATTCTTAGATTCTTAGATTCTTAGATTCCTAGATTCTTAGATTCCTAGATCTCTAGATTCCTAGATTCCTAGATTCCTAGATTCCTAGATTCTTAGATTCTTAGATTCTTAGATTCCTAGATTCTTAGATTCCTAGATCTCTAGATTCCTAGATTCCTAGATTCCTAGATTCCTAGATTCTTAGAAGAATTCAGTTCGCCAGACGCTAGCGTTTACGTTCGTGCTCAAAAGACGCAGTCCATTAAACGAGAGAGAGAGAAATTTTCCAACTACTAACAAAAACAAACGCTTTCCATGTGTTCCTCCTCAAGAATCTAACTGAAAATCGTTTACAAATTGAATTTCATTTAGATTTAGCCATTTAAATCTATTAATTTCTATACTTTTCCAAGAAAAAAACCGCTTTTTTTTTTTCATTTTTGGGCTTATTCCCTTTTATTTCCCCAGAAAATCCTATAGCTAATTAGTCTAAATAGGCAAATCGATAGGGAAATACGCATGAAAATGAGTCTGCTTTTCGATTTTTATCATTTAATACAGTTTACCAAAAATTGGGGTAGGCTAGTTTCCGCAACTTTTTTTGCGCAACTGGGTCGTTGCGCAACTGGCCATAACTTTCTTCTAAGTCGGCCAATCTTTATGTTTTTGGTGTCATTTTGTTGCACTTATTGTGATCTACAAAAATGACACCAAAAACATAAAGATTGGCTTACTTAGAAAAAGTTATGGCGAGTTGCGCAAAAGGACCCTGTTGCGCCAAAAGTTTCGGAAACTAGCCTACCCCGAAGGCTAGTTTCCGTTTCAAGCAGCCTATCAAGCTACTTAATCATTATTACAAATGTTTACATGTTTTCCCACTATTATAAACACAAAATATCAACAAAAATCTATTGATTTTAAAGTTTTACAAAAAAAATACTAATAAAAACTTGTTTTTAATGTAAAAAAAAACTGTAAGCTTAAAAAAAAACTTTTGGAATTCAAAATGACCACCATTAGCATTATAATAGATTTTCTTAAGCGCTTTAGGAAACCATCAATGGTTTTTTTTCAATCGTGCTGATAGAGCTTTGAAAAATCAGCATTCAATGCTCAAATCAAGTATTCAAAGTTCAAACCAAGCATTCAACGCTCAAACCAAGCACTCAACGCTCAAATCAAGCACTCAACGCTCAAATCAAGCACTCAACGCTCAAATCAAGCACTCAACGCTCAAATCAAGCATTCAACGCTCAAACCAAGCATTCAACGCTCAAATCAAGCATTCAACCCTCAAACCAAGCATTCAACGCTCAAATCAAGCATTCAACGCTCAAATCAAGCATTCAACCCTCAAATCAAGCATTCAACGCTCAAACCAAGCATTCAACGCTCAAATCAAACATTCAACGCTCAAATCAAGCATTCAACCCTCAAACCAAGCATTCAACGCTCAAACCAAGCATTCAACGCTCAAATCAAACATTCAACGCTCAAATCAAGCATTCAACGCTCAAAACAAGCATTCATAGCCTTGAAAAGCCTTGAAAAATCAAGCCAAGCCTTGTTTCAAGGAGTCAAGTTAGTCAGTTAGTCAAGTTTCAAGGAGTTAACGTATGAGCACGTTAAAGTACAAATCTTTGTAGGTGATGATATTTGATTAGCTTGAATAGCTTGAATAGCTTGAATAGCTTGAATAGCTTCATAGCTTGAATAGCTTCATAGCTTGAAATTTGGCTCATAAAGCCCATTTGACTTTTTTTGACTCTAATCTACTCCATAAAGGATGTCTAAAGTAGCAACTTTTGATAAAAGGATAAGCTACTTACAGTAAGTTTTACAGACTACTTACAGTAAGTTTCCCCTCAAAACATAAAGCACCTAGTGCACTAGGACTTAAGAAATTGAAAAACAATTGGAAAAAGCTATCTGAAAACTTTAAACTTTAAAAGTTATCTCTTTAAGAGACTCATTTTCATGTGTACCCTTTTATCAACATTAAATTATCTATTTTTTTTTGTTTGCTTTACTTAGAGGTACGAAGTAAATTCGCTGAGAAATCGCCTATCCGCATGGTTGACCCTTTTTGATCAAAAAAAGAAAAGAAACCCATAGAATATGGAAGCATATGCAAATTCAAAAATTTCAATCTCAATTTCCAGGCCTGCGCTGCACGGAATGTGGAGTGAAAGTACACGAGAAATGCCGGGAATTGTTGTCGGCGGATTGTTTACAAAGTGAGTTTGAAAATTGGGATTGAAGAAGGGATTGCTTTAAATTGAGATGGAAGAAGGGAGATGGCTTTAAATAATAAAGAAGTCAAAGAATTAGCGAGGAAAAGGAGATTTCCGGAGAGCCAGTTAAGCTAATAAGCTCGCCGAAACCAAAATCAGCTCAAGGCCAAGGTCCGACTTTGGATTCTCGCTTCTGACTTCTGACGCTTCGGTTCTGGCTAGGCTAGAGCAGTAAAGCCCTTAGGTCAGATTCAAGATCTTGACATTGACGTTCAAAAGCTTAACGTTCACGTTCAAAAGCTTAGCATTGTTCAAGAGCTTGACCTTGACGTTCAAAAGCTTGATGTTGACGTCCAAGAGCTTGACGTTGTTCAAGAGCTTGACGTTAACGTTCAAAATCTGAATGTTGACGTTCAAGGCCTTAACGTGGACGTTCAAAAATCTTGACGTAGACGTTGAAGATCTTAATGTTGACGTTGAAGATCTTGATCTTGACGTTCAAGGTCTTGACGTCGACGTTGAAGATCTTGACGTTGAGGTGCAAGATCTTAATGTTGACGTTCAAGATCTTGACGTTGGCGTCCAAGAGCTTGATGTTGTTCAAGAGCTTGACGTTAACGTTCAAAATCTGAATGTTGACGTTCAAGGCCTTAACGTGGACGTTCAAAATCTTGACGTAGACGTTCAAAATCTTAATGTTGACGTTGAAGATCTTGATCTTGATGTTCAAGATCTTGAAGTCTTGATGGTTCAAGGTTTATACCAGGATTAGGCCCGGAATCCTGACCTGAGCCCGTATGCTACGCTCCGGGAAAGTTTCTCACGGAAAATTTTTGACTTTCCGGCGACTACTACGCTTTTTTGGGAATTTCCCGCAGCATAGCAGGCCTCTGCCGGAAACTTTCCCGGAAAACTTTCAGTTTCCCGCTGCCGGAGGATTTCTTTCCGGCAGAGTTTCCGACGGAAACTTTCCCGGAGCAAAGCAAACGGGCTCTGGATGGTTTTTAGATCAGTGTTTGGGCTGGACTGGGCAATGATGACTCAAGTGTTGTTGAGCTGTGGCAGGGTTAGGCTAGACAAGAAGGAAAGCCAGATTAGAGCCAGATCCGAGAATTCTGGCGGTTTCCGGGTCAAAGCCAGAGCACTCTAAAGCTAATTATAAGTTAGGATTAGGCTAGCAGCAAAGTCAGCCTCAGACGTGATCCGGAAAGATCTATTTAGGACATTTTGGCCATAGGTGATCCTAAAACCAGGATTAAGCCAGTTTCAGGTTCTTGATCAGGCCAGGTACAGCGGCCAGGTAATCGTCAAAGTACAGCGTTTCAATAGACACCTAGTTTGGTTTTAAAAAGGCTCACAAAACAAATCTCAGGAGCTGCCGAGAAATCGTCAAAGCACGGCGAGGGTGATCGAACACAAAGCTTAATAGCCGGGATAAAGGATCGGATGAAAATTCAAGAGAGAAACAAGCCGGAACTCTTCGAAACGATTAGGTAAAAGAGTTGACAACAATAATAGACAATAGACAATAGACAACTAAAAACAATAACCCATAAAAATTAAAGACAAGTCTTCGGGGTGGACGACCGAACACAAACAGAGACGCTGAAACAAGTGAAAGCCTCAGTTTTGGAGGGAAGCAGCAAATGGAGTGCGAAGATTACGTTGACAGGTTTATCTTTTTGTTGTTAGAACTTTTCATAACATAACATGTACATAACAAGTACATAACAAGTACATGTCACGATGTACATGTTACGATGTACCTGTTACGATGTACCTGTTACGATGTACATGTCACGATGTACATGTCACGATGTACATGTCACGATGTACATGTCACGATGTACATGTCACGATGTACATGTCACGATGTACATGTCACGATGTACATGTCACGATGTACATGTTACGATGTACTTGCTACGATGTACATGTCACGATGTACATGTCACGATGTACATGTCACGATGTACATGTTACGCTGTACATGTTACGATGTACATATTACGATGTACATGTTACGAAATGCATGTTACGATGTACATGTTACGATGTACATGTTACGATGTACCTGTTACGATGTACATGTACTTGTTATGTATGTACTATATTTAGTGATCTGTGCCCAGGGATTGATTGCAAAGGACAAGACTGGGAAGAGTGATCCGTATGTGACGGCACAGGTGGGGCTTTAGATGACTTGTGAGCGTAATTTGTGCCAACTTATTGGTTACGGTAGTTTGATATTATCTAGTTTATGGGTTACGGTAGAATGACAGCTCATTTCCAGTTACCGTAACTTGAATTATGAGTTATCAGTACGGTAGTTCGATACTACAGTGGAACATCGATATAACGGACTTTAAGACGGGCCAAGATTGGCCAAGATTGACCAAGATTGGCCCCTTCCTTGGCCTTTCAAGATCAAGATTGGCCCCTTCCTTGGCCTTTCAAGATCAAGATTGGCCAAGATTGACCAAGATTGGCCCCTTCCTTGGCCTTTCAAGGTCAAGATTGGCCAAGATTGGCCTTTCAAGATCAAGATTGGCAAGATTGACCTTTCAAGATCTAAACACCTTTATTCCCATCACGTTTTTCATATTTACCATATACTTTTGCTTGAATCAAGCAACCCAAAGCCGTTTCGAGCTCCGTTTCCTCGTCTTCAACCTTCACCCGATCTGACTTCTGGCCCCACCTTTCATTCTTAATTGCTTCAAACAGTTCTCGCATCTTTCCCAAAATCGTTGCGATTGTTGATTTAGACAATTCCTTTGCCACTTAGACAATTCCTTTGCCACTTAGACAATTCCGTTGTCACTTAGACAATTCCGTTGTCACTTAGACAATTCCTTTGCCACTTAGACAATTCCTTTGCCACTTAGACAATTCCGTTGTCACTTAGACAATTCCGTTGTCACTTAGACAATTCCGTTGCCACTTAGACAATTCCGTTGCCACTTAGACAATTCCTTTGCCACTTAGACAATTCCTTTGCCACTTAGACAATTCCGTTGCCACTTAGACAATTCCGTTGCCACTTAGACAATTCCGTTGCCACTTAGACAATTCCTTTGCCACTTAGACAATTCCTTTGCCACTTAGACAATTCCGTTGTCACTTAGACAATTGCTTTGCCACTTGGACAATTCCTTTGCCAATTGAATCACTTGTTCAGCATCAATGATTCGCTTCTTCAATTCAAAATCAATTTTTCGAGGAGTAGAACCCGCTCGCTTCACCTAAAAAAATTATAAACTGTGTTTTTTCATTAAACATATTCTATTTCTAATAGGATTCAGCTTTTAAAGAAGCTGACACAATTTTGAGCAACAACAAAAGCTTTGCTCAAAAGGGGTAGAGCTAGTTTTGTTTTAAACGAAATGTCAAAGCTTACATATTTAAAAAATCAGAGTTAGACGAAATTTAACTTCGCTATATCGAAGTTTGAGTGTACCTGGGTTATGGATCATACTTGGGTAGAGTCAGTTCCAAAGTTAACCTGGCTACCGTAGCCTGTACTATGAGTTATTGTGATTACTAGCTGGATTATGGGGTTACGGTACCAGATCATGCTTTAGAAAGGCAATAGGCGATCAAAAGTGTGACCTAGTTACCATAATCGCATGTTAGCCTGATCATATATCATGCAATTCAGGTAGGAAAAGTGCGACGCCGAACGCGAACGATTCATCAAGAGTTGAACCCGGTTTGGAGCGAGAAATTCTTCTTGTAAGTTGTAAAATAAAACAATAATAAGCTAAAGCTAATAAATAAAATAAATTTAGAAGCTAATAGAAATATGGAAAAATAAAAATTCTTTAGTGAATGTCACAATTCGACTGATCGAATCAAGATCCGCGTTTGGGATGAGGACAACGATTTGAAAAGCAAATTGAGACAGGTATGGCTTTGGGAAAGCTTTGGGAAATCGTTTAGATTTGTAGAGGTTTAGAATTGTAGAGGTTTAGAATATAAATGTGAATTCAAAGATGATCGCAAATTTTCAGAAGCTTACGCGCGAGAGTGACGATTTCTTGGGTCAAACGGTGATCGAGGTGCGAACGCTGAGCGGGGAAATGGATGTTTGGTATAATTTGGGTAAGTTATTTGTAAAAGAAATGAAATTAAAGCTGAAATCGAGCTTTCTATCGATAGAAAGCTCGATAGAAGCTCTATCTTTCAAGAAAAAGATAAACCCTCTATGTTATTGAGTAGTGTTAGTGTTATCATAGTGTTAAACTTGAAAGAGTGAACTGAGCTTCGTTGTGAGCTTTGTGCTCAATCTAGTGAACACATTATGGTTGGTGCAATCGTTTCTTTCTTTTCTTCATTCCCATTGTGACAAGAAGTTGATTTTGCGAAGAAAATCAAGAATTCAGTGCCCCAGAAACAGTGTGTTTATACGATTCGAGCACAAAGCTCACAACGAAGAAGAGATAGTCCATAGGTTCATAAGTCCATAAGTCCATAAGTCCACGAGTCCATAAGTCCATAAGTCCACAAGTCCATCAGTCCATAGGTTCATAAGTCCATAAGTCCACAAGTCCATAGGTTCATAAGTCCACAAGTCCATAAGTCCATAAGTCCAACGATAGTCCATAAGTCCATAAGTCCATAAGTCCATCAGTCCATAGGTTCATAAGTCCACAAGTCCATAAGTCCATAAGTCCACAAGTTCACGGGTCCATAAGTCCATAAGTCCATAGGTCCATAGGTCCACAAGTCCATAGGTCCACAAGTCCATCAGTCCATAAGTCCACAAGTCCATAGGTTCATAAGTCCACAAGTCCATAAGTCCATAAGTCCAACGATAGTCCATAAGTCCATAAGTCCATAAGTCCATAGGTCCATAGGTCCACAAGTCCATAAGTCCATAGGTCCACAAGTCCATCAGTCCATAAGTCCATAAGTCCATAGGTCCATAGGTCCACAAGTCCATAAGTCCATAAGTCCAACGATAGTCCATAAGTCCATAAGTCCATAAGTCCATAGGTCCATAGGTCCACAAGTCCATAAGTCCATAAGTCCAACGATAGTCCATAAGTCCATAAGTCCATAGGTCCACAAGTCCATCAGTCCATAAGTCCATAAGTCCATAGGTCCATAGGTCCACAAGTCCATAAGTCCATAAGTCCAACGATAGTCCATAAGTCCATAAGTCCATAGGTCCACAAGTCCATCAGTCCATAAGTCCATAAGTCCATAGGTCCATAGGTCCACAAGTCCATAAGTCCATAAGTCCAACGATAGTCCATAAGTCCATAAGTCCATAAGTCCATAAGTCCATAGGTCCATAGGTCCACAAGTCCATAAGTCCATAAGTCCATAAGTCCATAGGTTCATAAGTCCACAAGTCCATAAGTCCATAAGTCCACAAGTCCATCAGTCCATAGGTTCATAAGTCCACAAGTCCACAAGTCCATAAGTCCATAGGCTCATAAGTCCACAAGTCCATAAGTCCATAAGTCCACAAGTTCACAGGTCCATAAGTCCATAAGTCCATAAGTCCAACGATAGTCCATAAGTCGATGAGATTAAACCACCCCACTATTAGATTCCACAGTACGCTATCGTATAAATTTTAAAATCTGACTACATTACCGCATTTTAGAAAAGAGAACCGACAAATCGGCTGTCTCGGGAGCGATCCGTTTGCACATTTCGGTGGAGATTAAAGGAGAGGAAAAGCTGGCTCCATATCATGTACAGTACACATGTCTACACGAGCATTTATTCTCGGTGAGTGATAGTTCATCAGAAATAGATAGTTTATTAGAAATCTACGTATAAAAACGTATAAAATCTACGTATAAATACGGACAATACGTAAAATGCTAGGGTATCAAAAAATCTGAGAAGAATTGATGGCTTGGCTGTTGAGAAATCACCGTGTAAAGTTTGCTGAGAACTTTTCCGAGAACTTTTCCAAGAAGAGCACAAGAACTCTATCCAACCTAATAGCTAGCTAAATGTAAATTTCAAAATTTCAGTCACATTGCACCGACAACGACGAGGTTCGGCTCCCGGATGCGAAAGGCGAGGACGCTTGGAAGGTAGCTTTTTTATCAGATCCATTATCTAAAAACATTTTTGGAGATTTTTTGAATAAAATCCCTGCATTTCTCCTTGCACTCCATAAAGATTTCATCGATTTTATTCGGATTGTTAGACGTTTAGACGTTTAGACGAATTAAATGCAAGCTGGTAGACCCAATAAAATGAATATCTTCAAATTCTGAGTTTTCTGGGATGTAGTTTTCTGGGAGTTATGAAAGTAGTGATCTATTGAGAGTTGTTGAATCTATTGAGAGTTGTATCGAGTAAGACAACACTGAACTCTACTAATATAAATTAAAATTTGTTTTAAAAGTGTATCATTTTCAACTTTACAACCCAAGAGTCAAAAGTTGTTCAGGTGTTTTTCGAGGAAATCTCGCAGGAGGTGATCGACGAGTTCGCGATGCGTTACGGTATCGAGGGGATCTACCAGGTGAGCTAAACGATCTAAAGCTGACTAAAATGGTGCTAAGTCTTGGCTGACAAAGTCGGCTATAGTAAATTGTAAGTAAAGTAATTTAAAGTAATCAAGTAAACTAGATCTAGAGAAATCTGGACCCGGGTTATGCCAGGGAAGGCTGCTGATGCCAGGGAAGGCTGGTAATGCCAGAGAAAGTTGGTAATGCCAGGGAAGGCTGGTGATGCCAGGGAAGGCTGGTAATACCAGAGAAAGTTGGTAATGCCAGGGAAGGCTGGTAATGCCAGAGAAGGCTGGTAATGCTAGGGAAGGCTGGTAATCCCAGGGAAAGTTGGTAATGCCAAGGAAGGCTGGTAATGCCAGGGAAAGCTGGTAATGCCAGGGAAAGCTGGTAATGCCAGGGAAGGCTGGTAATGCCAGGGAAAGCTGGTAATGCCAGGGAAGGCTGGTGATGCCAGGGAAGGCTGGTAATGCCAGGGAAAGCTAGTAATGCCAGGGAAGGCTGGTGATGCCAGGGAAGGCTGGTGATGCCAGGGAAGGCTGGTAATGCCAGGAAAAGCTTCTGACCAGATTCTAATTCTGATTCTGGTTTAGCCTGCTTGAAAATGACTTTTAGAAGAACCCAACTGGTCAACAATTTCCCTAGCTTTTCCCTAACAATTCCCCAATTCCCCAATTTCCCAATTTCCCCATTTCCCTAGCTCTAGCCTGACATGTCTTTAATTTCTAATTAAAAGCACAAGTCACAAAGTACATTTCCAGGCGATGACCCATTTCGCGTGCCTCTGCACCCGGTACATGTGTGGCTCTGTGCCCGCCGTTCTCTCAACTCTTCTCGCCAACATCAATGCCTTCTATGCACATACAACAGTCACTTCCACTGTGTCAGCATCGGATCGTTTCTCAGCGACGAATTTTGGAAAGGTGAATCTAGACATCTGCTAAAGTACTCTAGCTGCAGTGCCATAAGTGTATTGCAGCGTACGGCATACTGTACAGCATTCTGTACAGCGTACTGTACGGCATACTGTACGGCATACTGTACGGTATACTAATTGTGATCCAAGAGCTTTACATAGCTTACATTTAAGTCCAAAGTCTAAAGCTTTCTCGACGCAATTTCAATTGAGCAAATTGAGCAAAAAGTACACCAGAAAGAATAGGTTTAACTTTAACTGGATTCTGTACAGAAAAGAAAGGTAAACCGACACAGTCTATAGGTGAAAATCCATCCATTTCATCCATTCCATCCATTCCATCCATTCTCTCCATTTCCAACCCGAAAACCCATCAAAATTCTCATTTCTCTTTGAAAATCCCGATAATTTTACCCTAAATTTTCTTAATTTCCCCTCAAATTTTTGTTATTAAATCTCAAAAACTTATTGTTAAAAATATGCATTTATTGAAAATCAATAATGCGATACAAACAAAGGACAAGAAGAAATGAAGGTTTTTTTAAAGACATGAGGGTTAAAGACATGAGGGTTATAGACTTGAGGGTTAGAGATCTGAAGGCTAAAGCCATAAGGCTAAAGACATCAAGGTCAAAGACTTCAGGGTTAAAGACTTGAGGGTTAAAGACATGAAGGTTAAAGAGATGAAGGCTAGAGGCATGAAGGGTACAGACATAAGGCTAAAGACATCAAGGTTAAAGACTTCAGGGTTAAAGACATAAGGGTTAAAGACTTCAGGGTTAAAGACATCAAGGTTAAAGACTTGAGGGTTAAAGACTTGAGGGTTAAAGACTTCAGGGTTAAAGACTTCAGGGTTAAAGACATAAGGGTTAAAGACTTCAGGGTTAAAGACTTGAGGGTTAAAGACTTCAGGGTTAAAGACTTCAGGGTTAAAGACTTCAGGGTTAAAGACTTCAGGGTTAAAGACTTCAGGGTTAAAGACTTCAGGGTTAAAGACATAAGGGTTAAAGACTTCAGGGTTAAAGACATCAAGGTTAAAGACTTGAGGGTTAAAGACTTGAGGGTTAAAGACTTCAGGGTTAAAGACTTCAGGGTTAAAGACATAAGGGTTAAAGACTTCAGGGTTAAAGACTTGAGGGTTAAAGACTTCAGGGTTAAAGACTTCAGGGTTAAAGACTTCAGGGTTAAAGACTTCAGGGTTAAAGACTTCAGGGTTAAAGACTTCAGGGTTAAAGACATAAGGGTTAAAGACTTCAGGGTTAAAGACATCAAGGTTAAAGACTTCAGGGTTAAAGACTTGAGGGTTAAAACATAAGGGTTAAAGACTTCAGGGTTAAAGACTTCAGGGTTAAAGACATGAGGATTAAAGACCTGAAGGCTAAAGTCATGAAGGTTAAAGTCATGAAGGTTTTTTAAAGACACAATTTTATGGCACTGCGCCCGTTGTTACCCCTATTACCCCTATTAACCAAATGAAAGAAAGAACCCTTGAGTGGGAAAAAGAAACATTTAAATCTTGCCAGCGTGATTGATTGAAGTCTTGCCAGCGTGATTGAACCCTCGACCTTCAGCTTAAGAGACAAGACTCCCAACCGGTTGACCATCTGGCCTTAAATTTAAAAATATAAAAAACTAGATTAGAAATATTTTGCCTTTATCTTAGAATATTTGAGGATATTTGAGTTTAAAGTTGGATTGCCAAAGGCAAAGGGGCGTAGCGCGTATCAAATGTCCCACAATTATTGATCAATTGATATCAATCCTATTTTCCAAAGATTTTTAGCCGTTTCTTTACATTTTCTTTTAAAAAACTTCCGGAAATCCTACAAAAAACAGAAAATTTTTCGATTAAATCCTTTAGAGAAAAGCTATTTTTATCTATTTTCTGAAAAAAACTTTGAAAAAACTCTCGTAATAATCTTTGAGAGATTTCGAAATGAAAAAGAGGATTAATTTGAAAGAAAGAACGGCAAAATGACTCAAAATATCGTTTTTTTTAATTTCTATAGTTCTAAAAATAGAATGGATTAGGAAAAGAAAATGGATTTTGAAGAAAATGAATTTTAAAGAGAATGGATTTTGAATATTGAACTGGAAACTTCGTGAGCAGTTGTCTGATCCATTTGTTCAATGAAGCGAACCCTAGCCACTGTATCCTAAATCAAAATCGGGTCAAGGCCAGGATCCGACGTTGGATTTTTGCTTCTGACTTCTGACGCTGGCTAGGCTAGAGCAGTAAAGCCATTAGGTCAGATTTAAGATCTTGACGTTGATATGGGGTACGGTAAGAGGAAATAAATGTTGCATCGTTGGTTCTCCAGCTAATGGCTAGCCAAGGCAAGCAAATCAATGCTAGCCAGGCTAGGCCAGAGCTGTTCTGCTTCCCGAAATCCAGAAAGTCCAGGATGCGCTTGAGAAAGTCCAGGATGCGCTTGAGAAAGTCCAGGATGCGCTTGAGAAAGTCCAGGATGCGCCTGAGAAAGTCCAGGATGCGCCAGGATTTTTCCAAACGCTCCAGAGCATCAATCTTGGTTCCAACAACAACAACAACAACAACATCAAGTCCCAACAAGTCCCAACAAAGTCCCAACAAGTCCCAACAAAGTCCCAACCAATTTCCATTAGCGATCCAACTTTGAACTCAAATATCTCGGTGTTGGGCTGTCCAATTTCAATATTCTTGGTATCATTAGATGCGCAAAGACTTTCTCTGTCGATTGGTATAAAAACTATTGAAATTAAACAGCCCAACACCAAGATATTTGAGTTTAAAGTTGAATTGCCATTGGCAAAGGGGCGTAGCGCGTATCAAATGTCCCACAATCTTTCCCAAATATCCCCACACCTGTATTTCTGCCCATCTTTTTAAAAGGAAGTCATTTTCCTGTTTAATATATCTTTAAAAATCAATCGTTAAAGTTTGAGTTGAGTTTTTGAGTTGATTTCTCTTTTATCAGTTTCTATCGATGAAAAATCTTGGTTGCAATAATCTTTCCTGTATTTCCTAATAATCATGGCACAATCTTGCAATAATCTTGGCTGTATGTGCATAGTATTCTCGCGGAATTTTCTGATGGATTCGGGAAATCTTCCGGTAAAGCCGGAAGAAGGCTGAAGCCCATGCTTGAGAGGGGAGCATACGGCGGAAGTGGTAAAACCTCCCTAGCGACCCGTGAAGCCTTGTTTGCACTGCTTAACTTGTGAGGAAGCCATTTCCCGCATCAGATCGTCTTTCCAATAGCATTTGACCCAGATGGACATTTGATCCAGAGCATACCGGAGTTCTGGCCTGAGTAGATCATACCGGAGTTCTGGCCTGAGTAGATCATACCGGAGTTTTGGCCTGAGTAGATCATACCGGAGTTCTGGCCTGAGTAGATCATACCGGAGTTCTGGCCTGAGTAGATCATACAGGAGTTTTGGCCTGAGTAGATCATACCGGGGTTCTGGCCTGAGTAGATCATACCGGGGTTCTGGTCATGCTTATGAATGTGGATCAGTCATTCTTACTTCCGTTTTTATACCTTAATGACGGGGGTACGGTAGCTAAGGAAATGACGTCATTAGAGGATTGCAAAATTGCTCAACAAAATTGCTGAAAACAATCCTATTGCTAAAAAGCTTCAAAAATGTTTTTTTCATTTAGGAGCGCTTCGTTCGTCTTCTCGACCAACTGCACAATTCGCTGAAAATCGATTTGGCAATGTATCGGGTGAGTTGGAAAGTTGGAAATTTGGAAAAGCAAGAAATTTGAGAAATTAGATTTGAAATCATTTTTTGAATCATTTGGAATCAATTGAATCATTTCAAATCTATTTTTGAATCATTTGAATCATTTGAATCATTTGGAATCATTTGGAATCATTTGGAATCATTTGGAATCATTTGGAATCATTTGGAATCATTTGAAATGAATTTTTGAATCATTTGGAATCATTTGAAATCAATTGAAATCAATTGAAATCATTTGGAATCATTTGGAATCATTTGAAATCATTTGGAATCATTTGAAATCAATTGGAATCATTTGAAATGAATTTTTGAATCATTTGGAATTATTTGAAATCAATTGAAATCATTTGAAATCATTTGGAATCATTTGGAATGAATTTTTGAATCATTTAGAATCATTTGAATCATTTGAAATCATTTGGAATCATTTGGAATCATTTGGAATCATTTGAAATCATTTGGAATCATTTGAAATGAATTTTTGAATCATTTGGAATCATTTGAATCATTTGAAATCATTTGGAATCATTTGGAATCATTTGGAATCATTTGGAATCATTTGAAATCATTTGGAGTCATTTGAAATCATTTGGAATCATTTGAAATGAATTTTTGAATCATTTGGAATCATTTGAAATCATTTGAAATCATTTGGAATCATTTGGAGTCATTTGAAATCATTTGGAATCATTTGAAATGAATTTTTGAATCATTTGGAATCATTTGAAATCATTTGGAGTCATTTGAAATCATTTGAAATCATTTGAAATCATTTGGAATCATTTGGAATCAATTGAATCATTTGAAATCAATTTCGATCAATTCATAAACGATCGTTTGGTTTTCTGGAAACAAAATCTTTCGATAATGCATCAAAAATAGAGATTATTTCTTTTCTTTTCCTATTTTCCCCTTTTTTTTTATCCATTCCCTCCCCATTTCCCCAATCAGACGCTCATTCAAAAAAAAGGGATTCGTAAAACTCAAAAAAAGAATCGAAATCTAAATCTAAACCCTCAGCAAAATTTCTGGATTAACTTCTGTTTTTGCATTCGATTTTAATGAGCTTTTAAACTGTAGTTTTCACTTTATAGCTTTATAACTTTATAACTGTATAACTTTATAACCTTATAACTAACATAATTTACTTTATATTGAACTTTATGACTAATCTAAGCGACGAAAATGAAGGAGAGTAAAGATTTTTGGTGTAAACTTTACTCTTTACGGTTTATTTTAAAGTAAATTTCATAAGAATCTTTACTTTTAACTATTGGGTTGGGGACTATGACTCGGCGCCGAAAATCAAAAAAATGTCTAAAACTTCTATTCGACTTCGTCAAATAATATGCGTTTGATATCAGTAGAATGGTTAACTAATTCTCTACAAAACGACATTTAAAAGAAAATTCAAACAGCGCCTCCGCTCAAGAAAAAGCCATTTTTTCACAAAAACTACAAACTGTCATCTAGAAAAAACAATTGGTGGGATCTTCCTGCAAATTTTGCAACTTAAGTAATTGAATGTGCTCTATCTTTTTTATATAAACACCAAAGAAGGTTTATGTGAAAGAAACTGTTCAAATGATGAGTCGGGCTCTTTGCCATTTTGACTAGCTGTGTTTGGGAGTCCATAAACTCCACGAAAGAAAAGCTTTGTGGAATCTCTCAAAAGTCATTTTGTAGAGAAATAGTGGATCCTTTTGATGCAACCAAACGTATGTTTAAAGAAGGCTTTATGTGTGCAAAAAGTCCCTTTAAAGTTTGGCGCCGAGTCATAGTCCCCAACCCAATATTAACATCGAACAGCTATCATTTAAATCATTTGGTCATCACAACTAGTTGAAATTCCCTTGTTACCACATTGTATTAGCGTAACATAGCGTTAAGTCAACCCTAGCCCTTTTAGTCAAAAAGAAAACTTTTTCCGACTTCAAAAACTAACAATAAGATTTAAAGAAGAGGTTTTTAAATGCTTTGGATTTTATCTACTCGCTTGTTAAGCGATAAGCAATTCCTGGAAAGCAATAATCAATTCCTGGTAAGCAATAAACAATTCCTGGTAAACAATAATCAATTCTTGGTAAGCAATAATCAATTCCTGTTAAACAATAAGCAATTCCTGGTAAGCAATAATCAATTCTTGGTAAGCAATAATCAACTCCTGTTAAGCAATAATCAATTCCTGGTAAGCAATAGCAATTCTTGGTAAGCAATAATCAACTCCTGGTAAGCAATAATCAATTCCTGGTAAACAATAATCAACTCCTGTTAAGCAATAATCAATTCCTGGTAAGCAATAGCAATTCTTGGTAAGCAATAATCAATTCCTGGTAAGCAATAATCAACTCCTGGTAAGCAATAATCAATTCCTGGTAAACAATAATCAACTCCTGTTAAGCAATAATCAATTCCTGGTAAGCAATAGCAATTCTTGGTAAGCAATAATCAATTCCTGTTAAGCAATAGCAATTCCTGGTAAGCAATAATCAATTCCTGGAAAGCAATAATCAACTCCTGGTAAGCAATAATCAATTCTTGGTAAGCAATAATCAATTCTTGGTAAGCAATAATCAATTCCTGGTAAACAATAAGCAATTCCTGGTCCAAGGACAACAAAAAAAACAATTTCCTTGTCAGGCAGGAGACGTCTAGATGCTTTCTTTGTCCAATCTTTGTCCAATCTTTCCCCCATTTTGATGAAGCACTCAATTTTCTTAATAATCACTCAATCTGAGGCTTATTCGATGTCGATTTGTGAGAAATCCCGACTATAAGACGGGGTTTGTTTTTGGGGAAACGGGAAAAAAATCGGGGAAATCCCCAATGTGCGCAAATTTGGACGAAGAAAAACGGGAAAAAACGCAGGATTATCAACGCGAAGACCCCGTTTTGATATATTGGAAAAGAAAATGGCTTTTGAGATTTCCCTTTCTCATTTTGAAAACCCCATTCGCTTTAAATAAAGAAAGAAAAACTATCGTAAGCTTGTCTCGATTTTCTATCCAATCTATCTGTCGTAGCCGCTTATGAATTTCAGTCGATCATGATCTAGACGATTATGAATCAGTGGATCTAGACGATAATGAATCAGTGATACCAAACAATTGATGATTGGACGCGTCTAGATCCACTCATTCATAATTGAATCAAAATTAGCGGCACTCCCGTAGCCGATAATGAATCAGTGGATCTAGACGCGTCCAATCATCAATTGTTTGGTATCATTCAACGCCAAATCATTAATAATTATGTTAAATTTTTGAAATTAGAAAGATTGGATAAAAAGAAAGAAAATTAGAGCAAAAACAAAATTTTTGTTCGAAAGAGAACTTTGAAGCTTCATAAATTCTTTTCTTTTTATCTAATCTTTCTAATTTAAAAAATTTAACATAATTATCAGTGATTCTGCGTTGAATGATACCAAAAACTTGATGGTTGGACGCTCCTAGACCTAGACCTAGACCTAGACCTAGATCTGGATCTAGACCTTGACCTAGACCTAGACCTTGACCTAGACCTTGACCTAGACCTAGACCTAGACCTGGACCTAGACCTAGACCTAGACCTAGACCTAGGCCTTGACCTAGACCTAGACCTTGACCTAGACCTAGACCTAGACCTGGACCTAGACCTAGACCTAGACCTAGACCTTGACCTAGACCTTGATCTAGACCTGGACCTAGACCTAGACCTTGACCTAGACCCGGACCTAGACCTTTGATATCGATTGATGGATTTTAGCGATGTAAGCACAGGTTCAGCTTCATAAATAAAAGAAATAAGTTCACAAAACCCTGTCCTCAGTAAGACTTTCCCCATCTTTTTGTCTATTTTCCAATCTCCCGCTTCTCGAAAGTCGTAATCTCGATTTTGGTGACAATTTTGAGATTAAAATCAATCGCAAATAAACGATGACAACTCTGAAGTCATTAGTTTGACTTAACCACTGATTTCTCACGAAAATTCTCAATTCTCAATCAAAATCATTCAAAATTTCATCTATTTGGATGATTTTATTCAAATTTCAAATATATTTACTTACTAGTTAGCCCATTAATTGGAAAATTTCAAAATTTCATCTAATTTCAATCACAAAAACCTCAATTCTTTCAGAAATCTTTCATTTTAAGGCAATTTTCTATCAAAAATTTCAAGATTCTTTCATTTTAAGCAAATTTTCGATGAAAAATGATCGAATATCGATCTTTTTTAAAGCTTTCGATAATTTTTTATGAGAAACGATTGGATTTTGATCGTTTTTTAAGCTTTAGATTGTAAATTTCGAGAGTTTTTTACTAAATCTAGATATAAAATCATAAAATCAAATCATCGAATCGAATTTTAGAGTAATTTCCCCGCCTCTTCACCGACGAAACTCCAGGATTTGCGGAGCACAGTCGATTTGCTCACGTCGATCACCTTCTTTCGCATGAAAGTGAGTAAATAGTTGAATAAATAGTCGAGCTTGAAATTTCTATAACTTTTTACAGAGACAAGACAGACAAGACAAAAAAAGGCTTGTCGCCTTTTTTGGTTGGCTTTTTAGATACAGGATGGCTAAAAATTGCGATTTATTGCGACAAATCGAAAGGCCATTGTAGAATTGGATTTCATACTACTCTTTCCATCAAAAATATCTTTTCCAGGTACTCGAATTGGCTTCACCGCCGCGCGCCTCGAATGTAGTCAAGGAGTGCGCGAAGGCGTGCATGCAAGTGAGTCAAATGAACAAAAAATACTAAAGCTTAGATAAAAAATCACCTAAGATAGGCAATATGTAGTAAATTCGTTTATAAATTATAATGTAATTGTTAAATGGGGGTTAAGCGAAACCAAATAAAATAAATAAATAGGAACCAAGTAGGAACTACAGGGTGCGGCCAAAATATCCGGCGATGAAAAGACCGACTGGTCTTCAGAAAATTAGCAGAAAAGCTTTATAGAATTTTACTGAAAATAACAACAACAGTCCAAATAACAAAATAAAAACAGTTAAATCTCAAAGTTTCCTCCTTTTTCCTTCATGCAAGCCCTAAGTCGCTTCGGCACATCGTCGACCGCGGCACGGAGAGTCTCAACGGGGATTTTTGCCCATTCCTTGATAAGGGTGGCTTTCAAATTAGCATGTGGAGCTGATGAGACCTTTGCCTTCAAGATTCCCGATATGGCGAAATCCATAGAATTGATGTCAGGTGAATTTGCAGGCCATTCTTCCGGGGTAATGAAATCCACGTTTTGCTTGGCAAACCACTCCATGGTCTTTTTTTGCACGATGTGCTGGTGCAGAATCTTGTTGAAAGATCCAAGGTGCTCCAGAAAAGTGATTATCAGCCCAAGGCTTCATATGCCTCATCAAAATTTCTTTTTCGTAGTAATTTTGATCAATTTTCACACCTGGCTGCACAAAAACAAGAGGTGTTTTTCCATCAGCGGTCATCCCGGCCCAAACCATCAACGATTTTGGATGAGCCGATTTTTGGACAATTCTTCCCTGAGAATTTGCCGTGGCAACATCTTTTGTTAAAATCCGATTATTTTGCTTGTTGAATTCCTGCTCAATTGTGAATGGCGCTTCATCCGACCAGAGAACCCTCCGATGCGTGCCACCCTTCAAACGCCGCAACAAAACTTTGCATTTCTTAAGTCTTTGTTTCACTTATTTATCAAAAAAATAACTTATTTATAAAAAAATAATTGAAACATATAAAAAAGAATAAAAAAATGCATAAACATAAAAAGAAGCGTGAATAAATGAGTTTTCGCAGTATTATGGCTAAAAGTACGTTCCGCCGGATATTTTGGCCGCACCCTGTATAAGGAAACAATTAAGAATCAAATAGAAACCAAATAGGAACTACATGGAAACAAATAGGAACCAAATAGAAACCAAATAAGAATCAAATAAGAACCAAAGAAGAATCAAATAGGAATCAAATAAGAACCAAAGAAGAACCAAAGAAGAATCAAATAGGAACCAAATAGAAACCAAATAAGAACCAAATACCGTATTTCTTCGAATAGAAGACCGGGTAAAGAGTATGATCGCGTACTCCTGCGTAGCAGCCCTTTTTAAAATTTCTTTTCTGCATAAAAGCTTTCAATGAAGCTATCGAGCTGGAAAATGGCTCAAAAATCTGTTAGCTCATGTGGTATTTTTGAGCCATTTTCCAGCTCTATAGCTTCATTGAAAGCTTTTATGCAGAAAAGATCTTCTAAATCTATTCGAAGAAATACGGTAAGAACCAAATAAGAACCAAATAAGAACCAAATAGGAACCAAATAAGAACCAAATAAGAACCAAATAGGAACCAAATAAGAATCAAATAAGAATCAAATAAGAATCAAATAGGAATCAAATAAGAACCAAATAAGAACCAAATAAGAACCAAATAGAAACCAAATAAGAATCAAATAAGAATCAAATAGGAATCAAATAGGAACTACATGGAACCAAATAGAAACCAAATAGGTACGGAAAAAATTAATGTCGTATTTTTTCACTAAAGTTCCAACGTTCATAAAATTTTTATTTCAAAAGCAATTTAATCAAAGCAAAAACCAGTAGAATCTATACATGATTGCCAACGTTTGGCTAACTTTTCAATTCCTAAAGTGTAGAACGCGGACCCCATTGAATCGATAAACTCCTTGATGCCATTTTCGATCTCCCCTTGAGTAGCAAAGCATTTCTCCGATAAGAAGTGATCGAGGAACTTGAAAAAGTGGAAATCTGTAGGCGACAAATTAGGAGAATATGGAGCATGAGGGTCGACTTCAATGTGCAGCTCGTTCAATTTTTGAAGAGTCTTTAGTGAACAATGCGGGCGGGCGTTGTGTTGCAATAGGATGGGACTCTTCCAAAATAAGAAAGAAACCAAATAAGAACCAAATAGGAACTACATGGAAACAAATAGGAACCAAATATGAACTACATGGAAAATAGAAACCAAGCTCACTCTTGAGCTTTGAGCTTTGAGCACAAGGGAATCTGAAACCACAAAAAGCCGTGCTGAAACAAATCTGTGATATGAAAAAAGCAATTGATAGCAAGCAAAATGTACTTTGTGTTCAAATTTGTAAACAAAACCCTTCTGGCTTACTTGATTCTTCATTTTTCTCGTGAAACCAAAGCGTTGCTGTGAGAAAAGCGAGGGATTAGCGCCAGAAGGGATACGTTTACAGATTTGAGCAGCTTTTTCAGCTGTCAGCCAAAAAGCCAGCTTTTTTTATGAGATATCAGGTCAAATTTTCTTGCAAAGTCTCATCCTAGAATAACTAACTATTTAACTAACTATTTAAGATGTTAAGGGGGCCCAGAAAGGGAAGGGTCTGTGGTCGACCCCGTCCGATCTGCCAAGTTGAGCAGCGTCGGCGCGGGTTAGTCGTGGGTTCGACTCCCATGGGTTCCCCTCCGAGCGCCCCAGCCCGGCCATCGGAGTATCATCGGCTACGACAACTACACTTCTGCCTCAGTAAATGTGGAAGCGGGTTGTGATCTGCGCTAAGTGCGAAGACAGATCAAATCATTATTTATTTATTTATTATTTAAGATGTTAAACTATTTTCAAGATGTTAAATCTTCTTTTCCATTTCAAATCCCCTTTTTCAGGCCACCTACCAGATGCTTTTCGAGCGCTGCTGTGAGAGTGGTGGGCCATCAGTGGACTCAGTGCAATTCTGGTATTATTTCATCGACGAGTTGATGCGAACGATTGAAGAAGATCAACAGGATTATACACCCGCGTTGAATCAATTCCCGCAGGTTTGAAAACAAAAAATAAAGTGCTCAACGATGCTCAACAAAGTGCTCAAAAGAACCCTACAGCCCACGTAGGCTCGGTTTTTCTTTATCAGCTACAAATTTTACCTGTAAAGCCACAGATCTACTATATATAAAAGAGAAGTGTCTGCCTGTTTGTACAGGCATTTTCTCGGCCATTTTTTGACTAATAAAGCTAAAAATTCTTTAAAAAACTTTAGAATATATCGTAGTTTTGCCATTTTGAAAAAAATCTTAAAGATCAAAGTTGGGTGAACCACCCGGGAATCGAACCCGGACCCTGTGGGTTGTAGCCAAGGGCACTGCCGACTGCGCCATAGTCACCAGAGGAAGCTGAGAAAATCTAGCCAGATAAAAACATCTAGGCTGGTTTTTCTAGCTGAATGTCGCGTGGCGCCTTGGGCTTGTCATTGATAAAACCTTTTCTTTTGCCTGCTCTTCCCATCGGTCTCGTGGTGTAGTGGTTATCACATCTGTCTAACACACAGAAGGTCGGCGGTTCGATCCCGCCCGAGATCATTTTCGTTTTTTCTTGAAAAATTTCACCAACCAAAGCTACACAAAATTTCACTAGACACTTTAAAAGCACTTTAAAGCACTTTTGAGCGCTTTAAAATACTATTCTAGCCGTGACACGGCTACACAAAGACAAAATCAATAATTATATACCTCCTAGACATGGGAATTTCCACAAAAACTAAAATTCCGACCCGAACCTAATTCCACCTTCGTTTTCTTCGCCGCTTCTTGGCAGATTGCTCTGAAATTTTGTCTACAGATACAAATCGACATTTCCAGCTTGTAGACAAAATTTCAGAGCAATCGGCCAAGAAACGACCGAGAAAACGAAGATGGTATTAGGTTTAGGTTGGAATTTTCCCGTGTCTATTACCTAGCAGGTAGATTAGGTGTCAAAAGCTTTACGATAGCTATATTAGCTCTATTGAAGCTCTATTAGTTCTATTGAAGCTATATTAACTCCATTGAAGCTCTATTGAAGCTATATTAGCGTTATTGAAGCTATATTAGCTTTATTGAAGCTAGATTAGCTCTATTGATGCTATATTGAAGCTATATCAGCTCCATTGAAGCTATATTGAAGCTATATTAGCTTTATTGAAGCTATATTAGCTCTATTGAAGCTCTATTGAAGCTCTATTAGCTCTGGCTCTATTGAAGCTCTATTAGCCTTCAAACTACTAGCCTAAACTCTCAATAATGACTACCATTCCTTTACGAGGCTAAAAAAGTCATTCAGTGACTGAATAGTACAGGCTGTATGATTCAAAAACTCTTAGCTTGCTCAACAAAAACTTATTTCCAGGAGCTCAACGTTGGTCAATTATCCGCGGCAACGCTGTGGTACTCGTACAAGATGGATCTCCAGATTGCATTGGAAGGTGAAAAGATCAAAATCTATAGTGTAAATGAAATGCCAATATTTCTAGAACACGCCGAAAAGAAGAAATGTCAGACGCGAGAATACATGAATTTGTACTTCAAAGTGAAAGGGTTCTACTTCAAGTACATCGCCGATTTGCCCCAATATAAACAGTCGATTCCCGAGTTCCCAGCGTGAGTTTTTAATGATAATAATGTAATCAATGCTCAGAGTGAACAGAGTGATTTAAAAGTTGATTTAAAAGTTCAACAACTTTTTACTAAAACTACTAAACTTCATTTTAAAAAAAAAACTGAGGAAAGCTATTCAATTAAACTTTTTTTAAATGACAATTCAATGAAAATCTTAATAAAATTATTTCAAATAAATAATAAGTCTATAGCTAAATTAATCAACTTTTTTGATCTAATACGGCTCCAATACGGTTCCAATAAGGTTTTTTTAAATTAGCTTTAAAGCTAATAGCTTTCCTCTTGTTTTAAAGCTAATAACTTTCCTAAAAGCTAAATTTCTTCTTTGAGCCGCTACCCAAATTAATCAACTTTTAATGTTTATACAGGCTCAGGCTCAGGCTTAGGCTCAGGCTTAGGCTTAGGCTTAGGCTTAGGCTTAGCTTAGGCTTAGGCTTAGGCTTAGGCTTAGGCTTAGGCTTAGGCTTAGGCTTAGGCTTAGGCTTAGGCTTAGGCTTAGGCTTAGGCTTAGGCTTAGGCTTAGGCTTAGGCTTAGGCTTAGGCTTAGGCTTAGGCTTAGCTCAGGCTCAGGACTAGAAAATTGAAAAGAAAAGTCGATTTTGGCATAAAGTAAAATGATTCAACACTTCTTAAAATATCAATATTTTTAAAAAGAAAACCCCAGCCGGGTTTTCTTTAAATAGAAAACCCGGATTACCTTTTCCGAAATTAGAAACTCACTCTTTTGAGTAAAAGAGAGCTGAGTAAAAGAGATTTGTAGTCGACAAAAGAATTCATTTGTACTACTGAAAAGGGGAAAATCCGCTGATTTCCGAGATTTCCGGGATTTCCGGGATTTCTCTATTTGCTTTTTCAAATCTTTTTTCTATTCTTTTTTCTATTCTATTTCAATTTTCCATTCTTCTCTATTTCTTAACATTTTTTCGATCTTTTACCCATTTTTTTGCTCTTTCTTATTCACCGGATGTTGCCGGGAATGGGCTTTCTCCGGTCTCTTTTTGGTTCAAAAGCTCTTCTGAAAATGAAAGAAAAAGCTTTCGATAACTAGAATTTATCTAAATTTAGCTAGATTTTTCTAAATTGATCTAGATTTATCTGTATTTATGTAGATTTATCTTAATTTATCTAAATTGATCTAGATTTACCTAGATTTATCTAGATTTATCTAGATTTATCTAAATTTATTTAAATTGATCTAAATTGATCTAAATTGATCTAAATTGATCTAAATTGATCTAAATTGATCTAAATTTATCTAGATTTATCTAGATTTATCTTAATTTATCTTAATTTATCTTAATTTCTCCAAATTTCTCCTCTTTTTTGGCCTTTTTGGCCTTTTCTCTCTGAAGACTTTAAACCAAAGAAACCTTGATTTTTAGTTTCTTTTTTCCACCTTATCCTTTTAGAAATCATTTCATAGCGCTTTTTTTGACTAACTATAAAAATTCTGAACATATCTTTATTCATATAAACACTTGAAAGCTTAAAACCCGTTAAAACCCATTAAAACCCGTTAAAACCCGTTAAAACCCGTTAAAACCCGTTAAAACCCGTTAGAACCCGTTAAAACCCGTTAAAACCCGTTAAAACCCGTTAAAACCCGTTAAAACCCGTTAGAACCCGTTAGAACCCGTTAAAACCCGTTAAAACCCATTAAAACCCGTTAAAACCCGCTAAAACCCGTTAAAACCCGTTAAAACCCGCTAAAACCCGTTAGAACCCGTTAAAACCCGTTAGAACCCGTTAGAACCCGTTAAAACCCATTAAAACCCATTAAAACCCGTTAAAACCCGTTAGAACCCGTTAGAACCCGTTAAAACCCATTAAAACCCATTAAAACCCGTTAGAACCCGTTAAAATCTACTCTTTTACGAAAGCTTTAAGTTGGTTCATCCCGTTTGTGATGGATTGGTTGAATGAGAACGATGAGCACTCGATGGACATCCTCCGAAATGCCTATAATATGTAAGTTTAAGATAAAGTTTGAAATATCGAATATATTTGAAATATATTGGATAAATGTAAAAATCGTTTCCAGGGACAAGAAAGATCAATTCCCACAAACGTCTGAGCACACGAAATTCTCGAATTCGGTCGTCGACGTGTTCTCACAGCTCAACGAGGCGTTGAAGCTCTTGAAACAGGTGATTTGGTTTATAATTAGCCTTCCATGTGATTTGGTTTATAATTAGCCTTCGGATTTTTTGGAAGAAGGTTAGAAGCTAGCCAGAGCCTAGTTTTCTACTAACCGGATCTGGTCGGACCTAAAAGGATCTAAGATCTGGCCTCTATCTAAGGAAAGTGCCTCTAAGGAGTATCTAAGGAATAGCTATAAGTGCCAGTCTAGTGTCTGATCTAGCTTGATCTGGAGTAGGGTCTGATTTGGTCTAGTCAGGTCGTTGATCTAGTCAAGCCGTTGATCTAGTCAGGCTGTTGATCTAGTCAGGCTGTTGATCTAGTCAGGCCATTGATCTAGTCAGGCTATTGATCTAGTCAGGTCGTTGATCTAGTCAAGCCGTTGATCTAGTCAGGCTGTTGATCTAGTCAGGCTGTTGATCTAGTCAGGCCATTGATCTAGTCAGGCTATTGATCTAGTCAGGTCGTTGATCTAGTCAAGCCGTTGATCTAGTCAGGCTGTTGCTCCGTTCCCGGAACTTCCGGCGGGAAATTCGCTGACCGAGTATTCCGGCGGAGCGAAATTTTCCCCTACAAAGTTTCCTGCAGAGACGAAAGATTCCATAAAGGATTGAGGAAACATTTCTGTATACACAGTTTAAATAAATACACAATTTAAATAAAAATCCTCTAAGATATAGTAATATAATAGTTGCAAATTTCCAGATGGACTGCCCGAACCCGGAGGTCTACTCAGAAATGATGCGACGCTTCTCGAAAACCCTCAACAAGGTACAGTAATCTACCATAATCTACAGTAATCAAGCTAATAGATAATAGAGAGATAACTTTTCTAATAGACAATAGAAAGCTAATAGACAATAGAAAGCTAATTTTCTTATATCCAAAATTCCAGGTGCTATTAGCGTATGCGGATATGGTGCAAAAGGATTTCTCGCAATTCACCCAAAACGAGAAGTTGGCCTGCATTTTGATGAACAACGTGCAACAGCTTAGGTATGCAAATTTAACAATAGATAAGTTTAGATAGAAATTAGATCTAGATAAATTCTACATTTCTAGAAATATTTATGCAAATTTTTCAGGGTTCAACTCGAGAAAATCTATGAAAACATGGGCGGGAATGAGCTCGACTCGGAGGCCAGCCAGGTTCGATATTTAGATTAGCTATCCGGATTTGAATCTGGACTTGAACTCATTTTGCTTGGACATGATAGGGTTCATCGGGTGATGTGATGCTAAATTTACGTCAATGAGAAAAGATAACAGTGTTTGGTGAACTTTGTACATTTCTATTCATTTTTAATCACTCACTATCGGATCTAGATCTGGACTAGAGCCTGGATCTAGATCTGGACTAGAGCCTGGATCTAGATCTGGACTAGAACTTGGATCTAGATCTGGACTAGCGCCTGGATCTAGTTCTGGACTAGAGCCTGGATCTAGATCTGGACGAAAGCCTGGATCTAGATCTGGACTAGAGTCTGGATCTAGATCTGGACTAGATTCTGGATCTAGATCTGGACTAGAGCCTGGATCTAGATCTGAGCTTGAACCTGGATCTAGGTCTAGACTAGAGTCTGGATCTAGATCTGGACTAGAGCCTGGATCTAGATCTGGACTAGAGCCTGGATCTAGATCCGGACCAGAGCCTGGATCTAGATCTGGACTTGAACCTGGATCTAGATCGGATCTTGAACTTGGCTCTAGATCTGAACTTGGACTACTTGCTGAACATACCCCTAAACCCTGATTCGGATATCCATTAAAATACAATATCCACAAAATATAGATATTATCTATTATCCTCAAATTTTAGGTGCTAACAAACTTGCAAAAGAAGCTGAACACCGTATTGGACAAGCTGAGTCGACAGGTTGGTTTGGGAAAATTTGTGCTATGAATAAAATATTCAATTGGATATAATAGATAGCTTAATAGATGAATATAACAGTTATTCAACTAATACAAGATATTTAGTTCGCTGTCTCGCTTGAGCGCGGAATTGAGGAGCAGATGAACGAGTTGAGCACTCGTTTATCCAAAGTCAAAGGCCCACAACAGCAGAAAACCCAAGTGCAACAGGTAGGCAAAGCAATAAATAAGCTAATTTGTCAGTATAAAAGATATCTGACTATAAAAACATATCTGACTCATCAATTACAGGAAGTGGACATGGTTTTGGAACCATTGATGGATATGATGGAAGGCTCTTTACAAAGATATGCTCAGGGTTGCGAGAAGACTGTGCTCAAATATTTGCTAAAGGTTTGAATAGAGCTTGAAAGCAAAAAACGTTGATCGATCGATCGAAATCATGATCGATCGATCATCAGATGAGGTCGTAACTTGTTCTTAGATTTGAGGCTATAAAATCTTATAGCTAATTGATGAAAATTTGCTCTTATCGTTGAATAATGAATCTTTTAGTCTATGTTAATCTTAAAGCTTAAAGATATTCAGTTATTCGAGTTGTTTTTGATTAATGAAGATTGATTTTTCATGTTCTTACTGTTCTTACTGTTCTTACTGTTCTTCTTATTGTTCTTACTGTTCTTACAAGGTCTAAAAACAGGGCGAAAGTGCAGTAAAGCATTCGTCAATTCTTTTTCAATAAAAATGATAGTTTAATTTAATCTCCAGCATAAAATACTGTATCTAATCAAATCAAATCAAATCTAATCAAATCAAATCTATATCAAAAACATTTTAAGATTGAAATTTTTCAGGAACTCTGGCGAATGACCATCCAAGGAATGGAGCGAATCGTCGTTTTGCCTCCATTGGCTGACAAAGCTGCGGTAAGGTTTTTGTGATTTTAGATTCCTTTTCGGCACAGATTTGGTTCCTTTTCGGTACAGATTTGATTCCTTTTCTCTACAGATTTGGCTAGGCTAAGTAAACTAGACCTGTAACCTAGGCCAGGTAAACTAGACTTGTAAACTAGGCCAGGTAAACTAGGCCAGGTAAACTAGACCTGTAACCTAGGCCAGATAAACTAGGCCTGTAAACTAGGCTCTACAGATTTGATTCCTTTTCGGTACAGATTTGGTTCCTTTTCGGTACAGACTTTGTTCCTTTCTCTACAGATTTGATTCCTTTTCTCTGCAGATAATGAATGAAAAATTAGATAATGAAAAACCAAAAAAAATCAAGAAATCAAATGTATTTAGCTTAAATAGCTTATTATTCAAAAGCTTATTCAAAAATTGTATCTAAAATCAATTCCAGATCCTTCGCCAATTGCCAAACGCAAAAATCGGCGGCGCGATGAAGTTAGCGTCAAATTTGAAAGATATGAAGAACATGAATTCAGTGAAAGAGATGATGGTTTGTCATTTGAAAATAGATTATAAGATAGGTGTTTTAAAATAGAGCTTTTAAAATAGATGTTTTAATGATAATTGTTTTACGTTGTACTTTTAGGACTTGGCGAGAGACTCGGAGCGAGCGTTGAGCCCGAAACAGTGCACTGTGTTGGACGCGGCTTTGGATATGATAAAGGTTCGTTTTCGTTTTCGATTCTTTTTAGAAATAGAGCTTGAACTAGATTTGAAAAAATATAATCAAATCCAAAAATAAATTTAGGAATCTTTTCACGCTGGTGGGATGGGCTTGAAGAAATCGTTCTTCGAGAAAAGTCCAGAGTTGCAATCGCTGAAATATGCGCTCTCGTTGTACACACAGACGACGGAACAACTCATCAAAACTTTCATCCGATCACAGACGAATCAAGGTAAGTAAGAAGAAAATAAGTGAGGCAGTGATTAGAAAAGCGTAAGGCTTAGGCTCTTCAGTCAATCTTCAATTGACAAGATTCTACAGGCTGTTCAATATTTATTGAGACCAGTAGATTACTAGATTTAGAGCTTATTTTGTACAAGTTTAATGTGAAAAAGAAAACACACTTATCAATACGCTCAACGTTAACAACTTTAAATTACTTTTTTCAAAAGCTTTGCTGTTGCTTCCTGTCGTTGCTGTCCACTTGTTGCTTTCCTAGAAACACCTGTGGAAAGCGGCTACTGAATAAATTGAATTTGTCACAAACTCTCGTTAAGCTTAAGAACCATAACTAAAATCCATAACTAAAATGAAGAAGAACCATAACTAAAATCTGATTCTAACATTTTAATGTCTCGTAGCTTCTAAAACTGTTAAATAGTGAAGACTTTCTCATCGTTAAACAAGAACAACTGAGCTCTGATTCCCGTTGGTGAAATTTAGTGATCGAGTTTCGATGAATTGATTTTTGAAATATCAAAAATAGTCTACAAAGTCGAGTTTTTTCCAACTCTTTTGCAGTGCTTTGTTATTTTTTTTATAAATCAACCAAGCACTAAAGATCTGCGAGCTTAAAAGTCCCCATAAATACTGAACACTTTGTAATCTTTCTGAAGATTACAAGTTCTGCTGAAGCTAAAGCCAGAGATGTTCTGTGACCAAGAGCAAGCCAGTTAGAACATGATCAAAAGTCAGAGCCCGTATGCTACGCTTTGGGAAAAGTTCTGGCGATGTCTCTGATCTTTACGGCGGCACCTTTGATCTTTCCAGGAAAGCGTCCATGGTTTTCCCGCGAACTTTTCCTTAGAAAGTTCCTCGAAAAGTTTTGGCCGAAAGTTTTACCGAAAAACTTTCTGAGTACGAAAGTACGCTCCGCGTGATAACCATGAACGTTTTACCGGAAAGTTCAAAGGTGCAGAGATCAGAGATCAGAGAAACAGACTGTTGTTTCAGACCGAAACTTTTCCCGGAGCGTAGGATACAGGCTCAAGTCTGAGCTAGGGCTAAGACCTGTCCTGGTAAAGAAAGGCAAGGTCCGAACGCAGGCCAGGACCTGGCCCTACTTTGCCTGCAGGTTTTTAAAAAAAGTATTTTTTCAGCCCTAGACAAAAGGCTTCTGGCAAGCTTCTAGCAAGCTTCTGACAAGCTTTTGACAAGCTAATTGCAAGCTAATTATAAGCAAACTTCAAGCAAAGTCAGAAGCCAGGCCTGGCCTGAACTGAGCCGGGGAAATTGTTTTGAAATTTTGAAAGTATTGTATTGAAACAACCCCTAGCTAAAGATATTTCGCTTTTATTCATGAATATTCTTTATTTCAAGATACTAAATAGAAATCTTTACATATTACATTATTTTTTCTTCTTCTCGAATTGTATCTTTTCCAGATCAACCCTCCCAAGAGCAACCGGTCGGCGAGATCTCGGTGACTGTCGATCTCTTCAGTCATCCAGCAACTGGAGAACAAAAGCTCACGATAAAGAGTTCGTTTTGAAAATAGTGCATTGAAAATAGTGCATTGAAAATAGTGCATTGAAAATAGTGCAATTTATTATGCTAATTTGCATTTATTATGCTAATTTGCATTTAATAAGTATAATAATTTCTTAATAAACTTCTTAACAAACTTCTTAATAAAGAAACTTAGAACATTTTAAATCTAAAAATTTCAGTCTATGCCGCGAACGATCTCCGCTGGCAGACCACCTCCGTCTTCAAGCCGTTTGTTGAAGTGCATTTGGTGAGTGAGCTGGATAAGAATATCTAAAAATATCTAAAAATAACTAATAAATAAATAAATAACTAATAAATAACTAATATCTAGAAATAATCAACCTTTAGATAGAAACTAGATGTGCAGTGTGTGAGAGAATACCGATTGGGACGATGATTATTGGATATTTATTCTGAATCTAGCACAATACTAATCTAGCGAGAAAATACAATAAAATCGAATCAATCGTTGGTTCAGTGTTTCATAGCAATACGAAAAGGCAATACGAAAGGAATATACGGAAAGAATATGAAAGGGATAATATAAAGCTGGCTCCGTCCCTTTTATCCGTCCCTTTATCATAAAAGCAATCTTTTAGAGGCGGGACAAGAAGATCAGACATTCAAATCAAAACATTAAATAAGATTTCACAGAAAAGAGCCACTTTTCTGCACACTAGATTATTAATCTGTATCAAACTCCAGGTTGGACCCCATTTGGCCGACAAGAAGCGTCGTGTGGCCACGAAATCCCGACAGGGTGAATGGGCACCCAAATTCAACGAGACTTTCCATTTGTGAGTGTTTAAAATTGGCATTTAGACTTGAAGTATACTGTGAAAGTGGGAGGGATTACTGTAGGTTTATAAAAACAGCTTTAAAGCAGTTCTCAAGTACAGTTCTCAAGTACAGTACTCAAAGCAGAGTTGAGCAAAGCAAACGTTTCAAATTGGCTTCCAGGATTACTGTAGACTTTTCTACTTTTTTCTACAGTACAATAGAAAGACAGTAATTAAAGCTACAGTACATAAATAGCACTCGATGTACACTGTAAAGTGCTGAAAGTACTGGAAGATTACGGTAGATTTTTACAGAATAAATGACGCCAGGGTGAGCTCTTACAGAATCTCTTCAACTTACCTGACTAAAGAGCATCGCCAGGCGCCCATGACTTTTCCGCTCATGACTTTTCCTTTTCCTTTTCCATGACCGTTGCACGTTTTCTGACTCCGAATCTGACCCAAATTACATTAGAACAGTAAGGTAAATTGGTAGTAAGGAACAGTAAGGTAAATCCAAAGCCGTAGTCTGCGGACTACAGCCCTCAAGGGCCGTAATCTGCGGCTTTGGCGATGTTGGCTAGTTAACTTCGTTGTGAAAAGTGAACTCAAATAAGGAGGCCTAAAAACCTAAAAGTCTAAAAGTCTAAAAGTCTAAGCCTAAAAGTCTAAAAGTCTAAAATATCTCAGCAGCCCTCAAGGGCAAAAACTGAATTCGAATTTGGATTCGGAATCAGCCTAGTCGATTCTATAAGATGGAATTGGTCACGTTTTAAAAAGTCACGAGCGCCTGGCGACGTTTCCTAAGTCGACGCTCCCTAGTGAGTCGCAAAGTCTTACTGTAAATTCTGATTTCAGATTCTTGGGCAACGAGGGTGAGCCGGAGCACTACGAGTTGATGTTCCAAGTGAAAGACTACTGTTTGATGCGAGAGGATCGAATTGTTGGTGTGGGAGTGCTGCAGTTGGCGCAAGTCGTCGAAGCTGGTGAGTCTAGGCAGTGGATACATCGAAAAAATAAGACAATAAGACAAGTGATTGAGAAGAGGGTCCGCTTAGGAGTGCTTTGGTCGCACAGTTACAGGGTACAGCTACAGGGTACAGCTACAGGGCACAGCTACAGGGCACAGCTACAGGGTACAGCTACAGGGCACAGTTACAGGGCACAGTTACAGGGTACAGTTGCAGGGCACAGTTACAAGGTACAGTTACAGGGCACAAATGGCTTTTTGAGGCTCAAATGTATAAACCCATCACTTCACAATTATTTCCTCAGGGGCGCTTTGGTCTATTGAAGTGATGGGTTTATACATTTGAGCCTAAAAAGCCATTTGAGCCTAAAAAACAAGATAAAGCATAACTTCATTTGGATTATACAAATAAACACAACAAATCGTTTTTAAATGCAAGCCGAATACGAAAATTGACTAATTTTTATCTATTGGTCTATTGATCTATTGGAATCTATTTATTTATCTATCTATAGTAACTTCTAGTTTTTAAATGTTTGAGCTTTATAAACAGCTCAATTATGAGCTTTATAAACATTAAAATTTATAAAATAATAACTTTATAAAGATTTAAAAACTAATCCAACTTAATTTATGAAGAATTTCTAAAAAAAGAACAAAAAAAAGGAAAGAAAAATGGGCTATTGGGGACCTCAAGAGGCACTTTTTCGCCCCTCCCTCTAGATGCTCTTTGGCCGAGTGGTTAGCGGTCTGACCAACGAGGCGGTCTCGCCCGAGTTCAATCCCGCTCTTTGCAGGTGGATCGCTCAATCAATGGGTTCAATTGGGAACTCGACTGCACATTGATGAGACTGGATTGATTCTGTTGAGGATTTTGAGTCAACGCCAGAATGATGAGGTTTGGGTGTGGCTGTGATGCATAAATGAATTTACTGATCATTGTTGAATGAAAAGATTCCCCGGCTGAGCCATGTTTTTTGTGGTTTTTGTCGGGGAAAGCTGGATTGGATGGAATTGGATGGAAGGATGGAATAGGTTACCTAAAGTTTCTTAGGCTTTACAGCACAAAGCTCAACTTTGTAAACGTCTCCTTTCTAATGCACTGAATTCCTCGGTTTTCTTGCGAAATGCGAGAAAAAACTGAAATCTCGAATTTTTCTCGCATTTCGCAAGAAAACTGAAGAATTCAGTGCACTAGAAAGATTGTGTTTACAATTTTTTGAGCACAAAGTACACTAGAAAGAATGTACTTTATTCTACACATTTCCAGATGGCCAAAGAGTTCGTGAAGTTGAAATCGGAGTGTCGCTACGAGACCGAAGGCACGCTACAAGCTTCGGTCAGCTCACACAAGCTCACATAAAACATTTCCGATCATTTCCGATCATTTCCGATCATTTCCGATCGAGTTTCTTTTTATTCTTTGTGCGTGTGCTTTGTGCTCGTGGGAAACACGCACATCTGGTGCATTGAATTCGTCATTTTTCTTTACTACAAGGGAAATGAAAATTTCAGTGCACTAGAAAGAGTGTTTTTACAAATTTCGAGCTGAAAGTACACAAAATAATAAAAGAAAAATGATTCTTATCAACTATTTCTTGACTTTTTCTTGACTTTCTTTGATTTTCATTCTTTTTTTCTAATATAATTTAAGCTTATACTTATCAAATAATCTAAAAAACGGGTGTTTTTTTTCGTAGTTTTCAATTTAAAACGTAAACTTTGAGCATCTGGTGCAGTTGGGGAGGCGATAATTAGATAAATTGGTGCTACCGTAATCCCAAAATAAGACTCGGGCTATGGTAAGCCTACTGTAGCCCTATAGAACTGGGATTACTGTAGTGGACTGGGATTATGGCATTGACAGCCATAGTCCTAAGGACAGCTATAGTCAACTAAGGACAGCCATAGTCCATAGGGCTACAGCATTATTACCGTAGCCCCAGTCCACTACCGTAATCCCAGTCCACTATCGTAATCTCAGTTCACTACCTTAGCCTCAGTCCACTACCGTGATCCCAGTCCACTACCGTAATCCCAGTCCACTACCGTAATCCCAGTCCACTACCGTAATCCCAGTCCACTACCTTAGCCCCAGTCCACTACCGTAATCCCAGTCCACTACCGTAATCCCAGTTCACTACCGTAATCCCAGTTCACTACCGTAATCCCAGTCCACTACCGTAGCCCCACTTCACTACCGTAATCCCAGTAATCACTTAGCTGCTTACTACTGTAATCTCGAGAATTAGGCTGGACTACGATAGATCTTACGGCTAGCTAAATAGTTGAATAATACCCCAGAATAGGGAGTACGGTTGATCTGCGTATTCGGCTACGTACGGCTCGAGGCTGGCGTACTTATGGCTGGACTACGGTAGATCTAGCTAAATAGTAAGAAGACTAGGGTTATAGTAGCCCTTGCTTGAATAACTAAATATTAATTGTCAATATTAACTAAATATTAATGTTAACTATCGTACTCTAAAACTTGGACTACGTCGGGCTACGGTAGATCTGAATAAAGACTGAAGCCCCCAGCTGAACGAACTGCTGTAACCTGGGATATACTGGAAATACGGTAGCCGTTACTATTAGCTGAATACTACCGTAAGCCTAACAAAAGCCTAGGGTTACGGTAGCTCTAGGATAATTGGGATTACGGTAGTCCTGGGATAGCTGGGTTACGGTAGTCCTGAGATAACAGGGTTACGGTAGCTCTAGGATAACCGGGACTACGGTAGCCCTGGGAAAGCTGAGCTACGGTAGTCCTGACATAATTGGGATTACGGTAGTCCTGGGATAGCTGGGTTACGGTAGTCCTGAGGTAATTGGGGTTACAGTAGTCCTGGGATAACAGGGTTACGGTAGTCCTGAGGTAATTGGGGTTACGGTAGTCCTGGGATAACAGGGTTACGGTAATCCTGAGATAATTGGGGGTACGGTAGTCCTGGGATAGCTGGGTTACGGTAGTCCTGAGGTAACTGGGGTTACGGTAGTCCTGGGATAACAGGGTTACGGTAGTCCTGAGGTAATTGAGGTTACGGTAGTCCTGGGATAACCGGGTTACGGTAGTCCTGAGATAATTGGGGGTACGGTAGTCCTGGGATAGCTGGCTTACGGTAGTCCTGAGATAATTGGGATTACGGTAGCCTGGGTACTCAAGTTTAACTGAATACTACCGTAACCCTAACACAAGGTTACGATAGTCCTTAGCTGCTTACTTAACTGTTTGCTATTGTAACCTCAGCATAAGACCTTACGTTCGGCTTACGGTAGCCCTAGGATAATTGCCTCCCATGCACCAAATGGATACCGTTTACGTGAAGTTTCCCATTCCGACACTTACCACATAAACAATTATAACCGAATAGCTTTTTAGATTTCCAAAAAACGATCATAATGTTTGTTTTTTTTAATATTTTTTGATACATTCTTCACCGGTCCTCGATTTCACTCTAAACTCTCTCCTTTGCTTCAACTTATTCGACCAAAACAAAATCCCTAATTGACCACATTTTTTTTGGAATTTTCACCGATTCTCAAATGAATATTTTTCCAATTTTTTCAAATTTTCCAATTTTTCTTAATTTTTCATAAATTTTGATAAACTTCTATTTGCTTTTCGCCTTTCGTTAGAAGAAATTTGTGTTTTATCTTTCTTTTGTACTTTTTGTACGGTAACTTTCGACTTTTCCCCACCCCCCGTTTCAGTCAGTGCCTTTGTTCAGCTAATAAAAGTTTTATCTCTCACACCCCTCACACGTAATTTCATAAATTTCTTCCATACCAACAAAAGAGTCTTCAATGCTGTTCTTTTCTTGCGGCAAAGCTCTCAAAAAGAAGCTTTTCGAAATGTGGATCTCGATGATGTGGCATGTGAAGAAATATTTAGGTCCGAGGGGAACTAGAGTTCGAGGGGAACTAGAGTTCGAGGGGAACTAGAGTTCGAGGGGAACTAGAGTTCGAGGGGAACTAGAGTTCGAGGGGAACTAGAGTTCGAGGGGAACTAGAGTTCGAGGGGAACTAGAGTTCGAGGGGAACTAGAGTTCGAGGGGAACTAGAGTTCGAGGGGAACTAGAGTTCGAGGGGAACTAGAGTCCGAGGAAACTAGAGTCCGAGGAAACTAGAGTCCGATAACCCCGATAATGGGCACTTTCCACTAATCATTTTCGACTTTCGGCCAGTCGATCGACGAATTTCCGTAGTTTCTTCCAAAACAATTTGAATTTAACTTTCTAAAAACATATTTTGCTCAGTTCTGCCTGTGTCCAACACCTTTGCCTCATCTCTAACTGTGTTCGTCAATCTTTTGCGTAAACTTTTATTCAATGCATCAACTTTCTGTGGATTCCGTGAAGTCTCACAAGTTATCCGTCTCTTCGATGAGCTGTAAATGCGAAGAAGCTATTAAATAAAGGAATTTTGACTATCAAAGACTTATCAGATATCAGATACCTTTATCAGATAGCCTTTTTCCACCGGGAAACGTTTCAAAATTGTCTGGCTCGATGCGTGGCTGATCAGCAACGACGGGATTTTCACCTCAAATATGTTTTCGATTGTGAACATTGTGAACATTGTGAAGGGTTGATAGAGAGATCATTGTGAATGCTTGTACAAGCCAAATCAGCCGATCCACCACTGCCCATCATCATCGGCGCTTCACCCTCGTTGTTTGCAACAATCATTGCCATGAAGCCGGCTTTCTATTGTTTTTTGTTTGCTATAGTAAGACTGGGATTCGATTAATGCGTAATCAAGAGTTGCAGGGTCGTCTTTTGACATAAAAACACTTGGTTTTATAGGTTGTAACAATGCTAAGAAGCTATGTAACAATGCTAAGAGCGTCTAACGCTATTACGGGCTACCTGAGAGTGCCACGTCTTTTGCGAGAAGCAACAGTCACCGCGTTGGACTAGAGCAAAGTTGGTGGCACAATCACTCGAGTTTGTTGTTGGCACCTTGAACAAAAACTATTGTTGAAATGTTCGATAAGGCTCGAGAGAAACTAGGGTACAACCTTTCAGCCTTTTTTCTGATCCTGTTAATGATCCTGTTAATGTTGAACGACTCAGCGACGTATTACAAGGTGAGTGAAAATTATTGGTCACCTCTATAATTCTTGGTCGCTTCTAAGCCTTGTAATTTTTTTTGAAAACGTCCATGAAGATAAATTTCATTGTAAAACAATGAAAATAATTCAGAAAAACAAAAAAAAAGTTAATAAAACTCGGTCTGAACTTCTTTTGCTCGGAAGATTACTTGGAAAACTCGTGAAGATTACTTGGAAAAAATAGAACGCGCGCCGCAGGCAATCTTCATCAAAATCGCTTCAATCTTTCGTTTAAAGCTGATATGAAAATCACTTTAAATCTTTATTTGAGTCATATTTTAATAGTTCTTTGTTTTAATTTAGCAAAATAAAGCTTCTGGATAGACTACAAAATTGAACAGACAGACAAAATTGAACAGAGGGTCAGTGCTGCACAGTCCAAGCTAGAGTTTGTTTCTCTCGGTTAATGCGTTTCCTAAAACGCGCGCTCTAAAATCATTATCCCAAAAATATCATTCGAAATAATTAAGAGTTGGGATCATTTCATGGGAAAACTTTGTTTTTATACATTTTTTGAAAGCTCTTTTCAAGGGCTACACAATGGTAATATTAATATTTAGAAATACGGTAAAGACAAGGGAGTTACAGACGCGCGAAAGTGACGATCTTTTTCCAAATATGATATTTCATTGTCCAGTAGTGTAAGAGTTAGTCCCCTTCATTCACTCACTTGGACACTCGAACAGGCAAGAGCTGGACGAACTTTGTGCAGACATCCAATCGAAGAGTTTTTGGAAATCAAAGAGGAAATATCTCCTCCAAAATCCGCTCCATTTGCCTCACATCGGTAGACGACTGTCTGCGATGAGTCTAGCTGAAAAAAAAAAGAGTACTTGCGAACTTTTGCTAACATTTTTTTCCACTCACCACTTCGACAAAAAGTTTAGCAACGGTGAAGTGAACGAAGGGAATCAAAGAAACAAAAAACATTCTAAAGCCACTAACACTTAAACCGGGAGTGAGACAAATGCGACCTTTTTTTGCCGCACCTTGCCCATTAGCGCACCTTTTTTCGCGTTTTAAAAAAGCTCTAAAAAGCTAATATTAATCAATTTCTATTCCAAAAGTTGTTTTTCTAGGTAATTTTAGGGCGTAGAATCGAAATTTTGGCATATCAGAGCTTGTGGAAACAAACGGACCGAGTTATACAAAGAGAAAAATCGACAATTTGTAAATCAACAATTTTCTGTAATTTGATCTAGCCGTTTTGTCTTTCAAATTGGTTCCACACGCTCTGATATGTCAAAATTTGAATTCGACACCCTCAAATTACCTAGAAAAACAACATTTGGAATAGAAATTGGTTAATATTAGCTTTTTAGAACTTTTTTAAAAAACGCGAAAAAAGGTGCGCTAATGGGCAAGGTGCGGAAAAAAAGGTGCGCAAATGTCCGGGTGCGCAAAAAAAGGTCGCATTTGTCCCACTCCCCTTAAACCTCTTAGTTAGACGTAAAAAAAGTTCAACAGCGGCAACAAAAAAAAAAACATTTGAATCATTCTCTGAATTTTGTTGATTCTACGAATGTTGAAAATTGAGTTTTGTTTATTTTGATGGTCTTTTTTCAACGTGATTGATACGATAAACTTTTGCAAGAGCTGTGCGATGAAAATTGTTTCAAAAATGTTCCCAACTTTTTAAACAAACTTTCTAAAGACTCTGAAGTGCTTTAAGTACTAGTTACAGGCTAAAAAAGCTCAATGACATCAAAAATCAGAAGAAAGTTCGGTACTTTTCCAAGATCGGGGGAGCTGAAGGATTATCGGGGGAGCGAAAGGAAAATAGAGCAAATTTGGTACAGCCATGATTCAATTAAGCTTGAGTATCGGTCAATAAGTAATGTAAGACTTGGTCGGATTAGATCAGGATCGATCAAGCTCAAATCAAGCTAGAGTCAAGCCAGTTCTTAGAAATCAAGGTCAATTTGGTACTTTTCCAATGTCGGGGGAGCGGTCCGATTATCGGGGGAGCGAAAGGAAAATCGAAAAATCAAATTTTGCCCCCTCGAAAAATGCATTTCCGGGACTGTACTGCAACGTTTTTTTTAAACTTTAACGACGTTGCGGTTCTCTGACATTTGTGTGTTCAAGGAATCGACGGCAATCGATTATTTCGTCACCAAAATCCAGTCGTGGATTTGCAACTGTGGCGAATCGATGAAAGTCCACTCAAAGGGAAAAGATTCATTTCGCTGGGTGTTAGATATTTAAGTCACTTTTGTGATCTAATATAAAGATTGTGGGAATAACGGGTAATTCGCGGATTTTATGGTGGTAGTTTGTATAATATAGGACATATGTAGCGCTGCCAAAATTTGCTCCCCCGATTTTCCTTTCGCTCTCCCGATAATCGGACCGCTCCCCCGATATTGGAAAAGTAGCGAAAACTTAACAAAATAAACTTTTTAAGCTCTCGAAAATTTGGGCATATTGTAGCAGGAAAAATTTGTATTGGAAATCTTCAAATTTGCGTCTGAATTCTTCACATTAGCATTTAAAGTTGATTGAAAAAAGAATGGTTTCTCTGCGAAGAAACATTATCTTTTTCTTCCTACTCGATTGGTGTCGGCAAAGTGGAGGTGAGGTTTTTTCGTTATTAGTTATTAGTTTTTAGTTATTACTTATTAGTTATTACTTATTAGTTATTAGTTTTTAGTTATTAGTTATTAGTTATTACTTATTAGTTATTACTTATTAGTTATTAGTTTTTAGTTATTACTTATTAGTTATTACTTATTAGTTATTAGTTTTTAGTTATTACTTATTAGTTATTAGTTTTTAGTTATTAGTTATTAGTTATTACTTATTAGTTATTACTTATTAGTTATTACTTATTAGTTATTAGTTTTTAGTTATTACTTATTAGTTATTACTTATTAGTTATTACTTATTAGTTATTACTTATTAGTTATTAGTTTTTAGTTATTACTTATTAGTTATTAATTATTAGTTATTACTTATTAGTTATTACTTATTAATTATTAATTATTAGTTATTAATTATTAGTTATTACTTATTAGTTATTAATTATTAGTTATTAATTATTAGTTATTAGTTATTAGTTATTAGTTATTAGTTTTTAGTTATTAATTTTAGTTATTAGTTTTTAGTTATTACTTATTAGTTATTAGTTTTTAGTTATTAGTTATTAGTTATTACTTATTAGTTATTACTTATTAGTTATTACTTATTAGTTATTACTTATTAGTTATTACTTATTAGTTATTAGTTTTTAGTTATTACTTATTAGTTATTACTTATTAGTTATTACTTATTAGTTATTAGTTTTTAGTTATTACTTATTAGTTATTAGTTTTTAGTTATTAGTTATTAGTTATTACTTATTAGTTATTACTTATTAGTTATTACTTATTAGTTATTACTTATTAGTTATTACTTATTAGTTATTAGTTTTTAGTTATTACTTATTAGTTATTACTTATTAGTTATTAGTTTTTAGTTATTAGTTATTACTTATTACTTATTAGTTATTACTTATTAGTTATTAATTATTAGTTATTACTTATTAGTTATTACTTATTAGTTATTAATTATTAGTTATTAGTTATTAGTTTTTAGTTATTAATTTTAGTTATTAGTTTTAGTTATTACTTATTAGTTATTACTTATTAGTTATTAGTTTTAGTTATTAGTTTCATTATTTTGGCATTTCTCCCCAACTACACCTTTGATACCAAGAAATAGTAGATTTCAAGAGCTATCATTTGACACCCAAGCGCATACTCTAGCATAAAACAGCGCCGAGAACTGGACGTTCAAAGTTAGACTACGCGACTGTACGCCCGTCATTATGGGAATGGCGTTCTATTAAATTTTTATTAGTTCTATTAGATTTCTATTAGTTCTATTAGATTTCTATTAGTTCTATTAGTTCTATTAGTTCTACGGTGGCCTATTAACCTTTTTTCAGCGCCCACGCGGATCATCGAGTGCCCGAATTGCAATGTCATCATCTTCCTCATCCCCGAATGGCTCGGTGCAATTGAGGGCACAACAGCGACGCCCTCAACTATCACCACAACAAGCACGCGCTCAACCACAACTTGTGGTTCGTTTCTTTTTGTGGTTAACTTACTATTTTGTGGTAGATGAGTACTATAGTTGTAAAGTCATCTTTAGATGGCAGTAGTGTTAAAGATGTAAAAGATTACATAAGAGTTTAAGCTTACATGTGCAGGTGACAGAAACGTTCTGTATTTTGTATTAGACTAGACTATTTTGTATTAGACTTTGGTGAAACTAGCCCGTAATTTGAAACTAGCTATCTGATAATTTTCTTGTTTACAATTTTAAGATAAGAATACAGTTTTAAGAATAAGAATTTAAAGAATATAAAAGAATATAAAAGATTGTCCATATTTTAAAGTCATTCTAATTATTAATTTTTCAATTTTAGTCACCGCTCCGTCGTTTACCGGTGCTCAATCTCAACCCACAGGCGCCACCATTTGTGCCGCAAAATGCTCAGCCCGCTTTTGTGTTGCCGGTGGGTTTTTGTTTATGTTGACTAATTGTCGATTAGATATTTTAACATCTAATATTTTTAGGTAGTCCCTTTGCTACCACCAGCGCCGGCTCGTCGTCGTCTTGCCGCCAATCCACCGCCACAAGCAAATGTTCAACAGCTGCGTCACCTACCTGCAAGGTTGGTAGTTACAATTAAAGACTAGCTTTTCTACTAAAGTCTAAAGACTACTTATTGTTGTCATGTTGCGTTAGTTGATAAATGTTCACTTATAATAATTATTTCTTGTTTAGGCGCCGTCTCCGAGGTGTTCGCGAACCACAACCATCCACAACCACCGCCGTCACTTTGGATTCAGCTGGAGAGCAATTGGTGAAGGAGATTGCTGGTTTGTTGTTTGACTAACTAATAAGTGCGATTCTAAACTAGTATTAGGGTTCAGAATATCGAGAATTCTAAATGATCTGACTAATATCTCTTTGTTTTAGATGATCATCGTGCCCGTTTGCGTCGATTCACGCACAACTGTGATATGTCGCCACCAAAAAAGAGCCACTCCAATTTTCCGATTGTTTGTTCTTAAAGAAACTTGATTATTTATTGTGTATTTAGGAAGATTATGAGCAATCGCTCTCAGCGGTTCGTCATCGAGAAGAATTGAAATTACTTGATGAGGTTTATCTAGCTTCTACGGTGAGTTTTCATTAAAACCATCAAACGATGGTTTTAATGAAAACATTTATTTTGCATAACCATTATTCTTTTAGGAAACTTACTCACTTTGGCCAAATCATCGTCGTGCTAAGCTTCTCTATCAGCTCAATGCGTGGTTGGAGCGTTTTCACTTTGAGAAAGAACATGTGAGTTTTGAATGCTATTTTTAGAAAGCACTAGCTTTGATAGTTCTTTTGGTAAACTTTAATGTATCATTTAGTTAACCAACTTGCGACAAGAGCTCGCAGCTCGCCGGAGTCAACTCAAAAACGATCGAAAACTGCTCACCTCGATTGGATCTATGTTGAAGTGAGGGTTTAGAATAATACGTTAAATTTTAAATGATCGGAAGTACTTCTCAAAGTCATCTTCCATCGTAAAATAGAGATTTGTTTTTGGATTTGATGAATGAATAGTTCTCAAGAAAAATTCGCATACATATTTTCTTATTGCTTCATTTTTAGAATGACTTCCGCTGGATTGAGCGATGTGAGCAGTTCGAGCAAAATGATGGGTCGAAAAGGATGACAAGATTGACAAGATGAAAAAGGATGACAAGATTTCGCTCATCTGCACTTCAATAAACGTATCTCTCTCGATTTTCCTTCACAATTCCCCCCCATTTTTAAAATGTAACAATCGAATTACTTGATGTGACCTTTTTTGTGGTATAAAAATAAAGTTTTAGCGGTATTTTTATTGTTTTTTACTTCTTCAAGTCAAGTACTTCTTCATCGATAAAGTTTTTGTGGATTAAAATCTGAAAATGACAAGTAGTTGTGGGGTACTTTTGAGCAATTGAAAGAATTTCTGCACTTGACAAGTAAAGCAATGGGTATGCGCTCTGTTCAAGACCAGCCACTTTGGGTTTTAAGAATGAAAAAGATATTGATCACATTTTATTGTCTATTCTCATCATTTAAATCGATTCCGATCACTTTGGAGTCAATAACTGTGCAATTGACATGGGAAACACTTTTTGAGTGAGTTCACGGGCAATTTCAAATGAAAATCCGATTCAGCGAACAAGCCGTTGTATTGAAGATTGCTGTGGAGGAATGGAGAGGAATTGAATGGATTGGAATTGGTTTCTCTGATCATGGAAAGTACAACAATTCGGATTTGTGTGTGTGGACCTCGGAACAACGATTGTTGGTGAGTGGGTCGCACTTGGAATGCATTAAGACTTGCAGTTACCGGGAACCGCCCATTTTGCCTAGAACGTGCCTAGAACCGAGATGCCTAAAACTTTAAATGTAAATGAAAATTAACTAAAAAGCAAAATAAAGCTAGAAAGATTCAGCAAAAGGTGTGGACGTTGCTTAAAAAGCGTATCCATAAAGCGTAGCGTACTCGTCGTCGAGAAAAAAAGCTTAAGCTTTGTAGACATAACTTGTCTAACATTTTTTTTTTCCTTTAGCTTCTAGCAAAACAATAAACTTTATCGACATTAAATCCGTGAATGTAAACAAATTAACAAGCAAAAGATAGATGAGATAGATAACAAAGAATCATCCTAGAAGATTCTAAAAACCACGTTGGTACAAAAACTATTTGAATTGGACAGCCCAACACCAAGATATTTGAGCTCAAAGTTAGATTGCCAATGGCAAGGGGGCGGGCGCGTTTAAAAGGTTCGCCCGTCCCTTTTGCCATTGGCAATCTAACTTTGAGCTCAAATATCTTGGTGTTGGGCTGTCCAATTCAAATAGTTTTTGTACTAATCGATAGAGAAAGACTTGGCGCATCTAATGATACCAAGAATTTATAAATTGGACAGACCAACACCAAGATATTTGAGTTCAAAGTTAGATTGCCAATGGCAAAGGGGGCGGGCCATCAAATGTCCCACAATCATTTCAGGATCATTTCGTTGATGATTCGTTCAATTTACGGCTTGATCGGAGTCAAGATTGTGAACTGATGTCTGTATCGAAGACGGTGATTTTCGAAATGACAATGTAAACAAAGCAACGTTTAGGGTTTTGCGTTGAAGCGTCGTTTCGCTACGTGTGATTCAAGGGATTACGCGATTGAGGTGTACAGTTTACAGATAATTAGATAATGCATACTTGGCTTGGAGTACTGTAGCGTACTGTAGCGTTTTAGCAAGGCACCACACAGTTCATCGTGATGGCTTCGGTGAAAAAGCTGGCCGAGATCGCGACAGTGTTGGATCCGGCTGTAGAGAAAAATATCGGTTTTGGGCAGGTGAAATCCATCAGCAAAGCTTCGACGCAAAGCAAAGCTGGTCATTGTCTAGGTGATCGCCTCGGATTCACGAAATGAAGAGCTCGTCGATCAAGAGGCTTTCTCTTTTCAAATCACAGCAAAGGAGTTTGCGGTAATAAAATTTTCAAAACATTTAGATTACTTGGAGAGTTTTGGCTCCTGATAGTCAGCAAGTTATAAGTTCTTCTGATAGTCAGTTATAAGTGTTTCTGATAGTCAGTTATAAGTGTTTCTGATAGTCAGTTATAAGTTCTTCTGTTAGTCAAGTATAATTTCTTCTGATAGTCAGTTATAAGTTCTTCTGATAGTCAGTTATAAGTTCTTCTGTTAGTCAAGTATAAGTTCTTCTGATAGTCAGTTATAAGTTCTTCTGATAGTCAGTTATAAGTTCTTCTGTTAGTCAAGTATAAGTTCTTCTGATAGTCAGTTATAAGTTCTTCTGATAGTCAGTTATAAGTTCTTCTGATAGTCAGTTATAAGTTCTTCTGTTAGTCAAGTATAAGTGCTTCTGATAGTCAGTTATAAGTGCTTCTGTTAGTCAGCTACACATCCAGGTGCCTAGCGATGAGACAACCTATTGGTGCATTGTGCAAAAGATGCCAGAACAGGTCGCTATGCTGAAACATCATGCGATAAAGGTAAGCTATTAGAACTTATCTGAATGCATCTGAATGCACTCATTGTCAGATGGAAGCAATTGTGCAAGATGGCAATGAGCACCTTGTACATCACATGGAGGTTGGCAAGAGTACGCAATTTGTTTGAAGTTCATGGTATCCGGGTTATACCGAGCGTATTTAAAAGCCCGTTAAAGCCTTTAACAGCCTTTAAAAGCCTTTAAAAGCCCGTCAAAGCCCGTTAAAGCCTTTAAAAGCCTGATGCTGTAAGCTGGCTGATGTTTAGATATTTCATTGTGAGAAGCCGCAGAAGAAAGAGTACGAGGGTCGGTGTCGAGACAAATGGAGGCCAAGGGATTCGAACTCTTGCAATCGAGTGATCGCTGCTTGGGCCAAAGGAGCACAGGTATGAGGAAAGGGTGTTTATCTTCTAAATTCTAATATAGTTATTGAAAATAGATCTGAGCTGAGTAGCTGATTCTACAGGCTTACAGCTGAGCTAATTCTACAGGCTTCCAGTTTAAACGTCACTGCTTCACCTCACTGCTTTTCCGAAACCTGTCATCTTTAGGCATTCATCTATCCACCCGAAGCCGGTCTTCCATTAGGCGGACGAGACTCGGTTCCATACATAATGGTCGAGATTCACTACAATAATGAAAAACGCGTGTCCGGTGTGGTTGATAGTTCCGGCTTCAAGTTCACCGTGACGCCGAATTTAAGGTAAATCGTTGGGAGAGGATTTGATCAAAATCAAAGCTTAACACATACTTAACACACAATCAAACCTTAACACAGCTTAAGAGCATTTTGGGCGTACACTCGCGTAGTCGTTAACTGTTTTCTTGATAATTTGGTGTGAATTCCATCTCTATTTCCATCTCTATTCCATCTTCATCTCTACTCTGAGAACGAGCTATTTATAGCCCATTTGTAGTCTCGTCCAATGAGACGAGAAAACAAAGCTGGAAAAAACATTAAATCTCAGCACAGAGAGCATTATTTGGCCTGGTTTTAGTGTCATTCGAAAGCCTAAAGTTTGCTTGATTTTTTGGTAAAAAAAGCTTTGAAAAATCTCTATTCTATGTGTTTCTGCAAGGGTTTGTAGTCTGACATTGTAGGTTGTAGTCTGACATTGTAGGTTGTAGTCTGACATTGTAGGTTGTAGTCTGATATTGTAGTTTGTAGTCTGATATTGTAGTTTTTAGTCTGATATTGTAGTTTTTAGTCTGATATTGTAGTTTGTAGGCTGATGTTGGAGTTTGTAGTCTGATATTGTAGTTTGTAGGCTGATATTGTAGGTTGTAGTCTGATATTGTAGTTTGTAGGCTGATATTGTAGTTTGTAGGCTGACATTGTAGTTTCTAGTCTGATATTGTAGTTTGTAGTCTGATATTGTAGTTTGTAGCGTCCGTGTCTAGTCTAAACGTGTTAAGTGCGTTTTATCCTCGTTTATAAATAATCTTTTATCAAAGTTTCCTTTGCCCTCAAAACCTTTTCAGAGCCAACGACGCGGGAATCATGGAGATCGGCTTGATCTACTCGGACACGATGTCCATTCCACCACAGCAACGCGCTTTCCCATTGACCGCATTTTGCCCGTCGGCTTGCACAAAGCTGGTTTGTTGATGGGAAATCAAAAAAGAATAACTGCTGGGCAAAAAAATAGAATTCAAATATCGTATTTATTCTTTTTTAAGATTTAAGAACCCCTTTAGACCAAAAAATTTTCATTTTTTCAGATTTTTCAACTTTCGGATAGCAAAATGACCAATTTTTTAACGAATTTCAAACGCTTTCAATAATATTTATAGACTAAAAAAGCTTAATGACGTCGAAAATCGAAAATTCAACAAAAATACCCTTTTTGAGCTCTTGAGAATCTTGGTATACAGTGGCTAGGGCATTTTTAATTTTTGAATTGTTTTAGAGTTTTAGAATTTTAGAGAGACATTGAAAAATTGAAGAGCTCTTCTATTAGAATGTTTACGGTAGTTGATGTAGATCGGTAGAGTTGATGTAGATCGGTAGATTACGGTAGATCACGTACCCGAATTCCAGTACCCTGACGAGGGCATCAACATTTTCGGCTCACAACTCCACGCACATCTCACTGGGCGAAAGCTTTGGACATCGATTTATCGAAAGGGTGCGTTTCCATTTGAAAGAGTTGGCTGTATGCAAAGAATTCATTTCTATTTTGCGTCAACTTTAATCGATAAGCACAATTCGATAAGGACGATTCGACATGCACAATCCGATAAGCACAATCTGATAAGCACAATCCACTAAGCACAATCCACTAAGCACAATCCACTAAGCACAATCCGATAAGCACAATCTGATAAGCACAATCCACTAAGCACAATCCACTAAGCACAATCCACTAAGCACAATCCACTAAGCACAATCCACTAAGCACAATCCACTAAGCACAATCCGATAAGCACAATCCGATAAGCACAATCTGATAAGCACAATCCACTAAGCACAATCCACTAAGCACAATCCACTAAGCACAATCCGATAAGCACAATCCGATAAGCACAATCCGAGGAGCACAATCCACTAAGCACACTCCACTAAGCACACTCCACTAAGCACAATCCGATAAGCACAATCTGATAAGCACAATCCGATAAGCACAATCCGATAAGCACAATCCGTTAAGCACAATTCGATAAGCACAATCTACTTTTTTAAGAAGAAATTCCGATCAGCTTTGTCGCCTTTTTACGGTTCTTTTACCGGTTTTTTTGGTCTAATAAATAGCTCTAATAAAGAGTAAATAATAATAAATAGCTGTCCAATAAATGGTCTAATAAATAGTCCAATAAATATTCTAATAAATATTCTAATAAATAGCGCTAATAAATATTCTAATAAATATTCTAATAAATAATCTAATAAATAGTCTAATAAATAATCTAATAAATAATCTAATAAATAGTCTAATAAATAGTCTAAAAAATAGTCTAATATATAGCTATTGACCTACTGATAAATAGCTATTAACCTAACGATAAATCTACTGAAAAGCAATTGACTGAAATGATTTCAGGTGTGAAAATCGGTGAGATCAATCGTGACAACCACTACTCTCCCCATTGGCAACACATACAAAAACTTGAGCCAAGCATTCGCGTGAGACGAGTCAGTTATCAAATGGAATCTAATACTCATAAAGATAAAGATAAAACAGATAAACAGATAAAATTATCGATTTTCAAAACCGAAAGCTTTTTCTCACATCCAGGGCGACGTTTTGATGACGACTTGTGTCCACGAGACGATTGACCGAAAATCGACGACTTTTGTGAGTTTTCAATGGATGGGATTCAAAATTAGATAACTTTAATTGACTGAATGCTTTACAGAAAAAGGAAAAAAAAGGATCAGCTCAGTATATTTTCATTTGGTACAATCAGAAGCACTCAGAAACGAGGAATTCCTTTGGGTAATCACAGCCAGTCGAAGAGAAAAGAACCCCCTTTTTATGAGCCCTTTCCCAGCCGTGTGCCAAAAAGCGCGCGATTAGGTGCACGCACAAAGCACACAAAATGATTCATGCAAAAAAACTTATTTTAAAGTATTTTGCAAGAAATTTGCAGGTTTTGCATGTTTAAACTTGTCAATTCTGAGCTAAATATAATCTTAAAGCTTTTGTTCGTTAGTTGTCAATGAAATATTGTCAATTAAAAGTAGCTTTGGTGTTCAGCTGTTGGCGTTGTTGTTGGCGTTGTTTTTGTCATTGACGGGTGAAATGAAAGGGTTTAGAAACAGGATAATTCCAAAATTGAACTACAAGTTGTACAAGTTGTACAAGTAAAATTGTACAATTTGCTTAGGAACACTGAGATTTACAACCGTAGAGTAGTGACCAAGTTTCAAACAACAGGATACAAGTTCAAATATCTTTTGTTATTCTTTAAATTTCAGCTACCGATTTAAAAGCTTTTGTTTTCTTTCTTTGTTCACAAAATGTATCCAATAGGGTGGCTATTCAATCATCGATGAGATGTGCGTCAACTATCTTTATTACTATCCGCAATCCGTGGTCAACGTTTGTAAGAGTTCGGTCAACAATGACACCCTCGCACGCTTCTTTCAGCTCAAGTTTGTTTGTCTATTTAGTTATAAGTAGTTATAGTTATAAGCTATTGTACAGGATGCGCCATAATTGTCGAAAGAAGATAAAGTTCTGATTTTAAAGCAGAGCAAAAAAGACAAGAGCAAAAAAGACAAATTTTTAAATGAATAACATTTATTGTACATTAACAATTATAAATGAACTATCAAATTCGAGTCGATTGCCATTAGCATTTGAGCAGGAAAGCAGTGTATCGGGAAGGCGTCAACGGTGGCCTCACAGGCATTTGAATAGGCTCACAGTGGCGATGATCGACCAATCCATTGATCAACCAATCCATTGATCGACCAATGGATTGGATCGCCACCGTTGGGTCGACCAAATAAGCTGCATCGAGCTCTTCCCACGCTTTCAACAGTGATTCCTTCAAGCTTTTGATGTTTTTGTGGGGCTTTGAATAAGCCTTGGCTTCTAGAACTGAACATTTTGCTTGTTAAGAAGGCCTTCAAGGGTAAATATCTTTTCATCTGTGAACAAGATATTGTGATGGTCGATTCCATTGAAGCGCATCAATAACTGATCTGCTCTGATCAATTGATCAACGGTGGTGACCAAATAGGCTGCATCGAGCTCTTCCCAGGCTTTCAACCTGTGATTTCTTCAAGCTTTCGATGTTTTTGCGGGGCTTTGAATAAGCTTTGGCTTCTAGAACTGACTACACGGGAAAATCCATTGGTCCATGGTGAACAAGATATTGTGATGGTCGATTTCATTGAAGCGCATCAATAACTGATCTGCTCTCAAGTTTCGCTTGTTTTTAGCGGCATTCAAAAGAAGTTCAGCCTTATTTTTCTTGCAAGCAGTAAGTTTGAGCTTATTTTTGAGGATCCGACATGTTGCTTGTAATCGCCATCTTCTTTGCCATTTGTTTTGCCGACTGGTTTGGCTTCTTCTGAATTCGGTCCGTCACTTGCTTGCTGTTTGTCTTTGTGACGCTAGATGGGCGTCTACCGCTCAGGCTCATTTCTTGGTGCATCAGCAATTGTTCCCGTAGCTTTGTAGCGTTGAATAGTGAGGAAAATGACACTTCTGTCGACTCAGAAAAAGAAATGAAGTCCGGGAAGTTATTTTGGCAGAACTCTTGGACTTTCTTGGATTTGTGAGCCGATCCGCCATCTTGCTGATAAGTCGAAATGCGATTTCCAAAATGTTTACGATCCCAGGGCAAGTGTCTATCCTTGAGAAGAGTCAGGTAGTTATTGGAAATGATTTCCACGCCTAGGGGAACAAATATGAGAGGGTGCATCAGAATCGCTTCTTGGTGCATCAGCAATTGTTCTTTCCTGTCGAATCGCTTGCTCGCTGTTTGTATTTGTGACGACAGTTGAGTGTCTACCGCTTCTTGGTGCATCAGCAATTGTTCCCGTAGCTTTGTAGCGTTGAATAGTGAGGAAAATGACACTTCTGTCGACTTTAAGATGCTTATAAACCTCTGGCGCCGATCTCCTCGCTGAATCTTCTCGCTTGTGCAATTCGATGATCGATTTTCAATGGGGATTTTCTAAAATTCTAAAAAACAACACATTTTATATGAAAAAAGTTTCAATTATATTCCAAATATAATAAAAACACAAAAAAGAGCAGAAATGAAGCTTAAATCAACGAGTTATTGTCCGTAAAAATTGTTGCGACAATTATGGCGCACCCTGTACATTAGCACACATTTCAGTGGTGTCCCCTCATCAATAAAATTGATCTCCGAGCGGTATGACTCGATTGAATGGAACGGGGAAAATGTGAAGGATTTAATGGAAATGTATTCGACCGCATCACTCAATATGCACTGTTTACAAGATGACGGGACATTGTTCAAGGTTTGCTAGGGTAAATAGAGAAATAAAGTGATAAAGCCTTAAACTTTTGATGTACTTGTGCAATACTTGTACTTGTACATGTGCTCAAATTGCAAATGCACCCGTTCTGGTTTGCAAATCTGATTTTGCACTGGTTTTGGTCTTGCAAATCTTCTTGCAATGATTTGTTTTTGCTCGAAAACACTGCCGGAAGAAAACCGAAGAATCGAGTGCACCAGAAAGGGTGTGTTTGCGAATTACAAATCAAATTAGGATCGCGAAGTGAACTGGTCGAGTGTTTGGCGTCCTCGAGCCATCGCCCCGCCATTCGACCGATCTCCGCAACGTGTCGAGTGTCCGGCGATCAATGACTGAACTTTCTATTCATTGCGCTACATTGACAGTGCAAAACAGTTCACAGTTCAACTTGTAATAAACTTGTGTGCAGTGTGTGAGAGAATACCGATAGGGGCGATGATTATTAGATATTTATTCTGAATCTAGCAAGAAAATACAATAAAATATTAGGTTGATGCAAAAGTCTTTTTCATTTTTTCATTTCATTTCGTACTTCCGTTAGAAAGTAACAAATGCACCAATTGAACAACGGTTTATTGCATTCGAAAGGCCAATTATTTTTCTGCAAAATGACATTAAAACGAGTTTCAAATGTCTTATGTCTAGATTTTTTTGAGAGCCTGAAGTCAAAGCCTGAAGTCGGGTAGTCAAAAAAGGCGACGGCTCGATGATGCATTTTAGACGCTTTAGCTAAGGAAACCAATCTTGATGTTAATAAATAAAAGATAGAGCACAAAAAGTTAGATATTTTTTCAGATTTTCAGAGAAATTGATTCAGCCAATTTCTTTATAGAGGTTTTTATAGATTTTTATGACAAAACCCGTTTTCACTCTCGAATTTGCTTGAAAGTGAACCCAAATTGACTTAAAAAGATGGGAAATTCAACAATAAACACTTTTCATTTAGAGCAAACCATAGGTTAATTGATGACTTTGTTATTTTTCAAAAGAAGTACGAAAAAAATGAAAAAGACTTTTGCATCAACCTAATAGAATTAATCGTTGGCTCAGTGTTTCATGGCGATACGAAAGGAATATACGGAAAGAATATACGAAAAGAATATGAAAAGAGCCAATGTAAAGTGGGCTCCGACCCTTTTATCTGTCCCTTTATCTTAAAAGCAATCTTTCAGAGGCGGGACAAGAAAACCAGACATTCAAATCAAAACATTAAATAAGATTTCACAGAAAAGAACCACTTTTCTGCACAACTTGTGATTATTATCAGAGTGTAAAGAACACAATGCGTGTTTTTTGATCAAAACTATTGAACGAAAAAACTCAAACAAGCAAAGATCAAACGGTAAGGCATTCTCCTTTGTATCGATGACTTCTTCCTGTCTTCTGCGCAGATCCCTAATCGAATCGTCGATTTCAAACGGTTCCTTAGAGGTAAAATAGGCGTAGAGCTTATTTATGACTTGAGCATGATTATCAAACTGTACATCAAGAAGTGTACACGAAAATACATCAAGAAGTGTACAAACTGTACACCAAAATCAAAATAATCTAACGGTGCAAGGTCAGGGAATAAGGTTTGTGAGGGAAAAGTTTCCAACCTAGCTCCTCAATTCTTTTATGAGTGGCTTTTGCAGTGTGGGGTTTAGCGTTATTTGCAGAAATCAGATTCTTGACGGTTTGATCCCCAATTTCTGCAAGTAGAAAAGCTACTTGCAGAAGAGCTACTTGCAGAAGAGCTAGATGCAGAAGAGCTAGATGCAGAAGAGCTAGATGCAGAAGAGCTAGATGCAGAAGAGCTAGATGCAGAAGAGCTAGATGCAGAAGAGCTAGATGCAGAAGAGCTAGATGCAGAAGAGCTACTTGCAGAAGAGCTACTTGCAGAAGAGCTAGATGCAGAAGAGCTAGATGCAGAAGAGCTACATGCAGAAGAGCTAGATGCAGAAGAGCTAGATGCAGAAGAGCTAGATGCAGAAGAGCTACATGCAGAAGAGCTAGATGCAGAAGAGCTAGATGCAGAAGAGCTACATGCAGAAGAGCTACTTGCAAAACATTATATGCAAAACATCCAAACCAATCATGGCTTGAACAATCAATAAAGATTAACGGTACTTGTCGGTTATACATCCACAGAGACTCAACTCGGTTAAGCAAGGCTGACACGGCTGACAACTTCTGAGTGGTGATTATGTTCAGTGAAGTAGAGTGCTCGTCTGAAGTGATCAGTCGATCAGTTGAACGAAGAATCGATAACCGAGAAAACTCGGATGGGGATGCTTAATCGAGATGAGTTTTTGTGGATGTATAATCGACAAATACCAGATTAAAAATGCAGATAATATAAAGATTACGATAAGTTTTCCCGTGATGACTCATCCAGGAACTTTAAGTTCATCAAAACAATACTGGAAATCCGATTAGTCACCAAATTTTCAGCCGCTTTCAAATGTTTTTCCTCTTCGAAAGCTCCACAAAACGACAGCTGTTTGTCATTTTTATCGAGAAAGACTTGAGATTTTGATGCTCAAACTTTTGGTTACTTAAAGGAGTCCTGATCTGAGCAAACGTTCGAAAAATCTCAAGCTTTTGAGAAATTTTTTCAGTAAAACGTTTCAATTTTAATTTTAAACTGTTTTTATGCTTTATCGTTTAACTTTAATAGTTTAGTTACTTTAATAGTTTAAAATTTTCAGCTTTTATAACTTAAAGGCGACTTTTCAATGAGTTTCAAAGGTTTAAAGCTCTAGAACTAGCTCCAGAACTAGCTCCAGAACTAGCTCTAGAACTAGCTCCAGAACTAGCTCTAGAACCAGCTCCAGAACTATTAGGTTGGCAAAAAAGAAATGAGCGTCGTGTTTGTTGATTTGTATTTTATTCACAGTAAAAGATTTTTTTAAATAGTATATTCTATTGGAAAGAGCGTGTTCTTGCGCATCGTTTGATATATAATTTGCCTATGTTTACTTTGTTTTTTTGCAAGAAAGAGTGTTTAGAAAATGTCGGACCAAAAATTTCGTTTACGGGCCTGCTTGTGGCATGAATTTAAGCAAGGCAAATCGGCTGCTGAAGCTCATGGCGCTCTATCTCAATTGTTTGACGAAGATGCTCTATCCGAAAGTCAGTGTAAACGATGGTTCCAGCGCTTCTGAGACGGCGACGAAAGCTTGGAAGACCAAAAACACGGGAGTCGACCTCAAATCATCGACAACGACGCATTGAAGGAAGCCATTGAGTCGGATCCACGCCAAACCACTCGCGACCTGGCAGAACAGTTCGACTGCACTCATGTCACCATTGAGAACCATCTGCATGGCATGGGCAAGACGAATAGATGCGGAAAATGGGTACCGCATAAGCTATCCGACGCAAACAAGGCGACACGCATCGCAATCGCCGGAATTCTCACTCACCGCGCCAAGAACAGTGGGGTTTTCGACTCCATTGTTATGTCGGATGAGAAGTGGATCCAATACGGCAACACAGCAAGAAAGCGGCAGTGGTTGGACCCCGGTGAAGCTCCAAAACCGGACATCCACGGAAAAAAGGTGATGCTTTGTGTTTGGTGGAACAGTAAAGGCCTGGTATACTTTGAGGTTCTGGATTCGGGTCAAACAGTTACGGCGAACCTCTACCAAGGCCAATTGGACCGCGTGGACCAGGCGCTGCGACGTCAAGGCGTGGGTACGGCGTCGACAAAATTCTTTCACGACAACGCTCGGCCGCATGTCGCAAAAATCACCCAGCAGAAAATTGAAGAAATGGGCTGGGAAGTCCTGCCTCATCCGCCATACAGCCCAGACTTGGCGCCTTCCGACTACCATCTGTTCCGATCAATGCACCACTCCTTGGCCGAGAAAAAGTTCAAGAACCGTGACGAGGTCCAAATTTGGGTGTCCAACTTCTTCGAGTCGCAGCCGGTCGAGTTCTTCAAGAAGGGCATCCATTCTCTGCGTGAACGTTGGCGACAAGTCATTGATGCAGATGGCGAATACCTTTTGGATTAATGTATTGTTATCTTGTTTTTATAATAAAATAAACTTTTAACGAAAACGCGCATTTCTTTTTTGCCAACCTAATAGCTCTAGAACCAGCTCCAGAACTAGCTAACTAGCTTCAGAACTAGCTCCAGAACTAGCGAACTAGCTCCAGAACTAGCTCCAGAACTAGCTTCAAAACTAGCTCCAGAACTAGCTCTAGAACTAGCTCCAGAACTATGCTTAAAGACAATATTATTATTAATTCTTTAGATCATTTGAAAGAAGATATTTCAGGCTTTTGAATGATATAAAATAGAGATTATTTGAGGAATTTAATTTTATGAAAATCAAGAGTTAAGAAGCTGATCTTTTTTTTGGTCAAATTCGTTTTAGTTTTTTAGTTTTCATAAGACTGAAGCAACATTTGGTATCATTTAAAAGCCTCATTTTTCCTTATTAAAACAATATAAAAAGTTAGCAATCATTATCTCTAAAGAAAGGTACCGTAAATACTGTAATAGTACCCCACCCGCATAATGACGGTGCAGAGTGTTGCGTAGTCTAGCTTTGAACGCGTTTTTCTCGACACTGGTTTATGCTACAATGCGCGCTTAGGTATCAAAAAATAGCTGAAATTCAGGGCTATTTTTTGATACCAAAGACGCATTTTTTGAAAATACGGGTGCTTTGCAAAAAGTGAAATACTAAAAAACAAAGTGAAATACTGTAAAAAGTGAAATACTTTTGCGACTACGCGACTGTACGAGGGCGGTGGGGTACTATTACAGTATTTACGGTATATTCCCATCACGTTTTTCATATTTTCCATACACTTCTGCTTCAATCAAGCAACCAAAGCCGTTTCGAGCTCCGCAAAGCTCCGTTTTGAGCTCCGCAAAGCTCCGTTTTGAGCTCCGTTTCGAGCTCCGTTTCCTCGTCTTCAACCTCACCCGATCTGATTTTCTGAACTCACTCTTCATTCTTAATTGCTTCAAACAGTTCTCGTATCTTTCTCAAAATCGTTGCGATTGTTGGCTTAGACAATTGCGACTACGCGATTGTACGAGGGAGGTGGGGTACTATTACAGTCTTTACGGTATGTACTTTTTGTCTCTAAAGAAAGTTATGTACTTTTAAACGTTGACTACTCATTGAAAAGTCGTTCTGAAGTTAAAAGAGCCAAATTTTCTTGATGATTAGATCAATTGTTGTTGGAGCTGATTGTTAGAGCTGATTGTTGGATCTGATTGTTGGAGCTGATTGTTAGAGCTGATTGTTAGAGCTGATTGTTGGAGCTGATTGTTAGAGCTTATTGTTGGATCTGATTGTTGGTGCTGATTGTTAGAGCTGATTGTTAGAGCTGAAGATCAATGAACTTTATGATAACATAAAGCCATGCCAAAAGGATTTTTGCTTTCAGATGTTAGGCAAAATCGTTGCTGTGCTTTCCTTTGTGTCAATGGTTTCGGCTCAAATCGAGTGCTATGATTACACGTTGATCGGTGGTTATAATTTGGGATCCGAGAAAATCGTGTGCAAAGAAGGTGAGGAAGTATTCGTTTACAGTTCTTTGAGTTATGCTTGTAACGAAAAATCTGTCGGTTCTTTTTTGCCGTTGGCAATTTAAGGTTGTGTTTTTCTCAGCAGCAACGCTTCTATTTTGTTTATTTTGATTATCATTCAATGCAGAATGAAATTGCGCATCGAATGACACCAAAAACAACTCAAGATCTAATATCCACGCAAAGTTATGGGCTAAAAACCTAAGCTCCACGAATTATGGGCGGAACTTAACCTTTTGCCTCATAACTTTACGTGAATATTAGATCTTGAGTTGTTTTTGGTATCATTCGATGCGCAATTTCATTCTGCATCGAATGATAACCAAAATAAACCAAATAGAAGCGTTGCGGCTGAGAAAGGCACGCAAAAGCTTAAATTGCCAACGACAAAAAAGAACCGACATATTTTTTCGTTACAAGTTTACTTTGCGTGTACTTTGAGCTGCAAACATGACCTTTCTGGCGCTCTTAATTCTCTATCTCGATACACTAAGTTGCAATGAGAAAACGAAGAATCGAGTGCACCAAAAAGGGGGCGTTTGCAGATTTGAGCACACAGTACACTAATCAAACAGTACACAGTACACAGTACACAGTACACAGTACACAGTACACAGTACACAGTACACAGTACACAGTACACAGTACACAGTACAGTACCCATTTGGCTTATGTCTAAAAGTTTATCTTCACTTGATTACTAAAAGAATAAGCTGATCGTCATCGATGATATGCACTTTCTGCGCTCAAACCAGCAAACAAACCCTTTCTGGCGCACTATAGATCTGACTTTTTGCAGGTCAATCCTGTTACAACATGATGGCCATGCACGAGAACACGAGTATCATTCGATCGGGTGGATGTGTGCACAACACACTGTGCTCGATTACGGTAAGCTATTGTAGCCTTCCCTTCCACAGTACACCTTTCTCTGACTCTTGATTTGCTTTCTAAAGAGTGTACAGTGTACCAAAGAGAAAGCTACCCCAAGCTATTGTGTTGAAAATACCGCCGGGTACAATAGCTTTAGCATGATAATGAGCCTTGCCTTATGAGCCTCTAATGAGCCTTGCCTTATGAGCCTTGCCTTATGAGCCTTGCCTTATGAGCCTTGCCTTATGAGCCTTGCCTTATGAGCCTCTAATGAGCCTTGCTCGAACCGTTTACCATATCCCTGTTTTTCTTAAAAAGTGACTTCTCATCTAATTGTAGCATAGGATTTTTATTTGTAAAACGAATTTTTAAACCCTAACTTTTAAACACTTTAGTTCTCCGAAGGGAGTTGTCAAGAGGCGAACATTGGCGGGTTGAAGGTGCATTTCTGTTGCTGTGAAGACGCAGAGAAATGCAAATGGGACTCAAAGGTGCAAATTTTGTTGTAATTTCGTTTAGAATTGAGCAAAACAAGTAAAGTAATGGAAAGTAAAGGAAAGTAAAGGAAAGGAAAGGAAAGTAATGGAAAGTAAAGTAAAGTAAAAGAATATTTTTAAAGATGAAAGGCTTCTTGCATCGGAGTCTCGATTGGGTGAAGACGAAACTCGGTTTGCATTCGCATGAAAACGAGCAAGAAATGGTAAGCACGAATTTAGAAAACAGTTTTCCCCAGAGAGAAATATGAGAAAGCTAGATAACGATTAGAAATTAGAGATAGAAAGTCAAGAAAGTTGATTTAAGGAAACGGAAAGCCCAAGAGCTGAGAGTCAAACGAGAGATGAGCGATTGGTAAAAGCGCTTCCAAGTGACGCCACGGAAATCGATGTGGATCTCGTTCCGACGAGGGCTGTCGTGGAAAAAGTGGGTCTAGTTATGATAATAGTTAATATTATATTTTATTATTATCTATTATATATAGTAATATTATATTATATATAATAATATTATATTATATATAATAATATTATATTAAATATAATTATATTATATTATATATAGGTATATTATTGGGTTGTCTAGTTATGAATGCGCGTTTTTTACTATTTTGTAAATTTCTCAAGATATCGAAGAGATGTATATGAGTGTTATATATCATTCGAAAGCTGAAGATCTCCTCTACATTTTGGAATAAAAAAGCTTTTGAATTCATTCAACTTTTTGGGAAATTGACTGCACAAAGGGAGAGGTCGTTTTCTGGAAAAAACCCATTCCAGCTTAGCTATTCCTCAAGTTTTATAGTGCAAAATAACCGCCCAGAAAAGAAAAGAAAAGAAAAGATGCTCTGAAATTGTTATATTTTTTAAAAAGTTGTATTGATATATCTATTAGGCAAACATCAAACGGTTAGCTCAATTTGAGCGGACCCAAACTTGATCCAAAGGCACCCTTCCATTTTTTGGCCACCTCTTCTTCTGTGCAGTCAATTTGCCCAAAAGCTGAACAAATTCAAAAACTTTTTATATCAAAATGTAGAGGAGATCTTCAGCTTTCGAATAATACTCATATATTTCCGTGGATGTCCGGCCTGGTCCAATTGGCCTTGGTAGAGGTTCGCCGTAACTGCTTGACCCGAATCCAGAACCTCAAAGTACACCAGGCCTTTACTGTTCCACCAAACACAAAGCATCACCTTTTTTCCGTGGATGTCCGGTTTTGGAGTCGGTTTTGGAGCTTCACCGGGGTCCAACCACTACCGCTTTCTTGCTGTGTTGTCGTATTGGATCCACTTCTCATCCGACGTAACAATGGAGTCGAAAAACCCACTGTTCTTGGCGTGGTGAGTGAGAATTCCGGCGATTGCGATGCGTGTCGCCTTGTTTGCGTCGGATAGCTTATGCGGTACCCATTTTCCGCATCTATTCGTCTTGCCCATGCCATGCAGATGGTTCTCAATGGTGACATGAGTGCAGCCGAACTGTTCTGCCAGGTCGCGAGTGGTTTGGCGTGGATCCGACTCAATGACTTCCTTCAATGCGTCGTTGTCGATGATTTGAGGTCGACTCCCGTGTTTTTGGTCTTCCAAGCTTTCGTCGCCGTCTCAGAAGCGCTGGAACCATCGTTTACACTGACTTTCGGATAGAGCATCTTCGTCAAACACTTGAGATAGAGCGCGATGAGCTTCAGCAGCCGATTTGCCTTGCTTAAATTCATACCACAAGCAGGCCCGCAAGCGAAATTTTTGGTCCGACATTTTCTAAACACTCTTTCTTGTAAAAAAACAAAGTAAACATAGACAAATTATATATCAAACGATGCCCTTCTTGAAGAACTCGACCGGCTGCGACTCGAAGAAGTTGGACACCCAAATTTGGACCTCGTCGCGGTTCTTGAACTTTTTCTCGGCCAAGGAGTGGTGCATTGATCGGAACAGATGGTAATCGGAAGGCGCCAAGTCTGGGCTGTATGGCGGATGAGGCAGGACTTCCCAGCCCAAATTTTTGGTCCGACATTTTCTAAACACTCTTTCTTGTAAAAAAACAAAGTAAACATAGACAAATTATATATCAAACGATGCGCAAGAACACGCTCTTTCCAATAGAATAAACTATTTTAAAAAAATCTTTTACTGTGAATAAAATACAAATCAACAAACACGACGCTCATTTCTTTTTTACCAACCTAATCGTAAAAAACGCGCATTCATAAATGGACAACCCAATAAATGCTAAATGGCTGTAAGAGTCACAATTATCTAAAAGAATACTGTTAAACAGTAACAAGTTTATATCTTAGTACTTTATTTTGCGAAAGTCTCGAAAATTTCTCAGAAAAACTTGGTTTACTTTTATTTTAAAGTGTTAGGGTGGTGCAAAAGAAACTGCCGATGGGTATCAGCTCTCATTTATCAGAAACGAGCGATGTTAACGGCATTATTTTTTTAATGTTTTGTTCGCATATTTGTTTGCTATTTATTTCGACGTTTGAATTTTTTGGTTGTTGTTTATTTTATTTAAAAATGCTTATATTTTTTATTTAGATCATGGTCGAGCAAAAGTTTGTGCTAGGAGCAGCATTACTATCTAAATTTAGTTCCCTAACTCTCTAAATTTGGTTCCTTATCTCTTTAAAAGCTTCAAAATTGGAAAGTCTGCTGCCGAATCGCATCGTTCTCTCTGTGCTGCTTCCGAAAATGGCAGTTTGTCTCTCAGGCAGTGTCAGATTTGGTTTCAACGATTCCGAGAGCCAAGCTGAGGGACGTTATTCAAGCCGATCCATGCCAATCTTGGTTTCAACGATTCCGAGAGGGAGACGAGACTTTGGAAGACTACGAGCACGGTTCGAGGCCAGAAATCGTGAATGAAGCCAAGCTGAGGGACGTTATTCAGGCCGATCCATGCCAATCTGCTCGAGATCTTGCGAAAATATTCCATTGTGATCATGTCATTGTCATCATGTCATTGAACGCCATCTTTTTTTTTTAATTTACCGTCAAATCGGCAGTTTCTTTTGCACCACCCTGATAATATTATATTATATATAGGTATATTTGATGCTAAATGGCTGTCGTAAGAGTCACAATTATCTAAAAGAATACTGTTAAACAGTAATAAGTTTATATCTTAATACTTTATTTTGTGAAAATCCTGAAAATTTCTCAGAAAAACTTGGTTTACTTTAATTTTAAAGTTGTTAAAGTCTAAAATTAGCTGCTCAGCTGTAAAATTAGCTGTAAAAGATCTATTTTTGATATATTTTGATAAATATGTGCAAATTTAGATTATATTGGGTTGGTGGAAAAGTCCTTTCGGATTTTTTGGGAGAGTACCTTAAATTTGTCCAATTTTCACGTTTTATAGCTCATCCTAAAGCTGAATTCAAGACGGATCGATTGGTAAAAACAGTTTTGAGATATCTCTTTTCTAAAAGTTTTGACAGCTATTTTAGTAAAGGGCGGCAGAGCCAAAAAATGGCTGTTTTCACGTTTCGTTGGTTTTCCGTGCAGAAACCTAGGCTAAAAACATGTGTTTCGTGATCAGCGTCAAAAATAACCCCTAGACACAAATTTTCAGAATCTTAGCAAAAAATTTTTGACAAACATTGTCACCGGTGGAAGTCGAACCAGCGACCCTCAGATCAATAGCCTTTCCGCCGCTTCTCGCGATTTTCCTTCGCGAAGGGTCGCTGGTTCGACTTCCACCGGTGACAATATTTTTCAAAAATTTTTTGCTAAGATTCTGAAAATTTGTGTCTAGGGGTTATTTTTGACGCTGATCACGAAACACATGTTTTTAGCCTAGGTTTCTGCACGGAAAACCAACGAAACGTGAAAACAGCCATTTTTTGGCTCTGCCGCCCTTTACTAAAATAGCTGTCAAAACTTTTAGAAAAGAGATATCTCAAAACTGTTTTTACCAATCGATCCGTCTTGAATTCAGCTTTAGGATGAGCTATAAAACGTCTAAATTCGACAAATTTAAGGTCTTCTCCCAAAAAATCGGAAAGGACTTTTTCACCAACCCAATAGATAACATTGGTCCTTAGGCTTAGAAATTGCTTCAAAAACTAGAGCCTGACCAAATCTAGACTTGTTAGGTGGCAATGATGCTACAATGTTGAAGCTTGAACCCTATCCTAGATCTAGTGAATCATTATTCATTATCATTACTCGTTTTTGATTTTTACTAATCGGTTTTTACCAACCAAAACGGTTTTTACCAATCGATCCGTCTTGAATTCAGCTTTAGGATGAGCTATAAAACGTGAAAATTGGACAAATTTAAGGTACTCTCCCAAAAAATCCGAAAGGACTTTTCCACCAACCCAATAGAATGATCAATGATCTAGATGAACTATAGAATGATTTAGAAAATGTTTTTTTTTCTGATTTAGTTGTTTTAGGTTGAAGTTTCTCGCGATGTTAAGAAGCGACGTTATAAAGGAGTCGATTTCGATTAGAAAAATTAAATAAATAATTGCCTGAAGCTATTTTTTTGACTGAATATCTATTTTATTGTCTATTTGAAGATCTATTTTGTAATAATAGTCTATTTTAATCGTTAATGTCATTAATCAATAATCAATAATCAATTTTTTCAATTTCATCTGCGCTTCTTTCTAGACATAATCTTTTTAATTTAAAATTTGTTTTGAAACAACTTCAATAATTATTCTTTTCTATCCCACAAAACTTGAAATTCTCTTGAAATTTCTCCTTCTAGATCTCTCCAAATTTCAATAATTATATATATTTTTCTATATTTTGCATATAAATTTCAAAATAACACATAGAAAACACATTTATTAGCACTTTTTAAGTAGCAGAGAGAACCCGGGAAAGTTTTTTTTGCGTAAAAAAAAAACGAATCAAAGTTGAATACCTGAAGTTTTTGTGAGAAAACCGTAAAAGCATTCTTAAAAATGAAAAAATTGCACTTTAGATATCAGTGAAAGATTGCACATTTCAACCTGCACAAAAAATTGACAAAAAAACTTGATTAGAAGAAACTCGGCGAAGGAAATTGGGCTCTTGTATGGTTTCTGCGCATTTCGAAAAATTCATCACACTTTGAAGGCCTATAACTTTGTATAGAGAGAGGATTTTAGCTAACTTTTTATATCATTGTATAGAGAACATTTCAGGCTTTCAAATGATACCAAATAGAGCTTGATTGGATAATTCAGTCTAGAAAAATCAACACTAACTCTGAGTAGTCGAGGCTGATCCAATTTGTGTACCTGGCCGCCTGATTTTCTTGGACTGAATTATCCAATCAAGCTCTATTTGGTATCATTTGAAAGCCTGAAATGTTTTCTATACAATGATATAAAAAGTTAGCTAAAATCCTCTCTCTAGACAAAGTTATAGGCTTTCAAAGTGTGATGACTTTTTCGAAATGCGCAGAGACCTGAGAAGAGCCGGAAATTGTTTGAATAACATTAAAAATACAACAAGAAACAAAAAAATACATGAAAAATACATGAAAAATAGAATGCCTTAAGCTTTTTATATGATTTCAATCGTTTGAATCATCTTTTGCTGAGTTTTGTGTGTACAACAATAGATGCAACTTGGTGATCTCCGTTTTGAGGAGAGAAATCTAAAATTTTGCTTTATTCTGCTTTTTAAAAGACAACAACAACAAGAACTTTTTAAAATACAACAACGATATAACAATTTTGTTTTAATCGCTATTGCATTAACTTTAATTTTATTTAATATTTGATTTGATAAACGATTTTGTGAGTAAAACGTAGATAATTCTCTAAAATTGGATGTCGTTCATAGCACGATTGTCATTCATAGCACTTGATTATATCCTTTACTACGATATTACTTCAACTACAGGCGTTCAAACATCGTTGATCGTTCCGAAATCGTTGCTGCCATAAAATAGAGCCAAGAAAGTGAAAATGAGGAGTTGGTGGAAGAAGAGGAAACGATTTCACGACGCGAAGCTTATCCAATGTTTTCAAAAGTTCCAAAACTCTACAAAAAAAAAGGCTATTCAAAAGTTTTTGCTGCCTTTCTTCTTAATCATTTTTTTTATTAGAATTTTTTGGTTAAAAATAAGCAGTTTTACGATCGAATTTTACGCTAGAATTTTCTTTTCGCATAACTATGAGGAAATTTGACGCTTTTTTATGTTTATTTTTGTTGATAAACGATTAATTGTAACTCGATATAATGATTTAGGTTAAAAGCCTTAGTTTCTTTTACTTAAATACCGTATTCTCTAACAGTAGTGCACCCAGCCCGGCCGAGTTCATGACTATTTTACGGCTTCCAAGCTTTTGCAGAAGCTGCAGAAGCTGCAGAAGCTGCAGAAGCTGCAGAAGCTGCAGAAGCTGCAGAAGCTGCAGAAGCTGCAGAAGCTGCAGAAGCTGCAAAAGCTGCAGAAGCTGCAGAAGCTGCAGAAGCTCAACACTCAAATCCCCCCACTAGATCTCATCGTCAGCTACAAACTTTCAACTAACCGTTAGTCAATCGGATCCCTGGAAGTTGAGAAAGTCAAATTTGAGTCAAATTTGACCGACTTCTGCACGTTTTTCCTATGAAAAAACCGAAAAAGCCGTTTTTCGACACCATTTTTCTCTATGTTCTTACAGATGAGTATGCAAAACAAACTGCACTTTTTTCTAGCCAAATTTGATGGGGATTCTTTTAAAACCAATTGTTAGCCGATCTGATGCTTGTAAGTCGAGATATAAACCGTTAAAGTTGACCGGCTTCTGTAGGTTGGCCGCCGGCCAACTTCGACGCTTGTTTTCCTCGCCAGCTACATTTTCCGACCCCACATCGATAGGTTCTGATACATTGATAGGTCGATAGGTTCTCGAGATTTCAAGCAATTTAGGCAACGCTCAGGGTGCACTACTATTAGAGAAAACACGGTATATTAGTACTGTTTGAAATCCTCATTGTGCAGTACTCTTTACAGGCTTCTTTGGCTTACAGGCTTCTTCACTACAGTACAGTCAGATGGTGTTGCAGTATTTATTTAGTGCGCAGTCAAGGAGCCAAGTAGTCACGGTAGTCAAGTAGTACAGGGTGTTCAATATTTATAGGGATCATCAGATTACTAGATTTAGAGCTCATTTTGTACAAGTTTAATGCTAAAAAGGAAACACACTTATCAATACGCCCAACGTTAACAACTTTAAGTCACTTTTCGTCAGTCAGCTACAGCTCCACATTGATAGGTTCTGATACATCGATAGGTCGATAGGTTCTCGAGATTTCGAGGAATTTAGGCAACGCTCAGGGTGTTATTAGAGAGAATATGGTCATAAATTTTTCGATATAAAGATTCCATTTCATTCCCGACAGAATCGTTAGATCGTTAGATCGAGAGTCGACTGTATAGTTGAGTTAGACGAGAGTTTAGTTGAAATTCAGTTACTTACGTTCTTTCTGATGTACTTTAACTTTAACTTTAACTTTAACTTTAACTTTAACCTAGACTTTCTACCTGTTTTTATTTTAATACCTGATTTCTGAGTTGTTGATTGTCTTGCTCGAGTGCTGTGGCTTTAGCAGCGATCGCTTCTTCCTTTTGTCGTCGCAGATCTCGAGATCTTTTCGCTGCATCGTTGTTTTTGCGTCGACGCTCGAAATAGGCTTCATCCTGGAAATTTTTCAATCAAAAAAAGGTTGTTTCTATCTATAAATCTTTTTTTTTGTTTGTATTGATCTAAATAATTCGATTCTACTTAAGAAACTTAGCTTTCTTTATCACAAAGAAACCCAGCTTTCTTTATCACAGAAACCCAGCTTTCTTTATCACCTAGCTTTCTTTATCACCTAGCTTTCTTTATCACAAAGAAACCCAGCTTTCTTTATCACAGAAACCTAGCTTTCTTTATCACCTAGCTTTCTTTATCACAGAAACCCAGCTTTCTTTATCACATTCAAATGCTTGTAATAAACAAATTTTCTAACAAAATAGTGAAATTCTGTTGCTTATCAAAGACAAATTTGTCATTAAAATAGATCAAATGAAATTGAATGAAAATTGAAATTGCTTAGTAAAAGATTTGACTTACAAATCATGCAAGAATAGTGATAAATGATGTAGTGGAAGGTAATAAACGAGTGGAAACTAAAGCAAAGAAATGTTGAGTTGTCAACTGTCAGTGTCAGCTGATTGGGTTGATAATTTGAATCTAGGAACAAACTCATGATTAGAGTTTTTCTAAAAGCAATTTATCCTGGTCTTGGCCAACCTTGGGCTTGCTCTGGTTTACTGTAAGCTTGACTCTGAGCCAGAAGCCACAATCAAGGCTTGACTCTGAGCCAGAAGCCAGAATCAAGGCTTGACTCTGAGCCAGAAGCCACAATCAAGGCTTGACTCTGAGCCAGAAGCCACAATCAAGGCTTGACTCTGAGCCAGAAGCCAGAATCAAGGCTTGACTCTGAGCCAGAAGCCACAATCAAGGCTTGACTCTGAGCCAGAAGCCACAATCAAGGCTTGACTCTGAGCCAGAAGCCACAATCAAGGCTTGACTCTGAGCCAGAAGCCACAATCAAGGCTTGACTCTGAGCCAGAAGCCACAATCAAGGCTTGACTCTGAGCCAGAAGCCACAATCAAGGCTTGAACTTGGCCTAGACCTGGGCTCGGGTCTACCAACGCTTTAACGCTTCTTCCACAAGTTTGGATTGGCAAAATTTAGCAAAATATAGCTCCAAACGATGCTTGCTTTTTTGCTGACTGAATAGCTTTATGTTGCTTGCTTGCCAAAATTGCTAAATCGATTTTGCAAAATTGCTAGATACTAAACTGCTTAATCAGCAAAAATTGCTAGATTTTAAATACTAGAATGCAGCAGAACGGAGCTCAATTGCATGAAGCTCAAGACGCAAGATTGGATCACAAAGAATTTCCCTGATTGAATCACAGTTGACAAAAGCACTCAAAGTCCAGGAGAATGACCATTCAATTGTTTTGAATGTTTTGGATTACAGCATTTGGTCGATCTTGTAGTCTAAGGCTTTTTTGCAAGACAAATACGATGAAATTGTCGCGAAAATCAAAGAATTCATCGAGGGAAACGATAAGAAGGAAAAAATCGCGCGATGATGTCAACTTGCTAAATTGTTTCTCTCTTCGATACGAACAGGACCAAGCCAATCTCTACAATCACAAAAGCGGGCAAAACGATCAACCAAAGCAAGTGGTCAAGAAGGAGGAGCTCTTCAATCTACTGATGGATACTCACAAACGACTAGGACACGCTGGACGCAAAATTGTTGGAGCCGAGTCTTTGACTGATTGCAATTGCATAAATGGATGTATGAATCGAAGGTGTGCCTGTCCAACTCGTCGGATTTTCTGGATTACAGCATTTGGTCAATCTTGCAGTCTAAGGCTTGTTGCAAGCCTTGTTGCAAGCCTCACACATCAATTCAGTCTTTGAAGAAGGATTTGGAGAAAGCTTGGGACGATATTAGTCATCAAAAAGGTCATGGATGACTTTCCAAAACGATTATGAAAATATATTCAAGCTAAAGGAGGCCACTTTGAAGAATGATGTTCTGTCCTAGTCGTTTGTGAGTATCCATCAGTAGATTGAAGAGCTCCTCCTTCTTGACCACTTGCTTTGGTTGATCGTTTTGCCCGCTTTTGTGATTGTAGAGATTGGCTTGGTCCTGTTCGTATCGAAGAGAGAAACAATTTAGCAAGTTGACATCATCGCGCGATTTTTTTTTATTAGATTCAATGATTGTTAAATGATTTTTAAGGTATCTATAAAAATAGCTTGAAAATGAACAAAAGATAAATGATCGAATTTCCACTTCATAATTTTGAGATACCCTGTAGATATGATGTGGATGATAAATAGTTTAATGGACCCGGGGACCAGGGGAGCCTAGGTCAGTCCAGAAGTCCATGCCTTCCTTCTAACCGGTTCAGGCACTTGTCGTCAATTAGGCAAAGTTAGACCCGGGTCCAGAGGAGCTTAGGCCAGTCCAGAAGTCCATGCCTTCCTTCTAACCGGTTCAGGCACTTGTCGTCAATTAGGCAAAGTTAGACCCTGATTCTGTCTAGACTGGCTCGGTAAAATTGCTTTTGGAAGAACTCATATCTTTTTCTATTGCATTGCACAGTCTTTCTTTTTCTATTGCATTCAAACTTTGTTTTATTTTACTACTTTGATTGACTATATCTTGAATTGAAGGAGTTTTTAGAAATTCATAGATATGCCACAGTTGCTCCCTCAATCCATTCGCTCAATATATCAAGGATCCCGTCGCACAGACAAAAACAGAACAAAGCGCCGATGGGATGCGAGAAATTTGCATAGGACCCTTGGGGGAACTGGGCTGACTGTGAATGGACGTGGTGACCCGACGGTAATCCCCAGTCTCTCTCCAAGATCTATACTATTTTTCGTCTCTCCTTTCCCAGATCCAAATCCTTTGTCCTTTTGTCAATGTATGCTACCAACTGGTGGCAGAATGAAGCGAGAAAGCAAGAAAGTAAGAAAGTAGGAAAGTAAGGAAGCAAGGAGGCAAGAAAGTAAGAAAGCAAGAAAGCAAGGAAGCAAGAAAGCAAGAAAGAAACTGACTCTGTCATTGCTGATTCACAAAATAGAACAAAGTTCACACTAAACTAGATTACAAAGCCAACAGAAGCCCGATCTTGAAACAACAGTTCGTAATGAATGATTTTGCGAGCATTGCCAGATATGGAGCGACCTAGTCCGGCTCAGGGTTGTCCCAAAAACTCAAGCTCTACCACTGACATTCTGGTGACACCAAGTAAGCTCAATACAAGAGTTGAAGATAGCAAACAGCTCATTTATGGGGATTTTTATTTCACTTTGTAAATGGCACAAGAAGAAGATATTTAGCTGTAAATTTGTACCCGCGGGTTTTCTGGGTCTGAAAATCGATTGGCGGTGTTCATTTCATTGAGTCTATCAATCGAAACTCGGTGTTTAATCGAATTAAACTTCTAAATGAATTCGGCTACCCGAAAATTTGCTTTTTGAACCTGCTTGAACATAAACCTTAAGAGATTTCTCTTTATTTTTAAACGAAGCCCTTAAAAATCTGTTCCCAACTGGTAGCCAGAGTGATCGCTAAATTCTAATTCTCTGCTCCCAACTGGTGGCCAGAGTGATCGCTAAATTCTAATTCTCTGCTCCCAACTGGTGGCCAGAGTGATCGCTAAATTCTAATTCTCTGCTCCCAACTGGTGGCCAGAGTGATCGCTAAATTCTAATTCTCTGCTCCCAACTGGTGGCCAGAGTGATCGCTAAATTCTAATTCTCTGCTCCCAACTGGTGGCCAGAGTGATCGCTAAATTCTAATTCTCTGCTCCCAACTGGTGGCCAGAGTGATCGCTAAATTCTAATTCTCTATACCGAGACTAACCCCAGTTATACAATCCAAAAAGGGTCGTAATTATTGAGAGGCGATGAATGAAAAGAAGGGAAAAGAAGAGAAAAGAAGGGAAAAGAATGGAAAGAACGTAAAGAACAGAAAAGAATGTAAAGAACAGAAAAGAATTGGCCCCAATCTCTTTTGTTGGAATCTTCACAGGGGTCACAGGATTAGAATAATTGCGGACAGGCCCTTCTCCCTTAAATGGTACCTCTTTTGGTGAAAGACAAATGCCGACACTTTTGTTTTAAATGATTGTTTAGAAATGACTGATAGAAATGACTGTTTAGAGAGTTTTTCCATGGTCAATTTAAACGCCTTTTATCTAGAATAACATCAGTAGTCCGGCTTTTGAGACTGTTAATCAACAATCAACAATCAATCAACATTAGCCTTTCAATTAGCCTTTAAATCAAAGCTAATTGCTACAACGTGATGTAACGGACTTGTAATGTTTAATGTAAATGTTTAAAACGGAAATTTTCAAAGCCTTAAAGCTCAAAGCCTTAAAGCTCAAAGCCTTAAAGCTCAAAGCCTTAAAGCTCAAAGCTCAAAGCCAGACCAAGCTCAAAACATTTTGATCATCTGCACACTAGTTCTAGTTTAGAAATAGACCATTTTTAGTGACTAGCGCTCATTCAAGCGCTTGTTAAATGAGTTGTATACGTCCAATCGCGAAACTTTTAATAGATAAATGTAGCCAAGAATTAGGGCTACAATTCTCTATATAACACTTGCTACTTTTGAGAAAATTTTAATCCAATCCAGTTTTCTTTCGATAAATTTATTCAATCTTCACCTTTTTGTGTTAATTCAAAGCATTCAAAGCACTGCCGTTTCTTTTTTTGAAATATTATCTTATCGGGGATTACAAAAGGACACCGGAAGAGAGAAGAGAGATCGGGAACACCTGTGCACAGTTGCGCACCGTTTATTCAAGATCTCTCAAAGAGACAAAAAAAAGATAAAGCTATTACACAAAAAAAATATTCGAATCTTTACAATTAAAGGATCTGCCTGTGTGAGGTCATTCGGGAAAAGAACACTTTCACAGCTGCTTGTGAAGGAGTAATTGAAAGGAGAGTGTAAGAACAGTAAGAGTTCAAACAGTTCAAAATGTAGATGAGGATAGTAAGTGAGAGATTCTTGGTTTTTAAACTGTTTCTTTGAATTTCAATATGAGGAACTTGATCTAGAGCATTTGAAAGTTGAAAGAGCAACACTTTCAAATCTTGAAGAATGTCTTAAGGAGAAGGAGAAGGGTAAGAAGTCTGTAAGATGCAAGCAAGTAACTGATTGTTTGAAGCTTACAACTTTATTTAAAAAGCTAAAAAGTATTGGGTCAGGATTGGGTCAGTATTGAGCCAGGATTGAGCCAGGATTGAGCCAGGATTGAGCCAGTATTGAGCCAGGATTGAGCCAGGATTGAGCCAGGATTGAGCCAGTATTGAGCCAGGATTGAGCCAGGATTGAGCCAGGATTGAGCCAGGATTGGGTCAGTATTGAGCCAGGATTGAGCCAGTATTGGGCCAGGATTGAGCCAGGATTGAGCCAGTTTTGGGCCAGTATTGGGCCATTATTGGGCCAGGATTGAGCTCAATGAATAGCATAAGTGTTTTGAAAAACCTCAAATTATATAGCTTTTTTTAAAATAAATCAAAAGTTGATGAATGAGCAAGTCATAAAACAAGGCAAAACAAGGCAAAACAATGATTTGATCAAGGCTTAAGCTTAGGTTATTATAGAGTAAAAGTAACGTCAAAATACACGTACAATAAAAGTTTATTATATTAACTTTATTATATATAAACTTTAGAATATAAACTTTATTATATAAACTTTAGAACTTAAAGTATATGTAAATTAGAATCTATCTAGCGTTAGATTTTCAAAATGAACCCACCTTTTTCTCCTCGGGAATCGACTTGCCGAGTTTACGCGCTGGTGAGGGCTGAGGAGTGGATTCCTGAATGGATACTTTAGGTATATAAGCTTTAGATTAGATATCTTGTACCTGTGATGGTGAATAGGTGCTTGACGCGTGGCTGTGCGGGGTGGTTGTTCGATCGAATTTCCCCTCACCATCCTCGGTCTCGACTTTGATTCGTTTCACTGGTGGTTCTTCGATCGTTTTCGGAAGTTCTTCCTAAAAATTCGATACTGAACATTGCTGTAATACTTATTCTTATTCTTAGTAAAGCTGTATTCTTAATAAAGAAGTGAAGGAATTGGCAAGAAAAAGTGGATTTCCGAAGAGGATTGAACCCTCGACCTTTCACCTTTTGCTTTCCGGGCAATTCCTCTAATTACTAAGCTATTTGGTGCCTTAACTTGCCAAGAGAGAGAAGGAAAACGGGGGGGAGGAAGAAAGAAAGAAGGACAGACAAGGGGAAGAAGAAAGAAAGAAGGAAAGACAAGTGGAAGAAGAAAGGAAGAAAGAAAGAAGGACAGACAAGGAGGAAGAAGAAAGAAAGAAGAAGTCAAGGTTACTGTAGACTGTAAGACTACTGAAAACTATTGTAGAATACTGTAGCTTGTAAGCATACTGTTGATTACTCAAATGTAGTGACAAGATTACTGTAGATGATTATAACTTATAAGATTACTGTAGATGCTAGATTACTAGATTACTGTAGGTTTTAAATTACTGTAAGTTTTTAGACTACTGTAGACTTTCCGATTACTGTAAACTCTACAATTCGATGATCACTAGAGATTATCATAAGATTGCTACAGATTACTGTAAGATTACTGTAGATTTAAAGGATATAAGATTACTAGATTACATTTATATATTACTTCTTCTAAACGTACAGTTCTTCTTCTAACAAAACTTCTTCTAAACGTACAGTTAATGATGTCACTTCTGGATTCGTCGCGTTTATCAAAGAGGTTAATGAGGCGAGCTGTTGAGGAAGTTGCATTTGAGGGACGGCTGCTGCATCAGCTAGCTTCTAAAAAACCAGTTTAACATCGGAAAAAGCTGATGATAGATACCGGTATTTGAAGAAAGGGTAAATTTGAATGCAGAAGATTTGCGACATGAGAGGGGAAAGGCATGATGAGAGATCGCATCATTGATGGGAGAAGTGATGGCGGGAAGAGGGTGGTTGAGCTGGAAAAGATTGTGATTATGCTTTGTGATTATTATAATCATGCTTTGTGATTATTATATTCATGCTTTAGATTTGATTCTAGTACTGACTTGACTTCTTGACTCTGATTTTACTTTAGTTGCGCTTTGTGTGCTTTGTTGTTTGTTCTAACTGTAAGTAGCACTGGTTTATCAAAACTAATTTACTCTGTCTTACGAATTATTAGCTACGAAGAGAACTAGACGTTCTAGACGAACTAGACGTAGCTAGAGCTGTGCTTTCGCTTGAATGAATAACAAAATCAAGTTTATTCAATACATCAGCGGAAAACACTCACTAACGTCCACGTTTTCCACACAATCTAAGCCGCGCCCCGTATTAGAACCGTATTGGAACCGTATTGCAACCATATTGCAACCGTATTAGATCAAAATTGGAACCGTATTGGAACCCAGCCCGCGCCAATGGCTGCGCACAGACGAACAGACAAACAAACGACAAGACAAACGTCTCTTCTGCTTTTTATATATAGTAGATATGGGGTAAAGCGTGTAATAATGTTTCAACGAAGCAACACTTGTTTCATTTTTCAATGAAACAAGTGTTGTTCCAGAGATAAAAAGGAATAACTTTGATGAAAATTGTGGAAGTATCTTGGAAAAAAGAAAGCGAACAAAAGAAACCAAAAGAAACCAACACCAACCCAAATTTCACCAGCAATGAGAGAAAATTCTGACTAAATGGGAAAGAAGGTGTCCTTTTATACGCGTGTCAGCGCGACATTGTTTAGGGTACGGTATTTCTTGTCTTATTAGACTGTGGCAGCTTTTTAGTGTGGCACATGGTTCTTTGGCGTGTGCTTTATGTCATTAACACTTGTGCTTTATGTCATTAACGCTCTGGCCCACTTGTGCATTTTGGGTCGTTGCCTGGTGCCAGTATCCGTTTTTAAGTCGAATACAAATTAAGATCCTGATCAAGATTGCTTTGAAATTGGATTCAGGGTTTAAAATGTATTCTGAGCTCTATATTAGGCTTCAAGCTCAAGCTCAAGCTGCTTAAGCTCAAGCTGCTTAAGCCCAAGCTGCTTAAGCTCAAGCTGCTTAAGTTCAAAATGATCAAGCTCAAGCTGCTTAAGCTCAAGCTGCTCAAGCTCAAGCTGCTCAAGCTCAAGCTGCTTAAGCCCAAGCTACTTAAGCTCAAGCTGCTCAAGCTCAAAATGCTCAAGCTGCTTAAGCTCAAGCTCAAAATGCTTAAGCTCCAGCTGCTTAAGTTCAAAATGATCAAGCTCAAGCTGCTTAAGCTCAAGCTGCTCAAGCTCAAGCTGCTCAAGCTCAAGCTGCTTAAGCCCAAGCTACTTAAGCTCAAGCTGCTCAAGCTCAAAATGCTCAAGCTGCTTAAGCTCAAGCTCAAAATGCTTAAGCTCCAGCTGCTTAAGTTCAAAATGATCAAGCTCAAGCTGCTTAGGCTCAAGCTGCTCAAGCTTAATTGCACCAGAAATCGTCTTTATGCCATAAAGCACACTCCAAAGAACCAACTTGAACAGCTTGAACAAAATTTATCTTTAGATAAACTCACCCGAAAATCGGCATCGGTTTTGCAATGTCGACATTTGGTTGCTTAGTTGACATTGGAATAAAAGATGAAGCTTCAGATGTGCATTGCGAGAGTTACCAGAACGATGACTGTGCCCCTTTTTTTTCTCTCGAATGGGTACAGCTGGTGGATGGGGGATGGCTGTTATGAAGGGGTGATTGTCCCACCCCCTCTTTTGTGTGAGAGAGCGCAACAGGGTCAACCGAGGCCACTTCGGGTCATCCCCTCCATCCCTTTTTGCCTTCACTCCCCAAATACATTGATCAATCATTGTGTAATTGGTGAGAGTGAAAAATGTCTAGAAACTAGGGAAACGTTGGTGCCGATGGTGCTGGTACATACTTGTTACAGTGCTGGGTTTAAGATTTTTCATTTTGATTTATTCCATCTTCTAGCAACTTGGTGTAGCTCAATTTTTAAACCTATTACAGTGCCTAGTTCGATACGTCTACGGTAATAGTTCGATACGTCTACGGTTTGAGAATATCTGGGCTCTACTTGTTTCAATCCTAACAAGTCTAGCTCTACTTGTTTCAGTACTAACAAGTCTAGCTCTACTTCTAAGTCTAGTACTAGACTTGTTCCAGTCTCAGAGTCTGAGTCAGATCTGGCACAGCTTTTTAGTACTAGACCTAGTACAGTACTGAAGAACTAGTACTGTACTAAGTCTAGTACTAAATCTAGTACTAAATCTAGTACTAATGCTGTGCCAGATCTAGTTTATCCAATGACCAGCAAAGCTAGAATTAGCATACCTTACTGTAAAGATGTGCTAAACGAGTCCGAGGATCAGTTGACTTACAAGCATACAGGCTTACAGGCTTATAAAGGAAGTGAACGAACTTAAGGTGAGCTTTTGGATCGAGACCCAGACCATTCGATGCAGAATTTCGCGCCGATTCCGAATCTAAAAAGAAAAACAAAGGATGGAATTGACCCCAAGCAAGAAAATGAAGAAATCGTTTCGTATAGGATCCGTCTACCCACTGCGCCGCCAGTCCACATTCGGCTGGCACTGAAAAAGCCTTATGAATCCCATTTCAGCCAGAAAAATTTCATTTTTTGGCTACAAATTTCAAATGTTTGTAACTTTTGATGGAGAGCCATTTTACAAAAACAGATAGTAGATTCGGAATCAGCGTGAAATTCTGCATCGAATGTTCTGTGTCTCGATTCAAAAGCTCGCCTTAAGCTCGTTCACTTCCCTTGTTAGTTCGACTTCCCTTGTTAGTCCGACAGGGTCTGATCTAAAATTTAAGCTGGATCTGACCCTGGTCTGGTCTGGCTAGCCTAACCATAATAGTAAAGTAAGGGAGCAAAATTTGACAAAGTCTGGCCAAAAATTCTTCTTTTGAAAGTCACTGATACAGTAAATTTATGACATACCTAGTTCAGCAATCATTTTTTCATCAATATTACATCTAGCCCATCTTAAAAAGAGCCTAATCATTGCATAGCTCTTTCCAGTCTGCCCATCCGAAAAGCTCAAAGTTTATTTGACCCAATCTCAATATTTGTTGTTGAGTCATAAAGTCGAGAAGGGGATGGGTGGATAGTGACAGAAATGACTCTCCAAAAAAGGGCAAAAAAAAAAAGAGAGATGCAAATGAGAGCCGATATTTGGAAGAAAAAGAAAAGAGACGAGTCTATAAGTGAGAACAAATATCGGTGACCTGACCGATTTGTAAAGGGAAAGAAAGACACTCAAAGAAGATCGGCCTGGCAATTGTTTTCTTTACATTTCATGAACCTCGATAGAACTGGGTGATACAAAAATGAAAAAAAAAAATCAAAAACTCGGTACTTCGAGAATTCGAGCTACTTGGCCGCTTCATGGTGCGACAAATTTCTTCTTCATGGCCACCCAAATCATCTTACCGTATTTCTTCGAATAGAAGACCGGGTAAAGAGTATCATCGCGTACGTACTCCTGCGTAGCAGCCCTTTTTAAAATTCCTTTTCTGCATAAAAGCTTTCAATCAAGTGCTATAGGGCTGGAAAATGACTCAAAAATCTGTTAGCTCATGTGGTATTTTTGAGTCATTTTCCAGCTCTATAGCACTTGATTGAAAGCTTTTATGCAGAAAAGAAATTTTAAAAAGGGCTGCTACGCAGGAGTACGCGATGATACTCTTTACCCGGTCTTCTATTCGAAGAAATACGGTAACACGATAGTCCCAAAAATTCTAGATCGAAATCGATTCTATTTGTGTGTCGCTTTTATTACCGTAGCTAGACACTTATTGCAAGTTACACAATCAATTAGCTGAAGATCTTCGTGAAATATTGGCTATATAAATTAATTTTCCAGTGAGATAATCACTTTTGCAATTTTTCCAATGGGGTGTGGCTTTTAGAAAGTTTACTCTTCTTATCCGTGACTTGTCTCCAATCCTTGGAGAAGCTATTTTACTTTTTAGCTATCTTTTAAATTGATTAGTTAGCTTTAACTTTAAGCCTGTTAAACATAACAGTTAAACCGTTTGTGCGTTTTTTATTGAAGTTTTCTATTTCTATTCTATTTCTATTCTATTTCTATTCTATTTCTATTCTATTTCTATTCTATTCCTATTCTATTCTATTTCTATTGAACAATTACAATTTTTTTGTTTCTTTGCAGCTTTTGGTACATTGGTGGTTGGGGGGAACCATCTATATTTTTGACCTTTTCAATTCTTCTGGGGTAATTGATAGCACTGGTCAGAAATAGTTTTTTTATGTAAAGGCTTTTTATGAATTTTCTTTTGTTCTAAAGTAGCACGTCTGTACTGTACATATTTGGAGGGTTATCTTGCTAAAAGGACTCAAAATTAGGCCATAGAAACCGAAATTTTAAATTCAACCGTTTTAGTTCTATCTTGTTGATTCAAGTTCAGTAGCTCTAAAAGCTTTGAGAAATAATTTTGGTTTGGAGGTTAATTCCTTTACGGTCTCATTTTGAGTTCCTCTCTCTGTGCTGAGATCATAGTGAAGTACACTAAAGATACACTAGTTATGGCTAAAAACTCTAAAAACTGTGGACAACCTACCTTAAAAACACTCTGATCCTGATTAGCGCTATCGATTACGCTAGAAAAATTGAAAAAGGCAAAAATATAGGTAGCTCCCCCCAACCACCAATGTTACAGCTTTTTATGTTTCTTTTTAATTTCAGGCTTTGTGAACGAGCTCTCGGACGAACGTCAGTGCAATCATGAACAGCACTTTCACGTTTGGGGATCGTCAAGCCGGTTACATGAATTCTTCAGCTCCTTCTCGGTTAGTTTGGACTTTTTGAAGTAGTGATCTGTGTAAACTGTAAGCACAAACTTTGGTGACTTGCAAAGATGACTAAAGAGAAATCACAACCAGTAGCTTGTTCTTGCGTGGAGCTGATAGTGATGTATAACAACAATGACAATAGGTTTAACTAGGACCATGCTATTCTTGCTGCTACTTATGCTTGTATGTTCGGTGTTAAAAACTACACCCCTAGTTAATGTATCAGAACAATAAACCTCTTTTTAAATTCTAGACAACTAAGCGCTTCGAAAAGTTTGAGGGGATCGAGAGTTTCTAGTCTTTTAACTTTTCATTTTTAGTTATCGGCAAAATTACCACCGAAGGAACTATGCACGAGCTCCACAAATTTGCAAAAACCCGGCTCTCTTCAAGACAACGCTATGCGACTATTATGTTACTGGAGCCGACTGCAAGTACGCTTTAAAAATTTCTTATTTTAAATGTTTGTTGTTCTAGATTTGGAGAGGATTGTTGGTATGCTCACGGAGAGAAGGATCTGCGAACTTCGTGTGAAAACGAGCAATACTTTGCAGCTCAACAAATGGCCACACATTACCGAAAACCAATCCAGCCCATTCAAAAGCCAAGGGAATCCCAATGCAAAACTTTGCTGCCTCTGCGTGAGAATCTTGTCTCGGAACCACATCAAGGTATTCATTTTTGTTTCTAAAGATGGAATCTTTATGAACGACGATAAACTATTTGTCTAGAAAAAGGCATCCCTCCAGCTTCATTCAAAGCCGAGTACGCAGAAGACACTGTCATCTTCATGCCTATCAAATGCAGATCGATTCACCAAGCCGGGGTTGGTTTTGCTTAATTGGCTAACTACATTATTGATTTAGGTTATTGCTCAAGGTTTGGAAAAGAGATGGCTGCATGGCAATCTTACATGGCCACGCAATATCTGAAAAGCTTCCAAGCTGAGGTACGTTTAGCTAGTAATTTAAAGCGATTAATGGCTTCATTTTAAAAAATTTGTACTAATGCTGTTTCAAGGTTAATTAAAACATTAATATTTAGGAAGGGATGACAGAAGTCGAAAAGAGCAGCCGTCGCACGTCGGCCCAATTCTCTGCCACTTTTTCGAGCTCGTCTGAATCGGGACTCTTTTCACCAGCGTATCCATTCAATCAAAGCTTCAATCTGTAGTTTATTTTGGGTATTGTGTATCTCTCAATTTTGTTTGTTGTGGTATATTAACTCTCCAAGAGAGTCCAAAATTGGCTTCCAGTGATTGCAATCTTTCGGTTATTGTTTATGCTGTCGTGAGAATTTTTCTCTTTCCTCACCTTTTTCAATTTGATTATTTTGTGAAATGCCGTTTTTCCTCCATATATGGTGGAAATTTTGTTTTATTCTTTTGACGTGCTTGAAGCACCTAGTTTGTCTCTTTATGATTTATTTGTAACGCAGCAATTCTGAAGGAATAAACTTGGATTGAGGATACCTAACTATAAACAAAAAAGGATTAAAGCTAAAGTTATTTAAACTGGTCTTGCATCGTTGAAATGCAGGAAGCAAAATCGGCCGTATTCATTAAGCCATATGGGCTGTGACAAAAGAAAGGGCAAAGCCCCTTGCGCTAATTGAAGTGTTTTTGGTGGTCTTTGAGAAAATGCCGATGTTCTATTAGTCGATTGATGTAATCGGAATTGCGGGTTATAAAATTTTAGGGATCAGGGTTGTTTTTATGTGCAGTTCAGATTCTCCCGAGACAGCTGATTTTGGGAAATTTTTGTGCTGCCTTGCCACTCTTTCGGCAAATGGGTCCCGCAACGACAATACTGACTGCGAAAGGACGCTTATGGAGTGGGTTGGAAACGTCGGTTAAGTTGAAGGGCTTCCGGGATAAAGTTACCTGGAAGTAGAATTGGGTTTTTTCCAATTTAGATACGTTTGTTTGTGAGGTTTCTCCGACAACCGCCTCCTCATTCTTTCCATTTCCTCTGGCTATTGATGACGGAAGCATTGATTCTTTTCGATGAGACTTTGAAACTTTCATTTTTCTTGAATACCTTGAAATAACTATTGAATTTTTAATTAGGACACGTATGGTTTAAAAGGTTTCAGGCAGATTTTTCGCAAACCACTCTCGATCTATTACTCTTAGTTTATTGGATAAGGAAAATTACTGCTTAAACTTTAACGAGAAAGTTTTAATTCCCAATAAATTTGTTGTTCAGCTGAATTTTGAGTGTCTTTAGTGAGGTGATAGTTGTGTACGCTTTGCGCTTGGTCGCCCTCCCACTTGGAGTATTCTCCGAGATACCGGTCCTGCTAGTTTTTGTTTGTGAAAGCGCCAAGACTGTGAAGAGAAAAAGAAGGCGGCTGGGACCACTTTCTTTTTCTTTTTTGCTTCTTTTTTGCTTTTCTCCCGAACCCCATCACCGTCACACGTCAATAATTTGACTTGTGCCATTTGGCGGTGGAATGTCAAGCCAATATTTTGACAGATTCCATGAGAATTGGTGATTTTATCGGTCAGAATTTTGGCTGGTGAAATCTGCAAGTGAAAGCGGGATAGGCTACTTTGCGCGAAATTTTTTGCCCAACTGGGTCGTTTGCGCAACTCGCCATAACTTCCTGTTAAGTGGGCCAATCTTTATGATTTTGATTTCATTTTGTAGATCTCAATAAGTGCAACAAAATGAAACCAAAATCATAAAGATTGGCCCACTTAACAGGAAGTTATGGCGAGTTGCGCAAATGACTCAGTTGACCAAATGGCCCAGTTGGGCAAACGACCCAGTTGCGCAAATGACCCCGTTGCGCAAATAAAATGGCGGAAATTAGCCTACCCCGTGAAAGCAGTTGATTTCTTGAACTTGAAAACTTATATCACCTAGAATTATTACACAATTTTGGTTTTTAGTCAAGCTTTAGATCAATATGGTTTCTCCATTTCTATTTCAATTTCAATTTCAATTATAATTTCTCCATTTTCTTTAGATCAATATGATTTCTCCATTTTCTTTCAATTATAATTTCTCCATTTTCTTTAGATCAATATAATTTCTCCAAATTTTACCTTTCTTCTAACTAGCACTGTGTGTAAGACAAAATTCAATTTGAAAAGATTTTTTGATACTTTTGTTGTAAAAAGAATTCAACAGCTATTCAGCATTTCAAAAGCGCTTTCGTCTTCATTATGTTTCTCCGCCCACCGAAACTCTATTTTCGCATCTATTATACGTCAGCTTTGTCTTTTTGTTTATTTTATCGATCATCCTATCCCCTTTCATTGTATCGAGGCTGCTTTTTGAGGCATTGGCTGAATCAACAGCACCGGTTAAGTCCCCGTCTAAAAACGCTGATAATTCTTGGTTTTTTGGCGGTTTTTGGCAAGATTTTCTAGGCAGCGTCAGCTTATTTCAGCCTTTCCAGAGATTTGTCGCTTTTTTGGGGGCTTTATTTAAGTCTTGAACCCACTTCCCTTCGAAAACTTGGCATTTTTTTTATTTAATAGCTATTTCTTGTTTTGCTTGTTTTCTAAATTATAATTTAGTCAATTTTATCTTTTTTTTTCAGATAGCGAAAGCCCACCGTATGCCCGATGTTGCGGAAAGCGATTTTGACGGGGCTTGCCGTCGTTCTGATCTCTTCACTCGTCAACGCACAATTCGATGAGAAACGACAGTGTTTTTGCAAAGAGGTCAGTTTATTATCCTTGTTACTATAACTTATTGCTGCTTAATTTAATAATATCTTATCTCGATTAAATCGATTAAAAATAGACACGATTAAATCGTTTTTAAAATTTGAATAAGCAATTTGAAAAAATACTTGGCTAAAGAATTCAACAGCGATTCAGCATTTTAAAACCTACTGAATCTACTGAAAGAAGTCTACTGAATCTACTAATAAAAAGAAATCTACTGAATCTACTGAATTGTTTCACATGTAACTGATTTAGAATGAAGCGGTGGAACCTTGTGACTGCTCTTCAGACTCGATTGATGTGTTCAACAATGAAGTCCTCCACAAGAAGCTCACTCGACTCTTACAACGACCATTTTTCCGATATTATAAAGTACCATCGTTGTTGCTAACTTTTAATGATATTTGTTTAGGTAAACATGGATAAACAATGTCCATTTTGGCCGGATGATCGCCAATGTGGCTCAAAGGAATGCGGGATAATGACATGCGATGATGAAGTGCCTGCTGGTTTGAAGCGACCGGCTGTTGTTACAACGGTTGGTTACTTGTGTAATAATGTTGCCAAACTATACAATGTTTGCATGTGGGCAAAAAGAGTTGCATGCACCGAAAAGTTCTTTTCTTTTGTTAACTCGCAAAAACATAAGAATAGTTTTTGAATAAAAAAATGCAATTCACTTTAAAAATTTCTGAAATACATCACGTAAAGCTTT